GACGGCCAGAGAAAGACCGCTCTCCCGCAAGGCTTTGCATGACGCTCCACCCACCGTCATTAGCCCTCCTCAGCCAACGAACGGCTCGAGAAACACAAACGTCGTTTCCTGTCTCTTCTCTCCGTTGTCGCCGTCGAGAACCAGGGGGGGACGCTGAACAGAGAGCCGCTTCGTCCTGGCAGTCTGTGCATCTGGTTGGCTGCGTGGAGAGGCCGATGGCCAATGCATCCTGGCGGAAATTGCTCTAGCCATACGTGGCAGGATTCTGGAATTTCTCTCGGCTGTCTCCTCGACGCTGGCTCCACCGCCGTGGATCTATCCTTGCCCGTCCATGCCACCAGCGACTAGGGATGATGCCAAGTGCGACAAGGCTTCGTCCAGCCCCATGCCATCTCCCATCTCCCCTTGTTCCCCGTCCCCTAACTCACTCCAGCTTTCCATCCGCACTAGCAGCGCACAGGGACGGAGCAGTACGGAGCAGAACGGAGCAGGACGGAGGACTGTACTACCACACCCAGGTACATCGTATGTAGTATGAGATGCACAACCGTGCTTGGGCTGCTCCGGTATTCTTCTCTCAGTGTTCCAGAAGCTTTGAGCCCCGGCCGTCGTGCTTCGGACTTGTGTGGCCGGCAGACCCCAGCGATGGGTAACGTGGCGTGTGGGAGCACGTTGTAGTATTGGCTACAACCATCCCCAGCCACCCCTTGCTGTCAATGCCGGCGAGCGCTCGAGTATGATCACCATGATCGGCTGTTGGCTTCCGTGGTCCGTTGAGGGCATTGCATTGCTAGCCTGCAGCGCAGCACAACGGCGACCAACTCGAGGCGACGCTCCGTCGGCGCTTTCATCAACCTGGCAGAGCTTTTGCAGCCGGCGGGTTGTCCAAATGGAGCTTCGTGTACAATGCTGTGATTGATAGGTAGTAATGTCAGCAACCCAGGTCTTGGCCCGGTCAATGATGTATCGAGGCAGCACATCCATCCATACCTACCTACATACATAGCAACACGAAATGAACAAAAGTGATGAAGAGCTTCAAGTTTGTGGACCAGTGTGAGCAAAATTATCTGACAACTACACCTAGGTTCCTGAGGAAGCAGCGACCCCTCACGAGAATGGACGGTAGAGGCGTGGGGAAGGAGTGCTGCACTGGTGACTGCCACTTGATGGCTCATGGTAGGCGCGGTCACCTGAACAGCGCGTGACCAACGACATTGATTGTGCAAGTGCCGCAAGTCTCGAGAATACTAGTACCAGTCGGACCCTTTTGAGATCCTTCACTCTCGTCTCCTCGACGCAGCCAATCGAAACAGTGTCCGAACCTCATTCAGCCGTCCAATCACGACATCCAGAAGCCGGGCGAATACGAGGATGCATCCGATGGACTGCAGATGGCATACTGTACTGTATGAGCTGCGTCTCTGTGTTGCTCCGAGCGCCTGCAGTCCGTCTCCGTGCATGTACATGCCAGATTTGAACGAGCCTCTCCTACGCCGCGCATATACAACATGAACCTTGCCGTCAAGATGCAGGGCGCTCTGAAAGTGGCTGATGGCATGCATGCAAGGAATCCGTCTCACTACAGCGGCTGGATCTTGAAACGAGGCGGATGAAACAAACGACCGGCCATCACGCCGACCCCAGTCAACGCATAGCGGCGATACCGGGATATGCTGTTGATTACAGCGGCCGGCTGTGCTCTCGCAGCGTTGCGAAATCTCGACACACCGGGCAGCCATCGGCAGCGATGGCAAGATCCAACAAGGTTGATGCTTGGCTCGACCGCGACACCAAGAATAGTATTCCGATGTTCGCCTTGTCAGGCATAATACATGGCAAACTTTTGGAAAAAGACGAAACCCTCAATGATAAGAGATGCCCACCCAGCGCCACCAACAACATTGAACGCAATCAACAAAGTGAGTGTTGGCTGCATATCGAAATGTGAGCTAGTGCTATTAACATCAACCTGCCAGGTTATAAGTCGCCGTGCGTGGACAGGGTCCCTTTTCCGCTTCCCTTTTTTTTAGCGCACCGTGGTATTCTTAGAGCAAGCTGGGGCAACACATGGGGATCATAGAGTTCTGACAATGGTTTAGGCTGGAGACAGCGGCCAGGTGTTACTATTGTCACCAGGATCCCAATATGGACGGCTGATGACGGAGTACTCCGATTATTCCTCGTCTTGCTACCTACGAAAACATGCAGGCGGGATGCTCACCACCCACTCATCGGAGGGCTGCTTTGATCGCTTAATGAAACATGAAACAGAACCTGCCCAATAAACCTTACAGGAACTACATAGCAGAGTCGCGAAGAGAGGAACCGGGTGTTTGTGCACGAGATGAGGGAGAAGGCAGTGAGCGCCGTTGGACGCCTCGCCCACTCGTGTGTCAAGCATCCAGCGCCTCGGAACCCAATGAGATGCTGACTACGTATTCATCCTTGCAGCTCCCTGCTTGACTAACAAGAGAGGCCAGCTCTGGGTGCCGGCAACTCCGTGCAGCACCCCACGCCTCCGAAATCGTCAGAAATGGGACACTCCGATGCGGACTTGCTGAGGGAAGCACACGACACCATGCGGCAGCATCAAACTTCATGTTCGCCGGCAACTGTTGTGTCTCACAACGCCCATCTGGCACCTGGATGTCGGGATCGAGGGAGGATGGTTAAGGCGTGCCGAAGAAGGTTGAAGATTGCCACGAGCTTGTCATACTTGCTAGATCCCTTCTCTGTCCTGAGCTTCCTTCACCCATCCGGGGAGGCGGCGGCCAAAGCCGTCCTGGCTTCAGGGGAGAACGGAACGTGCGCCCCCCCCTTTCCGACAGTACTTGACAGAATCAATGCGTTCTTTGTGTCCAGCCTCAGGGGCGTACGCCCAGCAGATAGTTTCCCCCGGGACAACGAACTGAGAGTCCTTCTACCTATTCAGAAGGAGCCTGATAGACTGGAGGGCGTCTTTGATTCCACCATTCCCCGTGACCAAAGCAATGGCAGGATCTGGTTGTTTGCTACTGAAACATTGCATTCAACAAGCAGCTGGCGCTATTCTAAGTGTGGAGGCCACCTTCAATGGCTGCCTGAGACATCACCCGAGCCGATTGATTACTCCGAAACCATACATACATCCCCAGACATATCGAGACGATCACCATCCCGTTGTCTCGACGTGTTAGAGGCGCCACCAGGCAAACAGCTTTGGCGTATCTGGACAAGTACGGGGTGACAACGGTGACATTTCCAAAAATAACGCCAAAGAATGGCGATCTGGTGTGGCTAGTGTCCGTTGCTCGCCACAAGGAGACTCTCTGGCTCTCTCGCCTTGGTTTTGCTGGCTGTTTTGCACTTCGGTCGAAGCGTCGGCCGACATAAACGCCGGAAGGCAAACGATAGATGGACGCCTTAGACCGCCCTATTGATGAGGAATGTCTCTGGCAACGAGAAGAAGCCTTGGGAGAGACGTGGGAAGAGGAACTCGCACTCTCAAGATACTACTACTTCTACTACTACTACTACTAGCTTCCGTACAAAGTCTCCGAGCAACAACAGCCAGACCCTCTTTCATGTGTGTGTGTGTGTGTGTGTGTGTGATAACCCTTTGACTGGGGGGCGTGTGTTGTTGGTCGTACATCTGCTCTTTTTGGATCTGGCAAATGGGAAAAGGGCATGCACCTTGAGGGCTAGATCTTGTTGTCCCTCTTGGTTTGGCCCATGTCTTTACGTGGGGGGAGGGGGAAGAGAGGGTGTGTGAGTAGTAGAGGAGAGAGAGAGAAAGGTGGTCTGTTGTTTCTGTGAGACGACTTTGGTCAAGATGTGTGTCCCACTCACTCTCTTGATCGGTTTCTCTGAATAGCGTCAATTACCTTTGTTTCGCATTTGATTAGAGAAGAAATGTGACGTTACTTACCCTGGTATTCTAGCATGAGGCGAGAATGAGTTTTTTGAGGGCATGTTCAATGGGAGGTTCTTCTATTCTGCGTTTTCGTGAGGGATGAGACTTGCGGGTAAAAGAAGGGGCTTGTTGGAAAGGAAAGGAAGTAAAGTGATAATCAGAAGAAGAAAAGAGGCATATTAGGAGAAACACACGTTGTAGGGGCCTGATTCATTGGAGTTCGTATTGTCTTGTGGCTTTATGCAAGTGCGAATGATGAGTTGCATTTTTCTCGCCGTTTTGAATTATTAAGCATCATGATGCCAGCCGGGAACATCTCTCGTGACATATTCAACGGAAATTGGGCGATGAGATGAGAAAAAGGGGTGTGCTTGAGGGGTCGATCAATTGGGTTTCAGGTTCAAAGTCCTGGATAATGATGACTATGTATATCTCGATAAGAATCGACAGTAGGGTAATCTTTGATATGGAACATCAAGAGGAAGAGTAAGAAAGCTCTCGAGACAGGTGCAAAAGACATCACACAATCAACATCACAACCATGCAGATTGCTAGGATTGACCGCTTCTCGTCACCAAGGTATCCAACTCGTATTCAACATTTCTCCTCCAAGAAGCAAGTGATGAAGCAACAAGAGATAGATGGAAACATGAGAAGTGATATCCAAAAAGTAAGATGGGCAGGCAATATGAGACAACAGATGAAGGAGAATGTACACGCCATTCGCGCGCAAAAGGAAGAAAAATCCAAGTCCAATACAAAAGCTTGCAGCCCAACGTGCAAACAACCCCCTTACTCAACAATGTTCTTATCCGCAAACGGATTGTCGTCGTCGTCATCTTCCTCGTCGGACAAGTAGGATCCCGTTCTGGCCTGCGCGCTCGGCCGCGGATTCGAAGGCAGTGGCGGCGGTATCGGGGGCGCCGAAAACGCGGGCTTGGACGCCGGCCGGGGCGGCGGTGTGCCTTTCGGAGACGAGGTGAGGCTCAGGCCGGCGATGTCGGGGTGCTCGGCCCGGGTCGGGGAGGTGGCCTCTCGAGCGGCCAGTTCTTCCTTGCCCTTGATAGCGGCCACTGTAGCAGAAAAAAAAAAAAATGATACTGGGTCAGATTACATGACGAGAGAATGTGGATGACAAAAAGGGGGTGGGTTGATTCTTACTTCGGTAGAGATGGGCTTGCTCTGCGAGTTCATCGTCAGAGTCGCTGTCGGCGTCCACGGACTGGTCGAGCTGCTCAAAGGTCATGAGGGCGTGAACCAGCTCATCGTTGGCGTGGAGCAAAGGCCCCAGCCACTGCTCGTGATCGACGTGATGAATCTTTGCTCTCCCAGGTTAGTTTCTCTTCTTTCAACGGCCATCAGAGGGACATGAGTTTGAAGGACTTACAAAGCGCAACACCTTCCTGCGAAGAATCTTGCACGACTCGAACCTCTCGACGGCCAGGCTGTTGTCGGATATGCGCTCCTTTTCACGGTTGATCGTCTGCAGCACGTTGAGCAAGTTGGTTGCCGCCAGCGAAGACTCTGCAATGACGGACTTCATCTGCTCCTTTTCGGCCTCGAGGTTGAAGGGCTTCCGCTTGCTCTTGGCCTTGCTGCTGCGCTTCTTCTTGTCGGAGCTGGAGCTTCCTCCGAATATGGAACCGCTGCCGCTGCCACCGCTGTTGGACAGAGATAGGGAAGAGGCTTGCTGATGCTTGAAGGAATCGACCATGGACGAGCCGCGGCTGTGAGAGGAGCGACCGTGCGCTGCCGACGACGACGGCCCCGCGGCAGGCGGAGACGGGGACTTGGGCGAAGCCGGCTCGTCGTCTTCCTCGTCGCCAAAGGGGTTCTCCGTCTCCTTGAGGACGCGCGACCGCTCCTGCGTGACCGTCACCTTGCGCTTCGGCAGCTCCTTGTGCAGGCGCGCGATCCTCTCGAGGCCAGGCTTGTTGCCGTACTGCGACCAGCTGCTGAAGAGCTCGCGGCACTTTTTGCGCACCTCGGGGTCCGAGAGGTCGGAGGTGCCGCAGACGCGCAGCCGCTCGAGCAGGGGTTCGTCGGCAAAGGTGCGCGTGAAGCGCGGGCCGGCGTTTTGGATCAGGCCGTCGAGCAGGACGAGGGCGCGGAGCTGGCGGTGGACGTTGCCGTACTTGAGCTTCTTGCGGATGGCGCGCGCGGCCTCGGTCGGCCCCGAGGCCTGGATGGTGATGACCTCGACAAGGTCGGGGATGCCGCTCAGGTCGTCTTCGTCGTAGGCTTCGGAGGTGAGCGTCTCGATGGTGACCGTGACGGCCGAGTAGGGCTTCTTCTACAGGGGCGCTTGTTAGAAGAAATGTTGCTTGTTAGAAGGATTGTGACCTTGGGTATCGAGGTCGGGAGAGAGAGAGAGAGGCATTGAGGGGGGCCGTACTTGTTGGAACATTGTTGGATAGAGACAGACGAGACTGCGCTGAGCGTGGAGGGTCTGTCTTGCTCTTGCTGCGTGTATAAGCCAAGCCGCGATGCTCTCGACGTAAAGCTGCCCCCCCGCGATAGTCCAACAGAGTCCGTCCCTCGAGGCTGTTCTCGTGTCGTACGTAACTTGAGTAGAGATGGAGGAAAGCGTCCGTCGACTTTGTTTCGCCTTGCACCCCGACTCTTTTTCAGCCGATGTAGATCAAGCAAGTCAGTGATACCCAAGAAGCGCCCACGTCGTCGCAAAAAGCAGCGCGCCCAGCAAAGCGAATGAATAATGACAAACGAAGCCCTCTCTCTCTCTCTCTGTCTGTCTGTTCCAGCCAAACAAACAAGGTCGCAAACGCCGCCTGATTTCCCAGCCCTGCTTTTCGACTCTCGTCTGTCCCGCGCGACCGTCCTTTGGGGAGTGTTTTTTTTTTCACCGCCCCTTTTTGAATTGTCCAGAGCCAAAATAAAAGCGATTGACTTGAGCTGGGGGGACGACGACGACGACGACGATCAGCTCGGGTTTGCTGCGGGCTTATTTGCAGGGCAGATCCATAAGTGTGAGGTAGAACAGCAACGCAGCTGTTGATTTTGAAACGCGGGGCTGGAGGTTGGAATTTGGGGGGGCGCTTTTCTGGGCTGGTGGGGGCAGCGAGTGACGTCGCTTTTTTTTCTTCTTCTCTTTTTTTTTTTTTATATGACTCGGGGTGCCTGGGATGGAGTGTTGCTTTTGTGCTTCCTTGTCGCCTTTTTGTGTGTTTTGCCTTGCTAAATTATGTTCGGTTTGTCAGGATGTTATGAGATGATGTGATCGTCCTGGAATAGCAAGGCTGGGGTTGTTGATAGATCACCAGTCAGTTCTGGTCTTGTCACTGCGATACCGGTTGATGATGCGTGACGGCTTCATGGCGGCACGGGCCGTCATCATCACATGTGAGGCGGAACATTTGGCATTGACTTTTCCAGTCCAAAGCATTGATGGAAATAAGAGATATGTATAGATTATATACACTGAGTACTGCTGCTTCTAGTATTTTCAAGGTATTCGCATGCAGCTCATACAGCCACGCTCAGCTCGTTCCCGTCATATCTCGACACTCGCCCTTCTCTAGCAGAACCGAGGTCTAATTCTAGTCCCTGCGTCGTAGCGCCATGCAGCATAAGCTATTCATGATGATATACAGACCAAAACAGAAGAGTACACCAACACGAAAAGAATAAATAAAGAAAAAAAGAGATGCTTGTCATTAAACCCTCATCATGCATTGCCCAGTCCCAGAAGCACCAAGTTGGCAACATTCATCACCGCAATGAGCAGCCATACAAGGGCGCTGATGACGATGAGCACCCAGCCGTTGGACATGTCCGTGCCCGGCTGGCCGGCCGGCTGCCCGTCTTCCCTCGACTCGACATGCAGCCGCGCTCCGCCGGGCTGCACCATCATGTATCTGCTCCGGGCGGTAAAGTAGATGAGGGGGAACGTGACAAACGGCAGCACGGTGCTGAGCACAACCTGCGAGGCGTTGAGGGCCGTGTCGAGGCCCCTCTGCCCCACGGCACCGGCAATGATGATGGACGGGGTGATGCTGATGGAGCGCGTGATGAGGCGCCGCAGCCAGGGCTTCATCTTCCACCGCAGGGCGCCCTCGCTGACCATCTGGCCGGCAATGGTGCAGACGATGCCGGCGGAGATGCCCGAGAGGAGCAGGGCCAGGGCGAAGATGGTGCCGGCGCCGGACGAGATGCTCCTCGAGAGCAGCTTGTGGATGCCAAAGATGTCGGTGTCGAGGGCGTCCGGGTTGCCGTAGAGCGAGGCGCCGGCGACGATGAGGATGGACGAGTTGACAAAGAGGGCAAAGGTGAAGAGCGACAGGGCCAGCTCGGTGATGGAGTACTTGAGGCAGTGCCTGATGGCCGCGAGGGAGGGGACGTAGACGACCTTATCGTAGCTGCCGTCGATGGTGGACGAGGCCGCCGACGAGGGCTGCTGCTGCTGCTCCGGAGGCATCAGGCCGTGCTTCTCGTCGTAGTCGCGGAGCCGGGGCTTGACGATGCCGGACCCGAGGTAGAGGCTGTGCGGCATGACGGTGGCGCCGAGGATGCCGCAGGCCTGGTAGAGGCCGTTGGACTGGACAATGGCGCTGGAGGGGATGTAGCCCTTGAGGACCTCGCCGATGCTCGTGTGCCTGATGAGCGAGAGCTGGATGCAGAAGCAGATGACGACGCCGAGGACCAGCAGCAGGACGAAGAACTCAAAGACGCGGAGGCCCTTCATGGAGCCGTCGGGGCGGTAGAAGACGAGGATGGCCATGACGTCGAGGATGGAGAGGGCGCAGCCGGCGACGAGGGGGAGCTTTGGGATGAGGAGGTTGAGGGCAATAGCCGTGCCAATAACCTGCCATGGGGTCAGTACTTACTTGATGCTTTCCAGAGATGCAGAATGAGAGGAGGCATACCTCGGCAATATCAGTCGCGATAATGGCCACCTCGGCCAGCACGTAGAGAAAGTAATTGAGCCATCGCGGCAGGTAGGCGCGGCACGCCGACGCCAGGTCCAGCCCCGTGACGGTGCCCAGCTGGATGGCCAGGCTCTGCAGGAGGATGGCGAAGAGGTTGCTGAGCAGGACGACGAAGAGGAGCTTGAAGCGGTACGAGGAGCCTGCGGCGATGTCGGTAGAGTAGTTGCCAGGATCGACTGCGTGAGAAGAGTGTGAGTTAGCCAGCGAGTTCATCCTTTTGCCTTGTTTCTTTTTTTTTTTCTTTTTCTTTGTTTTTATTTTTTCGGATTCACTCGCTCATTCATTCATGGTTGACTTACTGTATGCAACAGACACCATGAAGCCGGGCCCGACAAACTTGCCAAAGGTCATGAGGACATGCCTCAGCCTCGCCAGCAGCGCCTGGGGCCTTGTCCCCCTTGCGCCGCGCCCATTCGGATTCGAATTCGACAGGGTGATGACTGAAGTCGCATCACCGCCGCGTCCGCCATCGCCATTGCCCGTCGCAAGCAGCATGCCGGCCGCGAGCTGTGCGTCCTGGACCCTGCTGTCGGCGGTTTTTCTAAAGGGATTCATCTGTGGCGGTGGTGATGATGATGCCTGGCGGATGGCTGACTCTTCTGCGACAGCCGCGCCCTCGCTTCCGGATGTTCTTCTGTTCATTTTTTTTGGCTTGCTCTTGTTGAGGGTTGAGTGTGTGTGGTGGGTGAAGTCGTCTAGTCTGACAACCGTCATATGTGATGACGAACTCTCCCCCCTTTTCTCTTTGCTGTCGCCACCGTCGATGAATAACAGTGATGCGGAATTGACTGTTGTCGTATAAGAGATGTCGTGCGTGAATACTGTGGAATGCAGATATTCCAGTAATTAGAGTTGGTCAACGGCCGTGTCTCTCAGCTTCTTCAACTCTCTCTCTCCCTCTCTTTCAGGCCAACAAACAAACAAAGACCTTCACTGGTTCCTTCCACCCGTCGCCCCGGCTAACAAATCAGAACAACAGTCACGGACGGCGCAGCGCGCAGAGCAGCGTCGCAGCATAACCTCAGGATAATCAAGAGAAACCACGAAGTTTTTGGTGTCGCGGAATTGAGAGGGTTGAGGATCGCGAGTCAAAGGGCGCAAGGCAAGAATCGCCGGAAACGACTTGGATCTTATGGTTCCAGTTCTGGATGAGCCACAGAAACGGGTCGCTTTTATAAAGTGGAGACGGTGTCGTTTTTTTGAGCGGGTTTCGATGACTGGCGCTTTTTTCCTGTCGGTTCGGGACCCAGAACAAGCTGCGCCGGAAGGGGTTCTCAAGGCTGTGCTTTTCCTTTGTGTTTTCTATAATGATGATGATTCAATTGAGTCTGGATAAAGAAGTAAATCAACTGTGATGTGTGTCAATATTATTTTTGATTCCAGAAGAATATAGACGTAATTATACCGAGGACTCGGGAGTTGTTGTCCTCCAGTTACTCGTATTAGCTACCTTATAGTGCCAAGCGGAAACAAGGGGGGGCGTGATTCGACAACATACCGTCACGGCATCGGGTGGCCAAGCCCCCAGGCCCGAATCTGCCCGGAACGTCGAGCCTCCGGTCTCACTGGCGTGCAGAAGAAGCTCGGGACAAAGCCAAAGTTGAGGCTGAGCAGTGATCCACTGCTTCTGTACCTAGACAAGCTTATGGAAGATACATGAGAGTGTCATGTTCGATTCAAGCCGTGTATATCAATCAGCGGAGTATTGGATAGAAAAGAGACAGCAAAAGAGGTCTTGTGTCGTCAAAGGTTAGAGTCCCCCCCCCCCCCCCGGCCGGTATGATCCGCCTCGGCGACACCAAAGACCGGGAGAGGGGTGATGGAACGGTCTAGAAAGGATCCCGGGTCCAATGCAAGGGACAACTCTTTTGGTGGAAAAGAATGGATGAATCAGAAAAGGCGAAAACTGCTGCTGCGTGAGTCAAGGATGCGGAGGAGCTCTTGCGTCTTTCCTATTCGTCGATGCCGGCTGGAGTTGCTGAGAAGCTGTTCCGAGCTGCAGATGCTCGAGTTTGTGTGTAAGTGGGCGGGTGAGAGCTCTGATGAGGGATTGATGGTGGAATGAACTGGTGAAGCATGTCCTATTATTGAAGATGCATTCTACAACTGACAGACTGAGCCGGTCATCAAGCGATTCAACAGTCTCAATCACGAGAATAGATGCACACTAGGTAGATAGTTCAACCTACATCATCTCCGGAATCTCAGTACCATCTATTGCACATACGAGTACTGTACACGACTTTCATACGAGGAGACACGACCTCCAAGCTTCCATCTGGCCCCCCCTCGGCCCCCGATCGTAGACCGGCTTTCCCCGGCATCTTTCTCCCAGGCACCTTGAGCACCACCCTTCTTCTTCTTCTTCTTCTTCTCCTCCTCCACTCCAAGACTTCTCGTCTTTGTCAATGTGGAGATGGACGGGTTCTTTTCCAGAGGCTGAGCATTTCGGCTACTACCACTACAGTATTAGTTGGGCCTGCCGTTACCATCCGGGTTCTTTTTCACATTTTCGTCGAGAGGAGAAATGGAACGGTCACATGAGGGTGGAATCTTGTTTACGTTATTCTTTGGCCCCTGGTCACTCGGACTAGAATTTCTCTTCCCCGCGTCTGGCCGCTCTTCTGGGTCCAAGGTGGCTGAAGATGGGGCTTGACGATCCTTGACATCATATCTACCTCTACGGCTCAATTTCGGGAGGAGAGCGGATGCAGCATCTTTAATCGGAAGGCGAAAAAAAGAGAGGTGATGCATATTTGCACCTCATCAACTGAACAGAGAACATGTATTACCAAACACAGTTTTCATAGTTGATACACTGAAAGTTGCGCAACATGTCGTCGGTCTTATGCCGGCATTCGATTGGGATGCGACTCCGGATATGCTCTGCCGCCCTCCATGCTCTCCTGCTGCCGTCCTGCCGGATCTGAGCCTCAACTCGAGCTCGCGCACAGATCGCCAAGGGGAATTGCTTCGTGGATCGATTGTCACACAGACATCACATAAAGTGCAGTGAAACATCGTGATTCTTCTCTTCCAAACGCCCAGTCTCTTGAACCGATCTAGTGGTATATGTGGAATTCCCAACCTTTGTTTTTCGTACCTTTTCGACTTCCTTTCCTCATCCTTCCAACAAACTGCATCCGAGTCTGTTGAAAGACTATTGTTATCCTCTCCCCCCTTTCATCACCCTCCCCATAGCACAAAACGCCATAGCTTACCCGGCCAATCTCGCATCTCGCCTCTCCCCACGCCCATCAGACAAAACTTGACCCCCAATGCCCAACCGGCAATCAGATATAGATCCGACCGAACCCCCTCAAATCTTCTGTTAACCCCCTCAAATCTTCTTCTTCCCAGACTTGGCCGCCTCCCTCTCCCTCTCCCTCTTGGCATAAATCCCCGCCGTAAACGGATCCTCGAAGCGCAGCGCAACGACATACACAAGGTACACGCCCGCGGTCAGCAACAAGCCCGCCGGCTTCCCATACACGAGCGCCGTCCCCAAGAAATTCATCGTCGAGCCCCAGTACATGGGCGCCGACGTGACGTTGAACGGGAACCCCGTCACCATCTCGTCCATCAGGATGCCAAAGTAATCGCCCAGAAAGGTGCCTGTGATGCCCAGCCGCCACGTCGACGACACCACCAGCACGTTGCCCACGACGAGCAGCGTGTAGCCCGCCGCCTGCGCGTAGAGCGACGTCAGCGCCGGGTGCGACGGCTGCTCCGACAGCGCCACCTTGTACAGCCAGTCGCGGAGCAGCCCGAGCGAGAAGATTGTCGCGGCCAGGGCGTAGCATGCGACGTAGCGGTTGCCGCCGAAGAGGCGGGTGAGGATCTTGTTGTGGTATTCTTTTGGAAGGGGTGCTTCGGGTTAGCAACTTCGCGGGCTGTGGCTGGGAGGGGGGTTTTATTCGAGGATATATATCGAGAACGAACCTTGACGAGCGACGATGCTGCAGCAGAGAATCATGGGTTAGCAAGTAGCCCCAATGTAGCCATGATGTGACCGAACTTGGGGAGGAATCCATTGGTGATGGGCGCAGGAAGATGGGGTTGTCTCTTACTTCCAGAAGAGCGGGTTGAAGACGATTGACCCTGCAGAGACTGTTTTGAAGCAACAGTATCATGCGCCGGTTAGACACATACACTTTCTCTATATCCGTCCTGTCTGCAGTTCACATACTCAGTAGACTCTGCTTGTCGAAATCGACATATTTCAAGAGATCGAATGATGACGCCATGGCGAAGCTACTTATGCGCTGTAGCTAAGGTAGCTCTACAACAGCTCAGTACCTCGATTATTTTAGAGAAGACCGGGAGAGGAGGAGGTAGAAAAAAGGTACGGAAGATATAGAGAAGAGCGATCAAGTAGTTGCAATCACAAGCCAGAAGAAGGAGAAAAAGAGGCAAGGAAACGTGGCTGCATCTTTTGGCCGGGAAGCTGGAAGTACATGATCCAGTTCGAGCCCTTTTATAGCGTCATGCAATCCGCCCTGCGTGCTTCAAGACAGGCTGGGACCAGAAAGCTCGGGGGCGGGGATTGGCCGCTTTGGATGGAGCCCCCAACAAAATTGGCGTCTGTCACAAGCCAAAAAGTGCCTGCATCTCACACTCACAAAGCTCCCAAGCAGCCGCCGCCCAGGGATACCTAAGCAAAAGAAACTAGACAGGTAATCAATAGACAGGGGAAACAGAATTCGCATTTCATCAAATGTGTCCTCATGGCCCGCCCAATTCATTTCCCCAAAGAAAAATTACCAGCTCATGTGCGAGACGGAATAGGCTCGCGTAGTCAAAAGCATTCCCCCCTCTGACGCCTGTTTCGTATACCATCTCTCACGGCGTCTTGCAGAGCAACAAAATGTCCATGTCCAGCCGGCTCAACTCTGGTCGGCGATTGGTATCTATACATCCGCTCAAGTCCCCCGCAATACAGAAAATCGTTCATCATCAGCTCGTCCACGGAGGGTCTCGGCTATTCTCCACGCAACGCCTTGTAATGCTGCCCATGGTGCCCTGTCATTACCGCCTGTTCCTCGTCTTCTTGCCTTGGGTTGTCGTGTCTTCCTCTTCCTCGTCTTGGCCCTTCTTGAGGTCCTCCGTCAGGCCCCATTCCTCCTTGTCGTACCAGTCTTCGCCGTCTGACATGTCCCGGTTCGGCCCGCAGTGCGCCTCTGCCTTTGACCAGTGCAGCACGTCCTTGCGTAACCTTTCCGCTTTCAGCAGGCCCAGGTGCAATCTTGCAGCTCCTCGGCAGACCTCTTCTTGCTTTTGCACGTACAAGGCCAGGAGCCGCCTGATGTCTTCGGCTTCATTGTCCGGGAGCCCGAGGTTTCGGTCTAGCTTGGCATTGGGCGGCGGCAGGAACATTGGGTGGATATATGACGCCTCTGCGGCCTGCTTATCTTCCAGGTTCTGATGGGACGCCTTGTTTGTTTCTTCAGCGCCGTCCTGCATTTGGACGTCTTCGCTGGACGGCCGGCTTGCCTTGTTACGACTCTGGCTTGCAGTTTCGTTTGTAGGCTGTCCCCCGTTTGTATGTCTGCCCGTGTCGCCGTTTGGTATACCATTGCCGGCATCGTCCTTCGGGGCATTGTTCGCGGCAGTGGTTTCGTTGGGCGGTTTTCCGGAAGCTTGTTTGGTGTCTGTTTCCATAGGCTCATCCTGCTGGGGAGGTGTTTTTGTCTTGCCAGGTGATTCGGCATCACGCATGGGCACGTCGTCGTCGGAGGCTTTTGGTTCGTCTGGCCTCGGAGGATGGGCACCGGGCGCGTCGGTGCTCGAGCTGCCATTCACGTTGGTAGGTGAAGGCGCCCTGTCGCCTGTCTTGGAACTATCCTGAGGCTGACGGGCAGTGTTATCTTTCTTATAAAACTCGATATCGTTGGCGCCGACCATGGTCGAGCATGGCACCCAAGTTGCGTCGCCACATAGAGATGTCCACAAATGCCGAACCTTCCACAGTGACCGGTTCTCCTTTTGCATTATGCCAGAGCTCTGCTTGACCAGCTCTGTGAGTGTATGGGAGGTGAACGGCTTGGAGAGAACGGGATGGGTCGGTAGGTCGGTGGACGCGGTGAGAGGCGCGAGGATGTCTGCCAAAGTTAGCACGAGCCAGTCCGAGCGTTTTGCGTGGAGAGCATACGTTCTAGGCGGATGTTGGCATATGGGTCCAATTCTGCAGCCGACAGCATGGCCTCCTCGATGCGGGCCTCATCGTCGTCGCTGTCGAATTCGTAGCCGTCTTCGTCGACCAAGGGGGGGTTGCGGTGGATGATGGACCTCCGCACACCGGCGTACTCAACAGTCTGTGCCCGGATAGCAGCTAGAGGTTAGCTATCGCGCCTCGTGACGGGCGTCGGCAGTTCGACTCGTACCTCCTTGTAGGCGACCGGCGACGTCGTGGGCAGCAATTGCCCCTTGTGTGCGAAGCGCGCCCTCTTCTTCAGCTTGTTGCCGCGGTTAGTGTAGCTCTCAATCTCAGAATCAGAGTCGGACTCTATCGAAGCGACGGGGGTTAGCGTGATCCGGCGTTGGCTGCGAGGCTCTGGAGAGCTCACCATAGGCCCTCCGCTTGAAGGCCTTTTTCATGCCGGCAATGGTCTCGGCGAAGAGGACCTGCTGCGACGCCATGTCGGGCAGATGCCGCGGCCGGCCGAGCGTGTTGGGGGAGAGTCGAGGGCGAGAGACCGGTTATTTTTGGAGATGGGAATCGTGCGTGTGCGTGTGTGTGTGTGTGTGTGTGCGTGGGTGGTAGAGCTGAGTCGAGCGTGGTTGAGCGTGGCTACAGCAGAGTCGAACAGAGTCGGTCGAGCTGAACAGCTGCTGCTGCTGAGTAAGTCGGTAACGGCGTCGTCGTGAGCCGGAATCGAGTCGTTTCGGGGGCCTGTTTGACGCGGCACTCGTGTGAATCCGGGCCGTGTGTGTAGGTGAGGAGGAGGAGGAGAGGAGGAGCAGGAGGAGAAGCAAGAGGCACAAGCAGCAGAGCAGCGCAAACCGCCTGGCCGGACCAGGACAAGACAAGGCTCGGTCTGCTCTTGGTTCGATCCACATTTATTTTCTTTCCCGAGCTGCGCTTTTGCTGCGCTTCTGCGCTCTGCCAACGTCCCGTGGCCAATCAGCGAGGTGAGACGCGGAAGCGCAGTTTTGCCGATGCCGCGCTGCTTCTTGGGCTCTGACGTAGCATCTCGCTTATCAGCCGGTTCAAGCGGACGATAAGAGATCATCAAACTCAATTAGCGAGTAAAGGCTTACCCTGAACTTGTCACGATCATCGGCGTAGAAGCAATGAACACAGCTGCGGACTTTGTCAGGTTGGCACGAGGTGTTCTGTGGCTTCAATTGACATCAAGGGGACTATCCGGTAAGGTTCTATTACCTGGTGATGGCTTCATACCGGGAAAAGGTACGTCCTTAATGTCTCTACATTGCCGTGAAGAGCTCACTCCCACATTATAAAGCACATGGCAACTGACCTCTACACCATTGATGATGTCCTCTCCCTTTAACTCGTCTTATCGAGAAACTCCGCTTGTGCTTTTCCAAAGCCACCAGAAGGTCGAAACCCTCAAGTGTCAAAACGCAACGTATCAGCACCTTGCCCTGAGAGCTCAGCTGGCTGGGGCCTCCACCAACGGCAACATCCCCAGCTACGACTACTCAGCGAAACACGCTGGATAGGATTTGTTGGCCAAGCAAGAGCATTGTACCTAGTTATGTCGATGCTGCTGGGCAGACGGAAGTCCGTCTCTTCCCTGACGTCGCATTTCCTCGTGCGCGAGGACGTGAAAGCTTCCATACTGTCTTAGTTTTTCACATGTTGAGCCTCGAGATGCACAATAGCCACTCTATTGATCGGCTCTGCCGGCTATTTTGCCATGAACCCCAACTGGCAGGCCGAGCGCATCACGCAAAGTTCTCTCAAGCTTTCCAACACCAGCACCTTTCAAACGGCTCTCAAGCTCCAAGCCCCGACTTCTGTGATGGCCACCCTGGTGCGCATCGCCTTTTCCGGCAGCTTCTACAACAACGTCGATATGTTGGCTAGTCATAGTCTGTACAAAGGCGGCGAGTGTTCCCGCAGTCGTGGGTGCAGACAGACGGAGGCAATGGTGAGCCTTCTTCTTATATGGCAGAACAATACAGCCTCAGGTGCAGCCCATCCAAGAGGCCTTCAACTCTTATTATATCCGCCCATCAATAACATACCCAAGCCCTGCAGTCGTCTAATACTACTAGTATGACGAAGCTTCAAGCAATGCACCACGCCTCTACCCAACGGACCCCCCACGCCGTGTCGGCGTATTGCTTCAAAATCGAAGGTGGCATGTGTCATGTACCTTGCTAGCAGTTCGTTCTGCACTCTTTAGTGCTACGGATGGATCTCGGCGTCGCAAGTCATCGTGTGGTTCCGGATCGGAATGCTTCACGGCGGAACAGAACTTGGGTAACGCATGTAAGTGAAGGCCAAACTGGAAAATGATTTCTGAGCACATCAGATGTCGGCGTTACCACCACTCATGGGCCATGCTTCATTCTGTCTCTTCAAGATCCAATTGACCATCGACATCTTCTACTTCTTCTAGGTACTTGAGAAAACTTCAAGTTTGTCAGGCTTCTTCCACAACCCGGAGCTCAGACCCGGAGCTCTCCGTCCCCACTCCGACCCGACTCCGATACCGCTACAAGAAAAGGCATGCAAATTTCTGACCCCCCCCATGGATCCCAATTTCCCCTTTCGCATCCACCACGAAACCCACAACCTAAAAAAGACACACGATCCACAGCCAACAAACAGCCCACAAACCCACAAACCCGGACAGCGCATGATTATTACCAACCCTTGATGAGCTCAACACGAACAGCTCCCTTCACCAACGAATCATCATCGGTCTGGTGGTCTAGTGGTATGATTCTCGCTTAGGGAAAACCCCAAGTTTGTTCTGCGAGAGGTCCCGGGTTCAATCCCCGGCCAGACCCTGTTCGTCACAGCTTCCTCCTTGGAAGCATCCTTTTTTTGCACTTTTTGGCTCTGATGCCCTTGAATTCGAAGACGAGCACTCCATACTCATTCATCACTCACACAGCCCTTTTTGTCGATGTTTTTGGTCATCATACATGCCGTAGATGGCGTCCTTGTTAGTCTGTCATGCATGGCCTTGTTGATCTGGCTTGAACAGCACAAGCACTCGGTGTAAGTCGATCCAGTACATTTATCTTGCATCGAAATCGTTGCAATGAGCGGACATTGCAGTTCATTATATTATCTATATATATACTTCCAAACTTCAATGATTACGAAAGGGCAAACGGGCATTGCATCCCCGCCGTTCAACTACTCAAACAGAGCATAGTACACGCGCTTCCAGGAAGGCTGAGACGCCACAAACTCCCGGTATGCGCGGATCTCATCCCAATCCAGCTCGCGACGGCCGGTATCGACATCGATCTGATCCAGCCTCAACCAGCCAGTCCGCTTCCAGATGTATCCGCCGAGCCAGAATGCCAGGACAATGGGGAGAGCGAGGTAGGCCTGGAAGAAGCCCTCGGCATCGTTGAGCCCATGCTGGCCAGGGGGTGCGATGGCCGTGTAGAACTGGACAAATGCACGTTAGCTCTCGAAAAAAAACATGATATCAGGGGGCCCGCTGAAGAAGAGACTTACCTGAGCAGCAAAGACGATGAAGCAGATGATCAATCCCATCCACGATCCCGCAACGCCAAAGATTGCCTTGAAGGGAATCTCCTCCACAGAGTGTCCGTGATAGGCCCACGCCGCACGGAACCGGATATGCGCCAGGCAAATGGCCATCCAAGCGAAGAGCACAGCCAGACCGGAAAGCGCCTGCAGCCAGTTGAAGACAGTCGGTCCCGAAGCACTGAGGTTGATGTAGGCAAGCGGGCCGGTGAGCAGCATGAGGATGGTAGAGGGGAGGCATCGACCGGAGCGGTCAATGTAGGTGAAGAACTTGGGAGCGTATCCCTGCTGCGCCATGGCCGTCAGGGTGCGGGAGCCGCCGTAGACGCTGGACACGCCGATGGAGATGACGGAGATGAGGATGACGGCGTTCATGAAGTGGTCGAAGCCGCGCAGGCCGGCGTAGAGCCCGACGAGGACAAACGGCGAAGCCTTGACGTCGGTATAAGCGGCGCTGGACAGCAATCTCTCGTCATCTGCAGGAATCAAAAGGCCGACGAAGAAGAGGCCGAGCACATAGAAGAGGGTGATTCTCCAAAACACCTGCTTGATGGAGCTGGGCAGGGACTTGACCGGGTTGCGACTCTCTGCCGCCGCCAGGCCGACGAGTTCAGTGCCGGTAAAGGAGAAGGCTGCGGTGACGAACACTGAGCAGAAGCCCCTGAACCCGTTGCGGAACGCTCCAGGATTATGCCAATACTTTGCTCCCACGTATTCGGAATACCTGCCATCCGAAGGACCGCCGCCAAGCACAAGCACAAAGCAGATGATCATGAAGACGATCGTCGCAGCAAGCTTGATGACGGAAGACCAGAATTCTTCCTCGGCGTAGCCAATGCTTCCAAAGATGTTGATGAGGATGATGGCGACCCAGAAGATGGTGATCCAGACGCCTACGCTTATATCCTGGTTCCAGTATTGGATGACGAGGGAGCAGACTGTTAGTTCGAGTGGCAAGACGACGAACCAGAGGGAGAAGTAGTTCCAGCCGACGGCGAAGCCAAAGGACGGGTCGATGAAGCGGGTTGCGTAGGTGTAGAAGCCGCCGGACACGGGGTACATGATGGCGAGCTCGCCAAGAGCAAAGACTGTGTTGGGGTGAAGCATTCCGTCAGCATACGTATAGAGAGAATTGATGTGCGTGACGGATGGGCCTGTGAGTCATTGCGTGATTTGGATCTTTTGGAGGACTTACCGACGTTGAAGACCATGAAGCCGACGACGAGGAAGCAGATGAGAACCGAAGCAGGACCCTAGACAGCACTGTCAGCAACCAAGTTCACCACCATCCCAACTCCTCCCCCCCCTTTTCTTTCCTCGTCATTGTTTTCCCCCCTCAGCTCTTCGATCAGGAATGGCCACTTACACCCTTAGCCAGGGCACCGCCCGAACCGACAAAGAACCCAGCGCCAATCGAGCCGCCAATGGCAATCATCTGCAAGTGCCGCGTCTTCATCGCCCGGTCCAGCTCCACGAGCCCATGCCCGTAGTGCTTCTTCTGGAACGACTTGGCATTGAGGCCGTTGCGCGTCCAAAAGTCCTCGTCGTCGTATGAGTTCTGGAAGCCGTCGCCCTCTGACTGAGGCACCACGGCCGTGTCCCGCACGGATTTCGCCATGTTGTTGTTGGAGCCTTTTTCCTCGGACGGGGGCGTGTCTCCTGAACTTGCCCGCCCAGACATCTTGACTCTTTCTTTTCTTCTTCCCTCTTTCTTATTATTATTATAAGTCGTTTTCCGGAGAAATAGAACCGAATAGGATTTGGGGTGAAAAAAAGTTCCGTAGTGCGGCCTTGTTATTGGTGCGCGGCAGTTGGAGATTGTCAGGCGCAAAGTCCAGCCAGCCTCACCCGGGAAGTCGGATCGAGGTGTGTGTGTGTGTGTGTGTGTGTGGTTCAATGGGTTTGCCTTAATGCAAGGAAACGGGAGGGCTAGAAGATTTCCAGAAGATCCCTTAGTTTTGAGGAAACGTCACACAACCAACAACAAAAGCAGCAAGTGGAAGCGAAGGAGAGGGGAGTGTGTGTGTACAGTCAATGTGATGGGATCAGCACTTTATATGGGTTTTGCTCTCTCTCTCTCTCCCTCTCTCTTATTACTGATACTCTTTTTTTTTTTCTTCCCCCTTCGTCTGCCTGCCGTGTGGCATTAACCACTCAAACTGCGTATGACTACAACTATTAGCAACTAGTAGACCAAACCGCCCATGCTTCCGTCTACTATGTACTACTTTTCCTGCTCAGACCAGACCTTGGCAAGGGGGGATCCAACGGACAAAGGCTGAGGCGCTTAAACCCACTGACTCAGTGGACAGACCGAGAGAGCTCCTGGTCCGATAGCCGGGGACCGGAAAAGAATAGGTAGGTTTGGGAGAGCAGACAAAGAAGAGAGAAGAGGCAATTGGTTCTCCCGGGTTCGTCGAGGGGTTCCATCTTCGAGGACGGCCCTCCATCAGCCCCCTTGCCAAGAAGGCGTTGTCTGGCCGGGCTTTTTCATTCTTTTCTCTTTGTAACATACAAAAGCAGTAATAAAATGTGCTTGTCCCGGCTAGCCCCGTTTGCTGCAGGTAAGCACACAGTTTACAGAATCTAGTAGTACGTGGACTCGTATGTATGTATGTATGTATGTATGTATCACAATAGGCCAAGATTTTCTGCAGCAGCTCTGTGATAATACTACTTTCTCTAGGCATCTCTCCTTTCCAAGGTGTCACATCAGCCAACCTATGCACCCTGGTCTAACCCGACCTATGCACCCTAGTCTATGCGATTTTTACTATATTAGTAAACCTCAGCTAACTTATGCTTTATATAATTTAATTAGTTAAGATTTTATTTTTATAAAGTATAGGTTAGCTAAGCTTTATAAGCTAAAAGCTAGGTATATTTATAATGCATTAACTATTTATTTCTTTTCTTTTTTAACACCTGCGCTTTAGTATTAATAATATTTTTAATATAACTATTTCTTAATTTATTCTAAATATATTTTATAAGCATTATAATGCCTTATATAATAATTATACTTATATAATATAATATATACTAATACTATAAGGCTAAATAACTAGCTAGTAGTAATATTAATATTAATAAATACTAAAAAGGACTTAGCCTTTATAACTATAAGGTAAGTATTTATAATATATTTATAATATATTTATAATAAATTATTAACTTAGTTTCTTTTTTTATAACTAGGAGACTAGTAAGATTATCTTATTATATAAAAAGGTGTTTTACTATATACTTATTAGCAGTAAAAACCTTTATCTTAATATAAGTTACTATTAATTTAATATATATATTTATAATATATTTATAATAGCTTACTAATATAATATATAGGATTTACTATTTTTTAACTTTATAAACTTAAAGTCTTATATTATTAAGACTTATAAAGGCATATTTAAAAAGGTATAAAAAGAAATAATTAATAACTAGGAGGTACTAAATACTATAAGTATACTACCTCTTTACTATCCTTATTAATATATTTATAATATATTACTAATATATTATAATAAAATACTAGTATAATATTATAAAGTTACTAAATAATATTAAGGGCCTTACTTTATTACTTACTATGCTTATTAAGGCACTAGCAGCCTATAAGATTTAATAACGCCTAAGTTTTAATATTTTTAAGCTAAAGCTGCCTTTTTATAAGTTAAGTAGTAAAGGTTATATTTAAAGTAAGGTATTTCTTATTAATATATTACCTATATATTATAAATATATTACTAACCTTAATATCTTTTAAGTTAACTATTATATTATAAAAAAAAATATAGGTATTAGCGCTAATACTAAGTATAACTTTTATTATAGCCTTTTAAAAAGTAGTAAGTTAAAAACTACTTAATAATATATTATATATATAATACACTATAAAGCTATTACTAATATATTATAGCTGCCTATTTACTAAAGCTTACTACTTATAACTATATAGTATAAAAGTACTTTTAATAACTTACTAAGGAGTTTTTAATTAAGGTATTTAATAATACTAGCTTTAGCTTTAAAGTAGAGGAGAATAAAGAGGAAGTAGTAAAAAAGTAATCTATTATAAATAAATTATAAATACATTACTATCTTATATCTCCTAAAGTAAATTATCTAGCCTAAATACCTAGTTAGTAAATAATTTTTTTATATATTTAAAATGCATTACTATCTTTTTACCCTTTACTTATATTAAAAATATATAATTTTTAAGTAGTAAATATAGTCTTTTAGTAGCTATATATATAATATATATTACTATATATAAAATATAAAAAAAGATATACTAAGAGATAGTAATATATATATAATATATTAATAATATATTATAATTAGTTATAAAATACTACTTAAGTCTCTCCCTTTTAGTAAAGCTTATAGCTTTAGTTTATTAACCTTAAGCTATAGGATCTCCTGCTAAAGTTATAAGTTAAGATCCTCTACTTATAACTTTAACTAGCTAAATAATTAAATTAGTAAAATCTATAATAAATTAATAAAGCATTTATAATGCATTACCTTTATCTTATAGCTAGAATACTTAATAATAATAATTATAAGTAGGTAAGGATAGTAAAAAGCAGTAATAATAAAAACTAGATATTACTTATACTTAATTTTAGTATTATAGCTATTTTATTATTATTTAATATATTAAATAGTAATAAATAGTCTTATATATATTATTTACTTATAATATATTAATAATATATTATAAATTTATTATAAATACTTATATTTTTACCTATTTATATTTTAAAATTATCCTTATAAAAATATATTATAATATAATATATAAATACTAAAAGAGATAGTAATTCTACTAGCTTAAAGCTTATTAAAGTCTTACTAAGTATTCTTAAAGTAATATATTAGTAATATATTATAAATATATTATACTTACTTAGTAAAGCTTTATATAAACTTACTTATAAATTATAGTAACTAAAGTAGTATAACAGCTACTTATTTAATAAAAAGCCTTATAAAGGACTTTTATATAGTTTATATAACTTTTATAATAATTCTACTATACCTTTATTATATTAAAAAAAGTAAAGTATAGTTTACTTATAATAATATCTTTTACTTTATATTCTGCCTATTTTATTAATACTAAGTAGGCTAATTAGTTAGTAATTTATTATAAATGCATTATAAATATAATATATATTAAAAGTACTTACTTACCTAAACCTATACTAAAAGGTTTATATAATTATTAGCAGTTAGGCATTTTAGTAGCCCTTTTATAATATAGTAAAATAAGCTAATGCCTTTATGTAAGTTATTAATCCTATATATTATTATTTTTAAGAGGTAGATTAATAATCTATTCCTTATAAATTAAAAATATATTCTTACCTAGCCTATACTTAAAGTAAATAATATATAGTTAAATACTATACTAAATATACTATTTCTAGTTATATAAGGGATTAATATTTTAAAAATAATAATTAAATCTTATTATAAAAATAAATATATTAATAATAGTTTAGTAAAGTATTATAAATAAAATATATATTAGTAATATTTAAAATATCTTAATTAAGTGTAATACTATATATTTCTTTATAATAAATATATTCCTACTTTAGTATAAAGTAGTATTTCTCTTTAATAAACTTAAATACAGTTTTATATATAAAGTAATAAAATATATATATTTTACTAACTATAATAACTTATAATAAAAAAAGAACTATTTATAATATATTAATAATGCATTTATAATATATTATAAATAACCTACTTTATTAACTCTCCTTACTATAGTATAACTATATAACCTCCTTTTTTTTATTTACTAAATACTTAAAGTTTATATTAACCTAAAAGGTTTTAATATATTTAAAAAGCTTAATTTACTTTTTATAAAAAAATATAATAAGTATATTAATATTATTATTATAAAAGAACTAAATATACTATTATAATATATTAATAATAAGTTTATAATATATTAATAATATATTATAAATAACTTACCTAGTTTAAATCTTTTTTAATTTTTAAGTACTTATACTATATGCTTAATTTATTAAACCTAAATAGCTAATATATCTCCTAATAGTATTTAAGTATAGCTATTAGTTAATTATTAGTTATAAGGCTTAGATAAAGGTTAGCTAGTGTTTTTTTTTAATACTATTATAATAAACACTAAATACTTTAAAACTACTTCTAGTTTTTTAAAGAAATGCATTAAGTATAAATGCCTAATATATTAATAATATATTAGTAATATATTATCTAGTATAATATAATTTATATTATAAGTATTAATAGTCTGCTATAGCTTTACTATAAAATAATAAGAAACCTTTAATAATAGTAATAAAAGGTATATATAAATTTTATAAAAAAATATAGTAAATAATACTATATTTTAATTATATAAAATAAAAAAGTAATATATAACTTAACACTTAAGTTACTTAATTATACCTCTGCTATATAAAATATAAGTTATTACTAATAATAAATTAATAATATATTACTAATATCTTTAATTAAGTGTAATACTATATATTCCTTTATAATAAATATATTTCTATTTTAGTATAAAGTAGTATTTCTCTTTAATAAACTTAAATATAGTTTTATATATAAAGTAATAAAATATATATATTTTACTAACTATAATAACTTATAGTAAAAGGAGGACTATTTATAATATATTAATAATATATTTATAATATATTATAAATAACCTACTTTATTAACTCTCCTTATTATAGTATAACTATATAACCTCCTTCTTTTTATTTACTAAGTGCTTAAAGTTTATATTAACCTAAAAGGTTTTAATATATTTAAAAAGCTTAATTTACTTTTTATAAAAAAGTATAATAAGTATATTAATATTATTATTATAAAAGAATTAAATATATTATTATAATATATTAATAATAAGTTTATAATATATTAATAATATATTATAAATAACTTACCTAATTTAAATCTTTCTTAATTTTTAAATACTTATACTATATACTTAATTTACTAAACTTAAATAGCTAATATATCTTTTAATAGTATTTAAGTATAGCTATTAGTTAATTATTAATTATAAGGCTTAAATAAAGGTTAGCTAGTATTTTTTTTTAATATTATTATAATAAATACTAAATACTTTAAAACTGCTTTTAATTCCTTAAAGAAATACATTAAGTATAAATGCTTAATATATTAGTAATATATTAGTAATATATTACCTAGTATAATATAATTTATATTATAAGTATTAATAGTCTGCTATAGCTTTATTATAAGATAATAAGGAACCTTTAATAATAGTAGTAGAGGGTATATATAAATTCTATAAAAAGATATAGTAAATAATACTATATTTTAATTATATAAAATAAAAAAGTAATATATAACTTAATACTTAAGTTACTTAATTATACCTTTACTATATAAAATATAAGTTATTACTAATAATAGATTAATAATATATTACTAATATATTATTATAAATATATTTAAATAACTTACTATATATCTTCCTTTAATAACTGTTATAATTAACTATAGTATATATCTTTAATATAAAAAGGTTACTATTACTTACTATAGTACTTATAAAAATCTTTTATATATATAAGATAAATAGCTAGTATACTAGCTTAATAAGTGTCTTATAGTAGTATAAGTTCTTAATATAATTAATATATTATATAAATGCAATCTCTTTAATTATAATAGCTTATAATATATTAGTAATATATTAATAATATATTATAAATAAATACTTATATTTTTACTTAACTATATAATTTAAAGTAAGTAAGAGTTTTTTTATATAAACTGTCTGCATTTATAAGCCTTCTTCTTATTATAGTCTGCTAAAATAGCATAGGCCTAGCTATAAAGATATATTATATTAATAGTATATTATAAATCTATTACTAATATATTACTAACCTTAATACTTTTTATTTAGTACTTAGTTAAGATAGCTACACTTAGTGCTTTTACTACCTTACTTAATACTTTTTTATAACCTTAAAATAGTAAAAGTTATATAATATTAGGTTAAGGTATTAATAAACCTTAACGCCTATATAATAAAACTTATAGTATATTACTATAATTAAGTTTAAAAGCTATAATATACTTTTCCTTTTAAGCTTTTTTACCTTAAAGCAGTACTAGATTTAGTATATATTAATAAACTATTACTAATATATTACTAATGCATTATACTTATATTATTTTAAGGATATTAGCATTAAGCTTTTATTAGCTAATTTAAGAATATTAAATAAGCTATACCTAGCTTTAATAAGATTAGCTATTTAAGGATATATATTATATAAATAATCTTATTTATTATAATAGCTATAATTTATTAACCTTTATAATTAAATTAAATAAGGTTTAATAATAGCAGTATACTGCTTAGTGCCTTAATTTTACTAGGCTCCTTTAAAAGATTATTAAGCTATTATAATTCTTATATAATATATTAGTAATAAATTATAAAGGCATTATAAATGCATTATATATATATAATAGCTTCTTCTTATTAAACTAGTAATAAGAAGTAATAGCATATTAAGCTTATTAAGTATATTAAATTAACTATTATTAAGATAATTAGTAATAGTCTTAAATAAATCTATTATTAATATATTAGTAATAGATTTAGTAAGAAAAAATATAAAAAATAGTTTATTAAACTTTAAGATTATATAAAAGATATATATAACTTTTAGCTTATAAAGCTTAGCTAACCTATACTTTATAAAAATAAAATCTTAACTAATTAAATTATATAAAGCATAGGTTAGCTAAGGTTTACTAATATAATAAAAATCGCATAGACTAGGGTGCATGGGTTAGGTTAGACCAGGGTGCATGGGTCGGCTAATGTGACACCTCTCCTTTCCCTCCTTGCAAGTGGTTGGAAAGCAGCAGCAAGCAGTACTAGTACTAGTATGTGGTACGAGAAGCCCGATTTCTTAGCTCGAGGGCGCCATTTGAGAACGGCTCGTGGGTCTTGCCCAGAGGCGATCCCGGCACACGTCCATCGTAGGGCGCCGTCGACAGCAAAAAGCCCACTCGCCCACTTTGTCTGACCCAGTCCTCGAGGCGACTATTAGGTAATTGTCGTGCAAGCCGTGTTAGCAATAGTTTGGGGGGCCGCGCGGGATGGCGAGAGGAGACAAGAGGCAGAGGTTTGTGAGGGACTTGGATTTGCAATTGGGGGTGGATGAGTTGAAGTTCGTGGTGGAGATGTGGGAGATTTTGGTGACTCTTTCTTTGCCCACTCTCCACTTGTGGGCTGAGAAAGGACATTATGGGGGAGGGCTTGGAAGTTTCGTCCCGGTTGCTCTTCGTGGGGGGTTTTTTTTTTTGAAGGAGGGAATTCGGGGAACTTGAAGGGATCGTGAAGAATGGGAAAACGTAAGACGGTCTTTGGGGAGGAGACGGGATGCCCTCCTTGGCAAGCTGCCTATGTATTACCCCTGGATAATTCCCAATAATACGAGTTTATCCTCAAGGCAGTCATCTCTATCACGGCTAAGCCGTATGAGATTCAAGGAAAAGAAGTATTGTAATCAAGAAAAGAACAGAAGAATCTTGTTGCAAGCTCACAATGGCAGATGGTCTCAGATCTAGGACAGTCTCACATCAATGAGGCTCAACAAGACACCCATCAGCCTCAGCCAACCAACCCAGTCATGTCTCACATTCCTTTCGCCTAAACAAGCGAAACAGAAGGGCCCAGATAGAGTTGTTCCGTCCCCCCCTTGCTAGAAGCCCGATGGAAAAACACCACCACCACCCACCACCACCCAAGGGCAAAAAAATAGCCAAGCCAAAGCCAAGCCCTGTCCGCGAGTCATGCATGTCCTCTGACAAAAACTCCAAAGACAAAAACAAGCAGACAACTGGCCCGCTTCCCCGATCTGCGCGCCCCCGGACCCCGCGAACCTTCTTCAGTATATATGTGTCAACGATTTGGGGTCTTCAGGATACATATGTGTCAACGATTTCCCGATGCTGGCCTCGTTGCCCGCGGCCGGTTTCAATTCCGCCCGTTTCGTTGTTCATGATACTACACGTTCCATGTTTTTTTTCTCGTCTTTGTCCTTCATCAACAGTGTTAGAACGCCGCAATGCCGGCGGGTGGGCTTCTAGTATGGTCAGTGGCGGCTGGTTACCGTTGAGGCGGCGCCACGTTTATGGGTGTGGAGAGGCGATTGGCCTTGGAATCATGGAAGTTGGGCCTTGAGCGGAAACATATGGCCTGGAATCGACAATTTAGAGAGAAACTGGCTGAGTCTTATTGACTGTAAGGCGTGGTTTAGATTTTCGTCGGTGGCTCCAGGTCTTGGACATCAACCACGTTCTGTCGCGGCTTCTGTGAACTGTAAAGCGGTTTGTTTCGTGTCAAAGTTATCGTATTATGCCGAAGACAGCGAACAAGCAAACTCGTACATCGTACAAGGCAAACAAGGAAACCAGTAGCAATTCCGGAGGGCGCAGCCAAGAGTGGCTTTGCTACATGCCGCTGGTAAACGAGGTTGGCCCAGCCTCCAGCCGTCAGACGATAACGACTCACCACGGCTGTCGCTCCATATGTAATACTTCGGAATCGGAAACAGAGATCCTGTGGAAGGACCAACTGGAAGAGCTAGAACATGTCAAAGTGCAAGCCTTTTCCTTCTCTTCAGGCCATAGATCTGGAATCACGAATGCCAACCACAGTACCAGTAGCGTCTTCCTCACAAGCACCCTCCAAGGCTGTACTTCTCAAAGTAGAAACCACACCGTCTTTTTCAACCCATTATGAACCCCTTATGACTCGGAAGGAAGGCTTGAGTCTTCAGAAGTCATGTCTACCTAGATACCCGTGATAGTACTCCCGTTGGTGCTACGGGAGGACTGGAGACACGGGGACGCAGAGAGCCACCTCCGCATCTTGGAAACCTCCGCAATTCGACGATCCCGTGATCGGCCTCGGGTCTTTCGGCTACTATCCCAAACAATAACAAGGGGAAAAAAAAACACACCGTCAATGCAACCTTTCCAGCCTCACGCCATCAGGCTGAGAGTACCTTGGGGTGCATGTAAATACTGCTACTACTAGTAGCCCCCCCGGACGGGGCCTAATAAGCGGCGAGAGAGCCCAACAGCCATGGCCGTAACCCGCTGCTAGCCATGAGCACCACCCCAGACAAGTTTCCCCCGACAAATACGAGCATGATTCTTCAGCTCCTCGTTATGTAGATGCAAGATTGGGGAGAATGTGCGGGTCTGGGGTTGACGACAGCCCAATACTAGTACTTCCAAGAGCCATGTCTGCCAAGGGCGTAGCAGCACCGGCTGGTTTTCAGGTACTCTGCTTGCGCCCACCCTCAAGCAACCCTTTTGCGATTCCTTCTCAGTCCAGGCCTACAAATGGGCTACAGGCCATCATCTATCTTTGCAATCCAGGTGAAGAAGAAGAAGAAGAAGAGGATGATGTTGTTGTTATAGTTGAAAGAGTCGAGTCGTCTTACACGAGAGAACCCCACGGTCTTTCACGTCCGGTTACCCGATTGGGAAAGACCCGGCGCCGAGAGAGCGAAATCGCGGCCCCGATATGCGGAGGTCGAAGCTCCGCAGAGCTTGGAAGGCGTGAGGGGAAGTTGCACGGCGTCTGTGAGATGTTGTCGTGATATAAGGCAGAACTTGAAGCTGGACAGTCATCTTCTCAAAAGACATACAGCATCGTTCTATTCCAGAGTCACACAGCATTATCGTGATGATGGCATCAAGCAGTTTAGAAGACAACACCACGCTCCGCATCCTGCGAGCAGCCGACAAAGGCAACTATGGCGTCCTCGCCGCCGTCGGGTAAGAATAAGAAGAAGAAGAAGAAGTCATTGAGCAACATGGCCTCTCTCACTCAGCCAGATACAACGACGACAAACGACTGATGATAAGAGCTCATGTGTGCAGCTACAACCTAGAGCAGATCCTCGGCTTCGTCCGAGCCGCAGAGCGCAAAAGGTCCCCCCTCATCATCCAGCTCTTCCCCTGGGCAATCGCCCACTCCGACGGCGTCCTCGTCCACGCCGCCGCCCAGGCCGCGCGCCAGGCGTCCGTCCCCGTCGCCGTGCACCTCGACCACTGCCAGGACGAGGCCATGGTGCGGCGCGCGTGCGAGCTGCCCTTCGACTCCGTCATGGTGGACATGTCGCACCATTCCAAGGAGGACAACCTGCGCAAGACGAGGGAGCTGGTCGCGTACTGCCACGAGCGCGGCAAGGCGGCCGAGGCGGAACCGGGCAGGATCGAGGGCGGCGAGGACGGCGTCTCGGACACGCTCGACCTGGAGGGCTTGATGACGACGATGGAGGAGGCGAGGGGCTTCGTGGACGCGGGCGTCGACTTGCTGGCGCCGGCCTTTGGGAATGTCCATGGGGAGTATGGGCCGCGGGGGATCGTCCTGGATTTCGAGAGGTCAGACTCCTTTTTTCTCTTCCTCTTCCTCTTCCTCTTCCTCCATGGTGCCGTGATTTAGCAAGCTGATATTTCGATTGCAACTAGACTCAAGCAGGTCCATGAGATTACCAGTGCAAGCAATGTCCTCATTGCCCTGCATGGCGTGACGGGATTCTCTGAGGAACTCCTTCGGCAACTTATCGAGGCCGGAGTGCGCAAGATCAACGTCAACAAGGACATCCTCATGGGCTACTATGCGGTGCTGGAGCAGAGAATCAACAAGGCTCCGTTCACGCAGGTGGTGGACGAGGCGATAGAACAGGTTGCAGAGGCCTTGGCAAGGCAGATGGATGCTGTAGGCTCAAGTGGCAAGGCGTACTAAGTTCTTTTTGTGGTGGTGAGAATCAGATGCCTTATACCCCCCTATTCTGTTCCTTGCTAGAAGTCAACAAAACCTCGGCTTTCCCAGTATTTTTTTCAAGACCCTATATCAACCTTTTGGCAACAAAATCCCAACTTTGTGTGATTCCGTCCTCTACGTCCACCCACCATCAATCGTCATGCTCTGGTTCGTCACAGCCGCACTATCGTCCGCAATCAACCACAGGGCCATCCTCGCCACCTCCACCGGCTCAATCAGCCTCTTGATGGCCTGGTGCCCCAGCACTTTCGCCTCGTACTCGGGCGTCAGCACCACCGTCCTCTCCCTCTCCGTAGCAATCGATCCCGGCATGATGCTATTCACCCTGACGCCCTGGGGCCCAAACTCGTGCGCCAGCGTCCTCGTCAGGCCCACGACGCCGGCCTTGCTCGTCGTGTAAGGCACCTGGCCCGTGGCCGAGACAAGCCAGTTGATGCTGCCCATGTTGATGACCGAGGCATGTCCCGCGGCGCGCAAGAGCCCCGGCAGCAAGGCCTGCGTGAGGAAGAACTGGTGCCGCAGATTGACGGCGACGCTCTCGTCCCACCAGTCCGTCGTGATGTCCTGCGTGGGCCTCGCCATGGCTCTCGCAGCGCTGTTGATGAGCCCGTCGACCCGAGGGAACTGCTGTAGGATCTTGGCGGCCGTGGGCTTGAGCTCTTGGTCGACGTGGACGACGTCGCAGTGGAAGTAGATGGGCTTGTGCTTGACGCCCGCCCTGGAGGATATCTTTTGTATGAGGGATGTGGCGCGGTCGTCTTCGACGTCGAGCAAGATGACCTGGGAGCCTTGGAGGGCGAATTGCTCGACCATTTCGGCGGCGATGCCCTGCGCGCCGCCGGTGATGACGATGGTGCGGTCGACGAGGCTGGGGTATATGGCATATTTGGCCTCATGTTGCTGTTCCGCCATGATGAAGGGGTAAATACTCTGAGGTTGCTGCTCACTGATGTAGCTGTGTGATGTATTGGGTTGTCTTTGGCTGATTCTCTGACATTTCCCTCTTACCTTGATGTTTTGCTGTCAGCACACAGCTTATGTGTGATATATAGGTAGCCGGAGATGATGTCGGGAACAAGGAGGATCTGACTCTTATATGTCCCAAGACGTGTCGATCGATTGATTACGCTCGATTGACTGCATCGTCTAATGTATGTACCCCGCCTTCAGGGCTTTTGGCTTCTCAACTGCAATTCTCCCGACCTCGGATGGCTAAAGACGTGTGTGTAACGTTACGAAGTCTCCTAGTCAATATCTTGTTTATTTTCCCGGAAGAGAACACGAATAGTAGATGGTTGATTTGAAATGATGTTATGGTGATGGTGATACATTGTGCCAATGGTTTATTGGTATTATTGTGTTTGTTCGTTGCTATAGATGCCATGTGCGTGTTGTGTTTCTGTCCTTTTGCACAGGCAAACCGAGGGTGCTGAGAAGAAGAATCATGTCGGCTTCGAGATATATGCATATACAACCCCAGACTCGACGAATCTTCTGTAGTCCACAAGTCTTGCCTCAATTCAAGTACCAACACAACAATACCCATAAGAGCTGCTGCTTCATCATCCTCCATCCTCACCATCCTCAACCGCCTCCAGGCGGCTTCCCCTTCTTCGGCGCACTCCCCGCTCCGCTCCTCCCGCCCTTCCTCGTCTCCTTGCCCGGCCCCGTATCCTGCGCCTTGGCCGTGTCCCCCATTGGCTTGTTGAACTCCTGGTTGGCGCCGCTCGCCGTCAGCGGGTTCGTCTCGGTGCCCCGTCCGGCGGCCTCGTGCTCCGACTCGGGGTCCGTCTTGGACGGGTTGAAGGAGGCGTCCTTCTGCGCCACCACGTCGTCGTCGCGGCCGGATCTCGTGCCGTCGTTGGAGCCCGGCTTGAGGGACTGGCGGTCTTGGGAGTTCTTGTAGGGGAGGCGGAGGGCGGCGGTGGTGTGGTAATACTGGCGCGGGAGGGCTGTTGTTGCGCAGCAGCGCGGGATGTGGGCGAGGTTGCGGATTGCCGATGCCATTGTGTTTGTTTGATGGATGAAATTGATTCGGACCTGTGGTTATTTCTGCGTGATGTGAGTTGCAATTGGGTTCTGTCGATGTTTTGTAGCTGTTATGGTGATGCTGCTGCGCTCTTGAGGTCATGGTGACGCTCTGGGTGAAGCTTCCCCAATACTGACGTCATCAGCTCCGATCCCAAGCAGCAAAAGATCAGCACATGCAAACAGTTCAGATTCAGGGCCAGGAACCAAGACAATGGCTGCAAACGTGAATCTAGAACGATCGATCTTCCATGACATCTACCATCTTTGAATAACCTCAAGAATCTGCCTGTCGCTAAAGATACAGCTTCTCAAAAGTACAGCTCTTCACTGGGTGATTGCATCTCAAATGATATTACCTAGTACCTAAGGTACTACCAGATACCTACCTGTATAGGTAGGTAGGCCAAGACAGAGTGTCAGCAAGGCTCATGTACAAGTAAGTACCTAGCTGGGCTTCCTATTAGAACCAACAAATTCCTATAAACGCACGATCATGTGCCGCTGTATGTATTGCTTATAGATGCCAAGTTCAGATGGAAACCGCTTCTACTCTACGGCTCGCTTGATAGGCCCGCTATCCAACGCACTGATGATAATACTTATCCAACGGCATCTGACCCTGGTAGGTAGCCACCACCAGTGATAGAGGTTGCAACGGATGGAACTCTTGTTTCGGAACAGAATGGCAGCCGCCAACTTTGAGCTTGTTTCAATACCCATGCAATGGAAGAAACGTTGTTGTCTGCAGACCGGTGGCTTTGACTCCACGTCTGCATCTTGAACGACCTGCACGGCTGAGATGACTCGGGTAGAATTCGAGGACCAATTTGCATGAAGCTTCACCACGCTTCAGACGGAACGTATCGCCCATACTCTCCTTTTCCATCTCTGCGCAAACAACCACAGACCCAATGTGGACTCCCGTCACGCTCCGCGTCGCTTCAGCCAAGCAATTACAATCCCACGCGAAGTTTTACATGGCACACACACACACACACACACACACACACACACACACACACACACACACACACACAGAAAAAGCGTAACATCGGGCATCCCGTACCAAGAGGCAAAAAGGGGAGGTGTGATTTTCTCGGAGGTCCCGCCGACGGAACAGAACGAAACTGCGTCTGCGTTTGTCGTCGCATTGCAGAATAATGGAGTGCTCCCCCCCCTTTGTGGGAATGTGGGAAACGAAAGCGTGTGAGAGTATCCCCAATACCGGAGACGATGGGGCCGGTGAGGCGAACGGACCGCTTTGATGTCCAAGCGACTTCGACATTGAGGAGATGGGGCTCTCGTAGCGTCTGCGGATATGACCTGGTGCTCGATGTTTATGTGACTTCAGGGACGTGCTCAGTGAAGAGAGCCCCCCCCCCCCCCCCCCCCCTTCATTTTGCGACGTCAACGCGGGAGTGATGCTTGTTGGCACTTGCGGGAGTTGCTTGTAGGGGGGGGGGGCAATGCCGGGTTGGTCTCTGGAATGTCAGTTGCTTCACCTGTAACTCACCAAGCTCGGCTTCAGCCGTGCCATTGAGAACATGCGTATGACTAGGTAGGTTGAATGTGCTGATTATAGCCAGATCTACTTTCGTTAAGGAAGCTTGATGGGCCGCTGCATAACTGGTGATGCGAGCGTGGACAACAGCTTGCAACATTAGGAACACTAGGAACAACACCAGGAACGGTCTTGGTGTCCGCAAAGTAACAAGTTTTTACGAAAATAACCCGTTCAATGTATAAAGTGGTGGTTTCTGTTTGCTTTACCCTTTATCGACAACGGCTTTCCGAAACGTAGAGTCGACAACATGAAAGCAACAAGTTGAAGCTGTCCAAGTACAACTGGAGTAGTACTCTGTAAACGGTGCGTGTCATACGTAGATAGTAATTTGTGTCTCGACCTCTCTCGAACTTTGTCACGTCAATGGAGTTCCGAGTGTTGGAGTTACGATGCTCGAGTGATGCATACCTTCGGTAAATGTAATACATGGAGGCCCAAGAGCCTACATGTACTCTGTCTACACACTAGTTAAGGAGTCTATATGGAAGGATGTCATATACATTAGCGGTTACCTACAGCTAGATGGAAGATGAGATCAGATTGCTTCTCAGGGCCACTGTTCAGTCTCTGGCGTGTATCCGTCGTACTGCTATTGTGGGCAATCACTTGGGAAGAATTACTCGCGTATGCTTAACCTCGGTCAAGGACTCTGATAACGACTAATGCATCAACATGACCGACGCGTACCAGGCACAAGAATGGAGACTCGCTCCCTCTTGATGTCAATGCCCCTTACCCGCCTGGTCCAAACTGGTCAAAAGGCAACCCATCAAAGTGGGCAACCTGCAGTTCATATCAGGTCCAAAAGGATCTGGAGAGTCATTGGCCATCTGCAGCCACCTGACGCTCCTAGCAGTACTGAGCAACCTTTAATTTACGAAGTAGCCTTTTCCCCCCTTTCCCTCTTCTTCGTCTTGTGCAGCATTTTGATTCCAGCCAGAAAGCCTCCTGTTCAGCTCTCGTCCTTGGCTTCCACGCCTGTGACTGAAAGCCACAAGGACGGCCAGATGATAGTACTCTGGAAGCGACGTAGCGACGGCGTGATATGACGAGTAGTTGTAAATGATCGGTTTCTCGACCAACAGAAACAGCGCGCGGCAGAGACCAATCTCTGAGATTCGGCGAGCGATTACTGCGTGCTGATCAGCGGATGTATGTCCGAAGCGTCTTTACCTTGGAAAGTCTAGCACGGCGACCCCTGAGAAGCAAAACCCAAAGCGTGAACACTTCAAAATCTAAATCAGCCCTTGAATCTTGGCATCGAGAGCGGGGAAATCCGGGATGCCAACCTAAACATGTTGCTTCGAGCTGGTTACTACCTATCTTGAAGTGAGGCGCATCCGAGATGACAGTGTCCCGTCAATGATCGGATACTATCAGCGTACCTTGGGTGCTATTGTACAGTCCAGCTTCTATACTGGCAATTACCCTCGCTACTAGTCTCTATCCTTCGTAAACTGACCACAGAACGAACGAATCTAAAAAGCTGGCGCAAACCGACGCCCGAGGGCAGAGCCTAGTGTGGCGCCAGCGGCCGGCGAGAGGCGTCTCGTGACGCTCCTTTCACGATGGCGGCACGCTTTCGCAACGGGGATCGGCGCGACAGCACGTGGGCCAGGCAGGGATACCGAGGCAGCGAGTATTAATGTGTGTTGCCTTTATTCACTGTGCTGCTGTTTGGTTGTTTGGTTGTAATTCTAGTAGGTAGGTAGTATGTTGGTGAGATTGCTGAGGAAATAGTCCGGAGAAGAGCACCGAAGGAGGTGAGGTGAGATGGCTGGGGTGCGAGAGTCAGCTTACCCACACTGTACGTGCTCGGTACCTTGCATGATGGACAACCAACGTACATCAACGTAATTTGATGATAGTAGGTAGTAACTGATTGCTTCCACACATGCGAGCTGGTAGGGAGGAGAAGGCGAATGAGCTCGTGCTGTTTCTGCAAGCACCCGCAGGACAAGAACCCCGTCGCAAAGATCGAAAAGGAGCGCGCAATTAAAGCTTTCCGGTCTCTTTGTCTGTTGTCTCCTGAGCCAGTTCGACGCTGTTTGCAGCGCGCGCAAGGCAGGCAGGTAGTAGGCTGTGGATTCATGTTCGTACTGGTACATGTAGGTTGGATCGACTTGACATGTTGATTGGCTTACGGTGTTAAAATCTGCACAGTGTGAAATGACGCAGCACGCGCTTCAACGTAGGTAGGCAAGAACCACTGACCGCAATTGCGCAACTCACGTTTGAAGTATCTGAGTATCTGTTCGTGCTTGATGCACACGATGGAGTGCAGACAACTTCATCAATAACATACCTATACTAAGGAATGTCGACCGCAGCCAACAGCCTCAGCTTGCTCCAGCGCTGTGCATTGATGGGCTCCCGGCTGACTGGATCACGGATTGAGACGTCCATTGCAGTGTCGTTCGTCGGCAGTGTTACCACAGCTGGGCCCAGCAGATCACACCGAGTTGTTCATGTTGACTGACTGATCATCTCGTACGCATCACAAGAAACGCAGCTAGGTTCTTCTTGGTACTCTCCCCCGAATGCTCAGCGACCCGAAGTTGACTCTTATCAACATGGATCTAGTAGTACGCAATAGCACTCCTGCTAGAACGGACGCCACATAGAGCTGCTGCTCTCGCTAGCCGGCCACTACTGATATCAGCGAATGGCCCTTGGTTCCAGTCGCTTGCATCCCGTCGTGAGTCCAGCGTTGGTCAGCTCTGAGAATCCGCCGCCGGACTCGCCGACCAGGGCTGCCGTTTGACTCTCCCCACGGAACCCACAGGCCTGCAGATACCCTGCCAGCTTTGCTTCCAATCCAATGCCTTTTCTTGCTTGCTGAAGCGGCGGGCTGGTGCAGCAAAGATGGGCAAATAACAGCGTGCTATCATGTGCGATACCACAGCCGACAGAATGCAATGAATTGAGCCAGCATCAATGCCAGAACGACACGTCAAACCCTGGGAGTATCTCGTCTCTATGGATGCCTCTCTATATAGAGATGCTCCCATTAGACACCACCTCCTTTTCCCCCAGTGCTTCCGCCGCTAACGGGTGGCGACTGATGGTGCGGGTTTCCGCTGGATTGCTGGATGCTATTGTCGGGGCTCTATGAATGGATGGCAAAATGGCAAAATTGGTATCCCTTGCAATCTGGGCAAAAAAGGTGTGTGTGTGTGTCAGCTCCCGAATGGACCTGGATTGGGTGCTATTCTAGAAATCCCGGGGTCTTCGACAACGTGGTACGCGCAGTAGTTCAGTGCTCGCTTCTCCACCACACCAACCCTTGGGGTGAGTCAAGCATCTGATGCCACGCCTCGGAGCAAAAGACAATCAATGAGAGTAGTATGGCTGTCTCTCCAAGGGGAAAAGACAAGAGTTGCTGCTGTGACTCTATGCAGTATGGACATGGCGTTTCACTCCACAAGGAGACACGATTGGATCTGCATTTGCATCTGGTATGACCCTGTTCTTCTTGATTGATAGCAGAGTTGTACAGTAAACCTGTACGCGCTGCCTGCAGACTCTTTGGCTGTGTTGCCGCAGCTGATACGAGCTGCAAATTCAAGTCAGACTGACAGATGACAGATGAGGAGTGCTCAGGCCATTTCAATGTTCCGTGCATTGGTGTGAACCTGCGACACCACATGACGAGCTTCCTCATCACCAATGACCGGCGCATTCTAGAAGCCTTCCAATGGATGCAATCACAGGCGGCTGAATTGGGGGACGACCTGTAACGAATATTCCGTGGCTGCTGCAGGCAGTCCCCCCTCCACCCCATACATGTACGCCGTAATATGTGTCGACAACCAACAGCATGAGCCCACGCACGCGATGGATTCCATCTCCTGCAATGCAGGTGAGCCCCTTGTTGATGAGCTGGATGGATCGGGCAACTGGAGACGGCGTGCCGGCAACTGCTTGTGCTGCTTCTCGTGCTGCTGCTCGTGCTACTGCGCGTCCTTTGGCTCTCTCTCAATCAGTGACGAGGATCATCAGCTGTCGCTCCCTGCCGAGTGCTGTTTCGACTCGTGTGCCTCCATGTCGTTTCCTACCTATCGCAACTGCGTCTTTGGTGCTGCGTGGCCCCCTGTCACATCTGCACATTGTGAGGACAGCAGCAGCCCGCCATGTCTGCGACACACCGCTAGAATGCACAGTCGAGCCCAGTACATAGGAACGGAGCAGGACAGATCTGAACGCTTCCTTTGTTCCGTGCGACGTGCGACATGGATTGAAACTCATGGTACCACCACGACTCGGGAGGAGCTAGCAGTACGACTCGACATCTTGTTCCACTCAAAGGGTTTGACAGATTGCCGTCGCTGCAATTTCCCAGCGAGTGGCCATCACTATCCATCATGTACAGTATGGATTGCTCCTTTTTTACTGCAAGTTCAGGTTGTTCCGACACAGGATATGCTGATCCCATTCGTCGTTCCCTTGCGTCATCCGCGACCCTGGGCGAGAAGTCCTGATGATGGGTTGCCAGGGACAAGTGAGTTAGACTGGAACCAGTGCGAGCCCATGAAGCATCGAGCAATCCCCGTCTCCATTTTATTGACTCGTCTCCCACATGCTTGCTCGGTGCCATTGATTTGGGCGTCCCCACCGGGTTATTGTGTCCTGGATGGCACCAAATGATAAGTTGGATCGCTGGCCGAGGTCTGGACCAGAGGCTTCCTAGTAGGAGCAGTAGTAGTAGTAGTAGGTATCTTGGAAGGTAAGTATGGATCACAGAAGTGAGGTGTCGTGTATCATCATCTCTCGCAGTCATGATTACAATTGAATGTGACATCCATCCTTCGTTCCGTTCGCCTCCTCACTACTATCTACTCGTCTCTGCTCTTCATGCCTCCCACATGCTCTTCAACACACGATGCTTCATACCTAGACGCAAACTACCTATGTACCCTCAATCCTCTCCTCCACTACCTATCATCGTCCCAGCCCTCCCTGAAACCAAACCAGCGCCATCCCTGCCCTGCGTCCAGAATATCCAATGCGTGCACATGTCCTCAGCAGGCCTTGAATTGAGCCCACGTCCATCCATCCAACCCATAAACGGGTCCATGCACCGCACCGCACCGCTGCAGCAGCTCAAGGGCCCCAAGGGCTGCTAACGGGGGGGCGCTAGCACTCAGGCTACGGCGCCTTGATTGCATTGAGCCCGCTGAAGCTCCAGCCTCCAGGCGCCCCCCCATCAGCTGCATTTGCCGCCTCGGCCGCGCTGCTGGTCGCTGCTACGCTGCTACTACCGGCGCAGCGCTCCACTAATACAGGGCGCCTCGGCCACTAAACCTCCAGGGCAGCCTCTCCAAGTGCTGCGACTCTCGCCCACCCCCCCGTTCCATCAAATCTCCCGCATCTTCTCAGTGCACTGGCTAGTCTGGGGCGAGCATTGATCATCGCCCTCTATCCTTGCAAGCTCGTTGTCTCCCCTGGCTGGCCCTTCTCACTCTTACATGGGACGCTTCCTCTTTTTCCTTGGACTGCCTCCCGTCTCGCTCTCCATCCCGCAATAGTCGTCCCTCCGCCGGCCCCGTCGAGAGCATCGTCGACGGCTTCATCCTCAGCATCCTCCATAGCATCGTCAACAGCTTCGCCAGCAACAAGCCACTCACTCCCGCGCTGCAGCACAGCAGACTCAGACGGCCAGGCGATATCCGTTACCCAGTCCACCCCCCCGAAACGACAGATACGAGCCGGCAATTGGGCCCCCAGAACCCAGAAACTCCATCGCTCGACGTCGCCGTTATTACTGCAATCCGGTCCATTCGCCGCCTATCCACTCCTGCTAGCCCGCCCATCTGCGACCTTTCCTTATCCTTTTCGTCTCCTTTGCTCCTAAAGGAAGAACCCCCCACTGGCCGCCCGCGAGAAAACAGGAACCAAACCAACCGAAGCCGCAGCCAACCCGCCATCTTCCTGCCAGGCCCGCGAGCAGCATGAGCCTTTGCCGTCGTTGACGATAAATCGAGCTGCACTTGTCCTCCGATCCTCCCCAGCCAATTCATCATGGGCAACGGCCAGGGAAAGCCCGTCGACCTGACCGGCGAAGGTACGTGACAGGAGAATCTCCCCAGCGCATCGTGGCCTCCAGCCTCTCTCCCCCCCTTCGCGCCGTCCTCGCGCTCCCTCTCACCAGCGTGTTCTGGCGCGTTGTGCAGTGATGAGGGACTGCATTTCCCCTTGCCTCCAATGCCGCGCTTTCAGTATGCTGAGCTGACGGAACAGCAGCCAACCTCAACCACTTCCGCTTGCTGCGAGTGGTCGGCCGAGGCGCCTTCGGCAAGGTCCGCATTGTCGAGCGCAAAGACACCAACCTGACGTTTGCACTGAAATACATCCGGAAAGATGAAGGTACGCCTATCCATGTGTCATTCTTCTACTCGCTGCGGCAAGCTCTTGCCTGGGCCTGCAGTTGCGCCAGCAGAGAGGAGCATCAATGAAGACCGAGCTAACGTTTGGTTCTCCAATTCAACAGTTGTCAAGTCTGAGAGCGTCCGAAACATTATCCGCGAGCGACGAATGCTGGAGCATGTCAACCACCCCTTCATCTGCAACTTGCGATACAGCTTTCAGGACATCGAATACATGTGAGCAGAGAGCCCCCCCTCCAACCCACGTTACACCGCCCAATCCATGCGAGTCCATGCTGACGGCATATGCTCAAGGTACCTTGTCGTCGATCTGATGAGCGGCGGCGATTTGCGATTCCACATCTCCAGAAAGACTTTTACCGAAGAGGCTGTCCGTTTCTGGATCGCCGAGTTGGGCTGCGCCCTCCGCTATGTCCATTCCCAGAACATCATCCACAGAGACGTTAAGCCAGATAACGTCCTTCTCGACGCGGAGGGGCATGTCCATTTGACCGATTTCGTAGGTCTTATCCTACCCTTGACAGGATTTTGACGGGCTGATAAGCGCTGACCTTTGGCTTTTAAGAACGTGGCTTCTGACATCGTGCCGGGTCGTGTCATGACTAGCAAGTCCGGAACACTGGCCTACCTCGCCCCCGAGGTCTATTCGGGCAAGGGATATGACATTCGTGCCGACTGGTGGTCACTTGGTGTCTTGTTTTATGAGTGCATTTACAACAAGGTAAGCCGCCGTTCTGTTCGCAACTCCAGAAGCACACATGAGGCTTACCCAAACCAGCGACCATTCGAGGGTAACAGCGAATCTACGCTTAGCCAGCAGGTTCAGTTCTCTCAGCCAAAGTATCCTGTCACGCAGCCCCCTGTCTCATTGACGTGCCTCTACGCCATTCGTGCCGCGCTTGAACGGGACCCCAACAACCGACTCGGCTCAACATGGGAGAGCTTCATCTACAATGACTTTTTCAAGACAATCGACTTTGATCTGCTCGAGCAAAAGCGCATCGAGCCCATCTTTGTCCCCTCATCGGACAAGACCAACTTCGACGCAACCTACGATTTGGAGGAGCTTCTGCTCGAAGAGGCCCCTCTGGAGGCACGCGCAAGGCGACAGAAGCCCAGAGAGCGGCTCAAGGAAGATGCCACCGATCAAGAAATTCGCGAAGACGAGCTGTACAGGATGATTGAGACAGATTTCCGTCCGTTTGACTACACCCTTGCGGCTTACAGCAAGTAAGTTTGAAATGCGCCTTTCCACGTCACGCCAAAGCAGCAGCACGTTAACTCTATAAAGAATTACCGCCGCTCAGGGCGAGAACGGAGAGGCAGCGACGGGGGAGCCTCAAGCCATCACAACAGACGAAGCTACGCAGATGCCCTCGACGAACGAGCCACCGACCTACCCAGCACCGCCAGTGGACACCACCGTCAGCGCCGATCGTCGGGCGCCCCCTCAAGGGCAGTCATCTGCGTATCCCGGACAAGTTCAATACGTCCCTCGATCACCGCCCACGAGCAAGCGAGTTACGAGCCCGACAGGTGGAGTGCAGTTGACGCTCGATGGCGGAGGTAGTTGGTCTGAGCTAGCACGACAGGACGCCACGCTTCCCAAGGATGCCAGCACCGTGGCCGAGACGAAGAGCGAAGGGTCGGGCGGCATGTTTGGATTCTTGAAGAGCAAGAAGGGGAGAACCAACAGCCCCAAGCCTAGAGAGCGTGGTGTGCTGGGCAAGGAAGGGGCCAGAGTGGTCATTAGCTGAAGGCGTCGACATGATCCTGGATTTTTGACGACACAGCGAGGGGCCTAGGCTTGATTTCCCTCTCCTTGGACAGCAGACTGGATGCGATCCCGACGAAAACGAACACGTGCTACGGGTTAATGGGTTCACGCGGAGTTTACGGACGATTGAACATTTTGGAAACACGGCCAGCTCGACGCGCGCGAGCCCCCGGCAGTCCCAATCCCGGTGATCGAATTCACTCCGGCGCAGCTCGTCTGGGCGAACGAGCACCATCATCTCTCCTGGTCTAACTTGTTTGTTTCTCTTGAAAGGCCATCTCAGAGGGTGGCATTATCCGGTGCTCCGAGTGTTTCACGGCCATCAGCCTGAACGCCTTTTTTTTCCGATTGTCGATACCCCTCTCACTGTACGATATACTTTGCCACGCAAAGGGGCTCATATTTGCACGTCCTGACGCTTCTTTGGGCTCGATTCTTCTATTTCACTTATTCTTGGATAGAGAGCATTCTTCTTCTCTCCGCGTTACTTTTTCTTTTCGGTGTATTTCCTTCTTGTTTCCCGGGTTGGCGTTTGCATAGTTTAGACGAGAAACATTGGCAGAAACCCAAAGCAGGCGGAATAGCGGGAATATGCGTATCTGCATCATCGTCCTAGTTGGTTTGTTTATACGCTCACTATAAGAGTTACAACATTTGATGGGCGGGTTGGGGAGGGGGAGGGAGTGTCTGGAAGATATAGAGATGGAAGCGGATTGGGGAAGGGTGGTGTTTTGTTTTGGGTTGAGCGATGATTATGATGTATAGGCATGCCTATATTTATATCTATAGTATGTAGATGACAATGAGCATTTGCAACACGATTTTAGTACCATCTCATGGCCCCTTTTGTTCTTTTGCTCTTCTCTTTCATGGGCTTGCTTGGTCTTTTTGTCTTCTCCTTTTCCTGGCAAGTTCGTTCTAATGTTTTCTCATATCTGTATTTAGCCGGGTCTGCCGCTATCCGGTGGCAAAAACACCATTATAAGGGTGAAAGTTGTCCCCCTCAAGCAAGCAAGGGCTCCTAAATCGGCGTGGTTTCTCAAGAATCTTTCTTTCACTTGGAAGTCTGTGAAATCCGACCATTCCAAGGCAAGGGGATTGGAGGAGAGATACAGATACACTCACTGCCCAGTTCATACAGCCAGGAATTCTCGACTGGGAAACAGAGTTGCCAATTTCTGTTCGACTTCCACTCCTCAAGATCTGCGCCGAGTGTTTTCCAAAACGTTTATTATTACATGATCATTCCAACACCACTTACAGAGATAATGTACTGATTTCCATGACCAGTTTCGTGTATACCGTCATGGCATAGGACTTGCAATCATATACGATATCAGAGAGAATGTCCAGTGAAGCAAGAGCTGCAGACGCAGAGTAGTGTCATTGATATAGAAATACAAGAAGCCAACCAGATTCCAGCGTCGTTGGATTAAACGAAAACAAAAGGAAACAAAAAGACCAAAGATTATGCTTCAAATTCGACGACTTGTCCGTTCGTCCTATGTCCATCCAATGCTTGAAAAAGCCCGGGCCTCAATGGCCTTGACCATGCCCTTCTTTGCTCAAAACGCCGTAAAATCCATGGATTCTCTGTGTCCCCTTTGCACCTCGATCGGTTGTTAAACGTACATCCATGCGCCAGGAAGCGTCTTCGTCGGCTCCATTCGTTCATGGCATCACCAGGCCCTCGGACGACGTCTTTTCCACAGCGATGCCCAGCTTTTCAGCCGTGCAATCGGCCGCCTCCTTACCCATGTACTTCTTGAGAATGGAGTCGAAATCCCTCTCGGCAACGACGGGTCCGTTTCCGGAGCATTTCGCCTTCTTGGTGAGTTCTGAACACAGACCATCCAGATCAAACTCGCCGTTCTGAGCCTTGGGGCATGCCTGTAGCCTCTCCCTATAATCGACATATTAGTACTCAGTACACCAAACAGGTCATTCAAACTTGTGGCAACGTACCAAAGCTGGTTACAGCTCATGTTTGTCTTGGTCATGGTTGGGTCATCATCCACATTGTCCTTCGCGGCGTCAATCTCATCAATGATGTTCGTCTTCTTCGGCAGGTTCGGGCTGGCCATGTTGTAAGGAGTGAAGAAATCGGCCTCGAGTGAATCATTGAAAAGATCGTCAAAGGTCGGGTTGGCCATGATGTTCTCCTGAGGCTCGCGATAATCGCCAAACAACTGCGGGTCGAACTGGCCGCCATTGTTCTGCTGGACCATCCAATCGAAGCTGTTGTTGCTAAAGTCGAGGCCAGCAAACTGTGAAAAGGGCCCATCCACGGTCGACATGGAGGGGTGCTCCTCGCCAATGGTTGTCAGGGTGTCGACAGGCTTGAAGCCCATGGGGGACTGGGTGAAGGGCTCGGGAGACGTGCCGCACGAGGAGCTCGCGCCCACATTAGAATTGGAGTGAGAAGATGCCGACGGCGAGCTTGTCGTGTTGTTCATGCTGTAGTTGACCGAGTCCACACTGGCTCTTGACCCGGTAGCGGTAGAGCTGCTCATGGACGGAGTGTGCATGTTGAACACGCCATTGTTGAACTTGGCGAGATCTTCCTTGAACTGCGCGTTTCGCGCCGCCTGTTGGGTCATGCGGGCCGGCTTGTCCGCATTGTTCTGTTTTGTGGCAGGGCTAGAGGCCTGGTTGGAGATGGGGCTGATGGGTTGGGACATGGACTTCTGGTGAGCCTTGGCAGGGGGTCCAGGGAGGTTGCCGAACTTGGGGAACTCAAACTGGAAGTTGACGTCAGGCAGGTTGCTGATGGCAGCAGCGCCGAATGTTTGAGCGCGGACGGGCGCAGACGCCTTGGGTGCCACGAGCGCCATCCTTTGCTTGTAATGGTTCAGCTCAGCGGACATGCGCTCGACTTGAGCGCGGAGCAAGTCGTTCTCATGGTTAGCGGCTTCAGAAGCCTTTTCCAGCTCCTCGACCTTGGTCTCAAGATCCTTGAGATGCTTCTCCTTTCTCTCTCTGAAGGCACGCTGAGCAGCTCGGTTCTGAGCCTTGCGCTTCTGCAGGTGGAGATTGGTTAGCGGACAAGAAGCCGAGAAGAAGGGGAAAGAAATGCGGGACAGCATGAATTGGGCGTACCGAAGTTGGCTCCGAAGTGAGCGGCTTCCGACCAGGCTTCTTGGGCACCTTGTCGGAAGTCTCCTGTCTCTTGGACTCGTTGCCAGGGCCGGCATCGTCCTCCTCGTCATCCGGATGGTTCCTCTTCTCGGGGTTGTCGGTCTCAGTAGAGTCGGACTTTGCGCTCATGGCGCCATCCTGCACGTCGCCTGTCGCAGCTGACTGACCGGCGGCATCATTGGCAAACGAGAAATCAAAGCTGGAGTCTCCAAAGTCGTAGTCGTAGTGGTCGAGGAAGGGGCTCTCCTGGAAGGCACCGTCCAGGCTCTGGAGCGGATTCGGCTTGAAGGAAGTCGGGGACAGCGAGAGGCCAGTCTTGGAGTTCGCCTGTTGCTGCTGCTGCTGCTTGTTCGCGTTGAGGGCAGTAAAGAGAAGGCTCTGCTGCTGCGGGGTCAGGAAGAAGTTCGGAGGCACTGCCGAGCCACTCCCAGCGCCGGTTGCTGCCATTTCTGCAGATTGCCTCGAGAAGTAACGAGGATTATGCCAATTCTGACGATGTCGCTGCCCTCAGGACGGCAGATTTCAGACTCGGGCGCACGTCTCTTGTCGCGCTCTCTCAGTGGCCTTGATCCTCAGTTCCAGCGCCCGTGGCCGCGGGTGGCGGGGAGTTGATTTCAAATGCTAGACGCTAGGGCCAAAACGATCCAGGGGGGGAAAGCAGAGAAAGAGAGTCGTCAGGAGCAGCGCTGCGACGAGAGGGGAGACTCTGGTAGATAAGGATAGCCCAGGGCGACAGAAGAGAAGGGATTCTCGGATGGCGCTGCACAGCAACAGAATGCGCAGCTCTTGGATCCAGGGCAGTGTCGTGATAGATAGTGATGATGCCAGTGGATGGTTTGGTGCAGGAGGGCAGGTGGCCGGGAGGCAAATTGAGCAGCTGGCGTGCAGGTGGTCTGGTAGCGGCTTCGCAGCGTGCGGCGTTCCTTCAGCAGGCCGGCCAGTGCAGTACAGTGGGGCGTGCGGATGACAGGGAACAGCGTCGACTGTCGTTTCTGTTGATGCCTGAGTCAGAAAAATCTCTTCTAGGCGGTTCCGTGCGGCCTGGGACAAGCAGAGAGAGAGAGAGAGAGAGAGCAGAGAACAGACGGGGGCTTCGCACTGTGGCCCAGCGTCAGAAGGGTGGTTGTGAAGCGATTGTCCGGCTGGGGAAGATGCTGCTGTACAGTAGGTATTTACTGCTGCCATGTATCGAGGTGTCCGCCGATGAGGAATCTTGGGGCATTTGTCAGCGGCAGAGGCCGGGCGGGGCAGCGCAGCAACAGCCCGTCCGGCTCTTCAGCCCTTTTGGCGTCCGCCAATGGCATGCCGCCGGGGTGCGCAGGCTCGCGCTGCCATTGGCCAGACCCCGGACGCCCTGCTCGGCCTGACCGCTGTCCGCGCTGCCGCAACGCCTCGGTGTCGACTCAGACGTTCGACACAGTGTGTAGGACACGGCCTGCTTACGGATACAGCAACCAAATGCCCTTGAACAAGGAATCTGGAACTCTTATTGTAGCATTACTATTAGTAGGGTACCTACCATCGAGTTCTTGGTCCGGCGGTAATATCAAGCAGCTCAATTTACTACATGTTTCGTGTCCGCGACAGACAAGCCCGTCCCTAGACGAGTGCCTGTGCCTGTGCCTGGGTCTCGTATCGACAATACCTTCTACTACATAACGCCTCCTTGATCCCTTACCTTCAAGCGTCTTCGGCATGCGTCCCGACATCTGCAGAATCCCCCTACCAAGGTAGCAAGCAGTTCATGTTCGCCTGCCTCCGCTCTTCCCCGTTCCACGCCCTTTCACCAATGACACACAGCTGTTGGTCTTAGTGCATGATGGGAGCATCGCTGGCCAGCATGAACCGGGGATACACGCCGACAACCATTCATACCCCATTCATACAACCAAAGCACCTCTTTCGGCGTGCATGCAGGAGGCTGACGGGTCGTACCGACCTTGTACTGACAAGTAAATCCTACCCCGAACGGTGCACGAGTCTACTGGTCAAGCGCAAGATAACTGACGGTACAATCCGAGGTGGTGTCAGCATCGAACCTCTTCGGCAATTGCACTGATTCCGACCCGATATATCCAGAGACTGCCGAAGACGAGCATCCAGGGACACTGTGCGTCTATACAAGGGCGGAGAGCTGGCTCTGTTTCACCTCTCGATATCAGAAGTTCAAGAACAACAATCGACGTCAGGAAAAACACATGATGAGCGCATCATCAATCATCAGCTTCTCTCCTCCAACGTCAAACGGCCCGTCGCCCCAATGAGGTGATTTGCCGCGTGGGACTTGACTGCGGTGCTTTTAGTGCCGCCCACGGGCATGGCAGACATGTGCTAATAGCTCCCTTTTACACGGACCCTCTGCGTTGCTGCGAAAGGCCGCACTTCCGCATTGGTTGGCACGGCACGTTGAGGTCAATGGCTACAATCTCCGGGCGTCGAGTGGAGTTTGCACCCAAACTGGCGAAGTCCCGCACCCGGAAAAAAGACCCTGCTGTTCGTATCGCCGACACGCCCTACGATGCTGCGTGCGTGTCATACGGACGACCTGTTTGCAACGACGAGCAAGCACGTACCTTGTCATTGTGCACTCAATCACCATTACTTTTGACCATGGATTGAACGAGGTATCTCGCGATTTACCTGCAGCCTGTTTTTGTATGGTTTTGAAGCTACTTTATCTATCCAAGGCTCAAGCATCCCAGGCGAGAACGACATCTCAGATACAGCTACCCCGCCGAGCCAGTTCATTCATCGGTGTCATCAAAGCAGCCCTACTATTGACGCCTGGCTAGCTGAAAGAGGTCCGATTCGCATCGTCTTCGCCCGTAATCGCTCGTTTGCTAGTATCCAGCAGTCAACACCCTGTGCCCATGTGGTCGCTAGTGTGCGCAGCGATAAACCTGCCATTCGAACCGAGAAATACGACCGAATAACTCCCCCCTGCGCCCGTCGTCAAGACATCAATTTGCCGACGGAAGTAGTTGTTCTTGGCAGGGTTTGACAATGATTCGACTTCAACGAACCGCGGCTCCAAAGATCAAGGCAGCAATGTGAAATTACCACGCATCGCAAACATGGCATTCAATTATCAACAGCAGCAGAAATACAACCAGCAGTGTAAGTGGACAAGAAATATGTGAAATGTTCAATTCATCAATTCATGCCTAGCGGCTAATGTACCCGTTCCCTTTGCTCTGATCCGTGCAACGCCTTCAAAGCATTCAAATCCCAATCCCGCTCTAGTTCTTGGCCAGCTCCTTGTGAGCCTCTGCCTTGTTGTTGTGGGCAGTCTCGTCGATCTTGTCACCAAGAGCGTCCTTGGTAGCGCTCAGGCTGTGAACATTCCATATTAGCGACACGCTGCGCTGCAGATAGCGACCGGATTGTTTGCTCCAACTTACCGAGTGCTGACGGGGACTTCGTCGTTCTTGGCAATCTCCTTGTTGGTCTCCTTGCTGGCACCGGAAGTCGCGCCCTGGATGGACTCGGCGACGTAGTTGAAAGCCTGCTTAGCGGTCTCCATTGTGGTTTGAGGTGGTAAAGGTGGTTTTGTTTGTGGTTTTGTGTGTGTGGTTGAGAGTTGTGTTTGTGTGTTGTGTGTGTGTGTGCAAGTTGTGATGATGATGAGAGAAGGTTGGTTCAAGAGAGGAGAAGTCGAAGGTTTAAATAAACGTTGAAGGAGCAGGTGCACAAACCTGATCCTCCTGCGCAAACCCGCATTTTGGCTTCCTGCTCGACATTTCGATGTCATTCAAGAGCATCTTCTCCATATTCTCGTGGCCAAGATCGCCGTTTGCCAGGCACCTCCGCGACGCAATTGGCAGCACATCATCTTGGAAGCGGGCCAGAACGGGGGTAGCCAGCCAATGAGCGCAGCAAATACTACGTCATTCCGGCTTGTCAAGGACAAAGCTTAATTGACGTCGAGCCCCACAGATTTCCCTTCTGGGGAAGCAATGACGCAAGTAGCCGAGGGACCACGCCTTGTTTCGATCGCAGCATCGTAGAATTTGATGACGATCGAGAAACTTGGCCGGAATCCGACGTGGGAAGGAAGCAAGGAGCCGAGTCGCTACTTGCTAGGAAGGGACAATGCGGAGAGAACCTGACGAGGACGGGGACTTTCCGGGAGCAGGCAAGGCAGGTTATTGATTCCCAGGGTCTGAGGAGAATCTAGATCTTGGTTTGGGACCTCAACTCCACAGCGCATGATGACGGCATACCAGTGTCAAGGAACGGCCTTTGTTTGCTTGGACCTGTGATCAGCTGACGGCAACAGAGTGGTCAATAGAGGAGTCTGAAGCGAGCAGACAATGCTGCAATTTCAGAATGCACCAGGTGAGACATTCCAAGTGTTGATAGCTCTTCCATACGCCTCGTGGACGCTCTCACACAGATGCCATCCAACAAGGCCGTTCTCATCTAGCCAAAGCCGGAGCCTCGGCGCTTTACCAGATGCACTACATTAGGGAGACGCAACGTGCTGGTATATACGTCGGAATACACGGCGAATAATATTCACAAGAGCAGTGTTAAAGAAGCAAGCAGTGCCACCATATGAGCCGATTTGGGAACTTCTGTGCACTTGGTGTAACGGTGCCCTGAATATCCCTCGAGGCCACGACGCCACGTACATCACGCATGTCGAGTTCTTGGCCTACCCGACCTTGCCGACTCCTTTGAGTCACGAGGCCGGATAGTGTTGAACCTCTACGACACGAAGCTTGTCGTGGAACCTTGTTTGCCTCGACTCGGAGCTGCGGCAGTCCATAATAACAGGAACAACACACGGCGTTGGCCGCCATCAACGTTTCAGGCACAAATGCCAGGAACCGGGCTACCATGGTCGGTACAGTTGAATACTACCGTATCAACCGAGGTAATCAACGTTTCCTTTCAGCCACCTTTGTTCTCAGCCGTCTTCACCAGTTCATTGAATCATGCCATTACTAAGGCCAACATTCGTCTGTTCTTGTGAGCATGGCATGAAAAGGATACCTCGTTTGGTCTGACGATCGGGTTTCCCTCTCCGGTACTTGTAATGCAATACATAGTCTCAGTAGTGCCAGTTTGATGATTGCAAATAGCAGGCATCTCTGGATGAAAGATTATTCAGCGTAGTCCGTAACTGTGTGTGTTTTTGCCCGATTCACCACCACCGTTTGGCACGGCTTTACTCAAGAGAACGGGTATTTCACGCCGAAAATCCGCATTGGCCACATGCATCCAAACATCGCTATTGCCTGGCCATAAAGGTACATGGAAACCCTTAGCCAAACACGTTCTACCTATTCATGTTGGGATTTCCTAGGTTTCTGGCGTTCATATTGAAGCTGCAGGGTAGGAGACACTTGTGATGAAGATGCTCACCCAACATTCACGTGACTGCGAATGCACTCCCCGCCCTTCTAACGCAGGAGATCCGCTAGCCTCATGAGCCAGCGCCAGCTGAGCTGCCGATTTGCAAGTCCACCTCCTGAGAGCAAGTTCCGAGGGTCGTCTTGGAGCTTCAATAACGGCAGCGGAGCCGATCCCTTCTCATTGATACATCTCCTACTACGGCCGAACCGACGTCCGGACGCAATGGATCTCGCTTACGACCATATCCAAGAGGAGACCATCAAGAATGCTGGCGAGGGAGGAGAGGGCGCGAAGCAGGAGAACACTCTGAACAGCGACATCCAGGAAGCCTACAAGGCGTTCTCAGCCAGTCCATGGGGCGCCAAGATTGGAGGTTTCTTTGGTAATGTGATCAAACAGGTATGACAGCCACCATCCCGGCGCATATTACCAACACCTGTAACCGAGGCTCATGGCTCTATTGTAGGGCGAATCGGTCTACACCCAAGCTTCCAAGGAGATTGCAGAGGTCGGCGAAGATGCGCAGAAGGGCCTTTCCAGCCTTCGGGAAACCATCGCAAACAGAACGCGCTCGCTTTCTCTCACAACCATCATCCCCGATCTGTCCACCACCGACGCCGACGATAGCCAGAGGACCCCGACCAATGCGACAACTCCGGCAGCGGGCGAAGCCTCCTCTACACAAGAGTCTGAAACAGTGCTGTCACGCTTAAGATCCGAGGCCGCGAAGCGCTTGAAGGACCTTCAAAAGGCCGAGGACGCCGCAGACGAAGCGCTGCTCAAATTTGGAACCAACATTCGAGATTTTTTACGAGACGCCATTAGCGTCGCGCCTCCTGATGAATCCAACCAAGGCAGCCAGGTCATGTTCGAGAGCAAGGACGCCCAGGGAAAGCGGGTGATTCATACTTCGCGGTTCGAGGCACAGCTGCATGTCATCCACACATCGCCGGAGAGCTTCACCAAGGACCCATCTGCCACAGAATACGAACAATGGACCAAGGGCTTTGATCTCGACAAACAGACGGATGAGATTAGCAGCGACTTGGCGAAGTACCCCGAACTGCGCTCGACCATGGAGAAGCTTGTGCCAGACCAGATTCCCTACGCCGACTTCTGGAAGAGGTACTACTTTTTGCGTCACGGCATTGAGACGGCTGAATCACGACGACGGGACCTTCTTAAAGGTAAATGATTGCCCATTAGATGCGTTTCGTGGCCTCGTTAAATTCTCCATCTATATACCGTTTCTTGCTGACGTTTATATTAGCTGCGTCTACGGAGGACGAGGTTGGCTGGGATGACGACTCGGAGGAAGAGGAGGACGAAGACTCTGAGGAAGAAGAGTCCGAAGACGATAACGACAAGCCCGCGAAGCCCGCCTCTACCGCTGCCGACGCCAAGGGCAAGAAACCCGAATCCGTTGCTTCCTCCACCACAATCCAGGGAGCTGCTGGCGCCAAAGAGTCGAAGCCTGACGAGGCGAGGAAATCCCATGATGAAAAGTCCGAGGCAGAAACCGACGCCAGCTATGATGTTGTGGGAGCGGCTTCGGGAAAGACGAGCCAGCTGCCTAGCCGGACACCCAATAGCCCCAAAGAAGCCAAGAAAAAGGGGGATGACGACAGTGACGATGACAGCGATGAGGACTGGGAGTAGGTTCTGCGCCGCGTCCCATTCTGTGCGTGTGCGTGTGCGAGTATGCTTTGTTTCCTAGAGCTTGGGCGGGTTGGGCGTTTAGGATTTCCATCGCCTTTTGACAGGTTTGAGCCGTCGCGGGCGCTGTATCGCTCTGTTTTGGATCATGCTGAGTGGGAGAGTTCCTCCGGCAGCGATAGCTTGCCCTCCCCTGATTCTCTTCCCGATGATCTACCTCTTCTTCCTGGTGACCTTGGTGAAACCGTCATCGTCGACCTCTGGAGCGGGCTTTTCCTTGGGGACAGATACCAGAGGCGGGGCTTCATCCATGTCGACGTCGCCTCCGTTACCCTCGTCGTCGTCGTCGTCCTCACCACTGTCTCCTGACTCCCAGTCGGTATCCTGGTCCTGGTCCTCGGCCTTCTTGAACATCTGGTCCACCTTGGTGCCCTTCCGGTTTGCGAAGCGCTCGCGCAGCTTCTTGACCTCTTCGTTGAACTCGCCAATGGCGCATTCGGATCTCGCCTTGACGATGGACCTCGCGACCTCCAGGGCAGAGTCGTCGTCGATGTTGACCTCGAACTCGTCGACCATGACCTGCAGCAGCACCGTCTCGACATCTTCCATATCCGGCTCCTCGGCGGTGGTCTTTGCCGCCTCTCCGGGCTGGGCGTCGGTGAACTCAGGAAAAAGATCGACAACGGCACCGGCGAACCAGTCTCGCTTGTCAGCAGAGTCGGGCCCTCCCCAGCCGTTCTGAACGGCCAGAGTCAGGGCCGGCCAGAGGTGCAGGGCACATGCGACTGCTTGTTCGAAGTTGGACTGGCGGGTAGCTGTATCACACAAAGCCCACGAATTAGTATTCTATAGCATGATTATTATGAAAGCATTTTCTTCCACTTACCAGCCGGCGGCAGCTGCGCGGCCTCTGTAGACGCCATTGTGCTAATCTGATGCTGATGTTGAAGCTGGAATTATAGCGGGGATATGGAGGGGCTCGAGATTTCGAGATGCCTGTAAACTCTGCACAAAATTTTTGGTGTTTTTTTTCTCCCACGATTTCTGTGCCAGATTGGCTCCGCACGGACCACTGCCGTGAACGCTGCACGGGCATCTGGGGCTAGTACTAAAGCGGTAATATCTTGGAACCTCGTCGACCTAACCGACATTCGAAGGATTGGGAGCCAAGATGATCCCCCTGCCGGAGAGAGAGCATGACATCATGAAACCCCTGATGCCAATACCAGATGCCTCGACCTCGCTGCCGCTTCCACGACGGGGTGCCGGTGTCTTGCAGTGCTCCGTATCTTTAATTAATGTTGCCTCTTTGCAACGAGATCCCCTATAAACGAGCGATCCGCACATGCCTTTGTCGACGTCGATGGGGCCCGGAGAGCAAACGAAATCGCCATGAATAGGCTCAACACGACATCGGTGTCGCTGGCCGTCACGCCAACGGTGGTTTCCACCTTGTTTTCACACGTATGTCGAGACCCATGGGAGGACAGACTGAAAAGGCACGATGTCTTTCGTTTACAGAGTAGTCGTGGTGTTTTGGTCGACTTGCATCCCAAGCCGTACGGTTTGCTGACGGGAGACGTGAATCTTGTAGTACCTCAACAAGAAGAACTTGAAAGAGCACCCGACTACTCATTTGTCGTACGACGAAGGACTGCACCTGATCCGATCGTTCCTCGAGTATGCCTCGCACCACACCGTCGAAGAGATCCAGGCATTCACAGCACAATGGGTTCCGCACCCGCAGTGGGTGAAGCTGGAAAGCGTCACCATCCCGGACGAGCACCTCGGTCGAGCCGCGGAGTTGATCGAAGGCGAGCTGGGGCCCGACGGCATCCGACAGATTGGCGGCAGGAAATGGTGGCACTGGCGAGGGCCAAAGGGGCCCATGGAGGCCGAATGGATCGAGATGCGGGCGGACGCCCACGAGCGCAAGAAGAACAACGAGCCGCTGCGCCGCGTGATGCTGTACGTCCACGGCGGCGCGTACTACTTTGGGAGCGTGGACGAGCACCGGTATCAGATGCAGCGCCATGCGAGGAAGCTCAAAGCTAGGGTCTTTGCTCCTCGGTATCGCCTGGCGCCGCAGTTTCCGTTTCCGTGCGGTCTGCAGGATTGTTTGGCGGCGTATCTGTATCTGCTCACTATTCAGGACCCGAGCACGATTGTGTTTGCTGGCGATTCGGCGGGCGGCGGCATGGTTACGGCGATGCTTTGCCTTCTTCGAGACCAAGGCATTCCACTGCCGGCTGGTGGTATTCTCATCAGCCCGTGGTGTGACTTGACGCATTCGTTTCCGAGTCTTGCTGGGGATGCCCCGTTGGACTACATACCGACGTCGGGATTCCATCATAAGCCTTCGAGGGCGTGGCCGCCACCGAACGAAGATGACTTGAAGATGCTCGAGGAAGAGGTGGAGAAGCGCAGGAAGGGAATCAAGAAACCGGCTCCCCCGCCGACGTCTGAGCTGGAGGAGAAGCAGCAGAAGCCTGTGGTTCCGATGAGTGATGCCGACGCTGGGGTCCATGTTGATAGTACTGGACTTCACACCGAGACGGAAAAGTTCTTGACTGTCACCATTGATGGAGAGCTGATCACCATGAAGGACCAGATTCAGGTGAGTCTATGACAGCTCGACCGAGAGAGGATGAACTTGGTTAGGGCTAACCTTTGCTCTAGATGTACACCACGAACGCTCTTCTATCGCATCCGCTGGTGAGCCCTGTCAAGCAGCCGACGCTCGGCGGACTGCCACCTCTTCTGATTACCGTGGGAGGCGGCGAACTCTTGCGCGACGAACAGATTTACTTGGCTCACAAGTGCGCCAACCCAACGAAATACGCACCGCCGGACGCAGACCTGACGGAGCGCGGAAGGGAATTGCTTGCCAAGTACAAGCCTACCTATGTGCAGCTTCAGGTCTGGGATGATTTGTGCCACGTCGCCCCGACGCTCAGCTTCACCAGCCCTGCAAAGTACATGTACAGATCGATAGCCCAGTTTGGTGCCTGGGCTTTGGCGCGTGCACAGAACAGGGACATTGAGATCATGGACGACGATGCGATTTCGGTCATAACGAGCTCTGGTTCTGACACAGAAGCTGGGGGACAGGAAGAGCAGGGACAGAACAAGGACAAAGAGCCAGCAGAGGAACCGACCTTTACGGAAGTTGGAAGAGCAGGAGACCCGCTACCAAAGTTTAGAAACTACATGATCCGGCAGCGAATAAGCAGGAACGGCCTCATTTTCCCTCTCGCGCCAGAAGAAGAGCTCCCCGGGTGCATCATGAAGCCCGAGGAGATTGGCGTTATCAAACAGGGTCCCGTGAAGAAATGGTTGAATACGAAGCACACATGGGACACTAAATACGCCAGCGCAAAGGCCAAAGTACACAAAAAGATTGTCAAAGAGATGCTTGCTGGGTACCAAGACTTTGGCGAAGGTGAGCATCCACCGCCAACAGCATTGGCCGGGCGGATCCCCGTGGGCAAAGAGTTGCAGCCAAGAAAGAGGAGGAAGAGTTTCGGCCTGGCCATATGGTCTCTCTGGGGCTCCAAGCATGACGAGATGACGGTCGAGAGGGAGCAGAAGGCCAATTACGAGCCCGAGATGCAAGCCGTCACCCCTGAACTGCACAATGGAGAATCTTCGAATACCGAAGGCGAGAGACTGGGGCACAACCGCAGACCCTCACACCAGCGGGTCGTGCGGGATGAGCACCAGACGAGCAGCGAAGAGGTGAACGAGGATACGCCCGTGGCGCAGCTGCTTGCGATGCGGCGGGAGCAGGAGGCTGCGCACGACGGACACTCGCCTGAGACGGGGGTTGCTGGGAAGAGGCCTTTCCTGGACGGCATCGCGCTGCCGTTTACCATTAAGAACGATGCGGAGACTGCGAGCATGATTACGCTGAATTCGACGATGACGCCGGGGTCGAGGCCGATGAGCTCAGGGGCTGGGACGGGGCTGGGTGGGACGGAGTTGAAAGCTGGTGCGGGTGATGTTGAGAAGACGGAGGCATAGCGAACATGGCGGAGTCAGGATGATCTCGGGCGACAAGAATATTCAAGGTTGGGGTTTTACAAGAGATGGAAAGCAAGGGACAAGAAGGCAGACGTTGAATACAGGGAATGACAGCAAGGCAAGCAAGCGAGCAGCATATACCAGACAGCGATATCCCCTCCACCTGTATGGTGGTTTCTTGTTTGTTGAGTTTGAATTTTGGCATTTTTTCCCTACTTTGCCCTGTGTATAGTGTGTTTGGATACCATGGCCAAAAATCACATTGTTGTGATATGTACTCTTGTCCTCCATTCGCCATTCCAGCTTTTTTTCATACATGATGATGGTACAATGTTCGTCGGGTGCATATGTACAAGGCCAGCAGAATACCCTTGACTTCTGCTGGATCTATGTTCTGAGACTTCCAACATCATTTCGAATGCGCATCGTCAACATCTGCTCTATGATCCTCGGTTCCTCGTCTCGATCGGAGTGAAAGTGTTAGTTTGATCCATAGGAAGCGTTTAATCGACGCCGTTGTATCGCTTCCACTGCTCGACGTAAAAGTAAGGATCCTGGGGACCCTTGTTCAAGCCCTTGTAGTCACCAGGCTCTTCGCGAACCTCTCTGCTCACAAAGGGAGTGAGCTGCATTGCAGCACAAAAAGCCCCATTGTCAGCTCTTCTTTTCATATTTCTTTTCAATGCCCCCTCGCCAAGTTGTTGCGGCATCATTGCCCGTCGGCGCCGCTCTGCGAGGGCGAGGGGGATGGATAGCAGAAAGGAACGTACCTTGGACTCTGCGAGGTTTTGAGGCACGACGTATGTGCGTACTTTGTTCCACTCAATCAGGTAGCCTCCGTACTTTGTGTGTCGACCCATGGATCCCGTTCGGTTGCCCTTGTAGAAGCCGCGGCCGACGTCCTTTGTTGTGAGCTTGAGGTGGCGGTATTTGCCCACGCCGAGGATCTGCGTAGGTCTCATGGTTGCTGCTGTGATCGATCGAGAATGAGTGAGATGGTAGGGACTGTAGGTAGAAAGGCGAATTGCACCGCTGAGCGGCTCGTTGCGGATTGGCGATTTTCTTGTTGCTGGTGGTTTTGGTTTGCTGTGGTGGGTTTGATGACATTGAATTGGCTAGAGATAATTTTTGGGGGGGTTGCGACTGGTTTGGCTTCCGGCGTTCTTCCGGTGCGGGCCTTGTGAGCGAGCTCTCTGGTGGTTGCCGCTGTAAGTACTTACGTGCTAGGTACCTAGCTGGTGAGCGTCACACTCCAGAGCTCCTCGGGCTTACTACTGGATACATATTGTGTGGTTGTTTCATCTCGTTGAGCGTCAAGTCGAGATGCGTTGTTGATTGATTCCCAAGTCACCGCTTGAGTACTTGATTCCCGGCTCTCACAACTTCTACACCAGCGTGACAGCCTTCGCAAGTTCCGTCCTCTGAGCGCTGCAGGTGGGCTGCTTTGCGCAAACGAGGGGCAGCTTTCGCTCCGATATCGATTGACTGACTGACTGACTGGCTGATTGATTGATTGACCGATCTCTACAGCAACCAGAGACTCCGTCGCGCTCGCAGTCTGCATGCACAGCTCGAGCGCCCCGACCAGACGCCTGGCACATGTCTTCTCGGCGCCCAACTAATCACCATGGATGGCTACCCTTTGGGAAGCCTCGATCATAACGTGCCGCTGCTCGTCGTGTCGGGCTTGAGCTCCAGCCACGACCAGCCTGAGCCGCCGCCCAAGGCCAAGGGCAAGGCCAATGGCGAGGGGGTGCTGCTTCGATCCGATCTGCCGCCCCTCGAGGGGAAGGAGGCGAGCTTCTTGGAGTCGTTCTTTGAGAGGGTCAACGAGCGCGGCAAATCATGGACTGTGATGACGAGGGAAGAGCCCTACCGCGTTCGTGTCAAGACCGTCGGCAGGGTAAGGCGATTCTGCAGGCTCGAGGGCCACCATTTTTTCAAATGCGCAGCATGTGCTGATTGTGAACTCATAGACCTTTACGCTTCCACCTCGACGAGCGACGCTGCCGGAGACAATCGAACCGCTGACGACGGCCCCCGTTCTGCACTCGCCCTTCTCGCCGCTCAGTCCGTCGTCTGCCCTGTACCCTGATGGGTTGATGAATGCGGAGTGGATCAGGAAGCATCAGGAAGAGGTCCCGAGCGTCTTTATATGCTTTCATACTCTGACGAGCGACCCCAAGACAGCGACGCTGCAGGACAATCGACTCAAGGCTGACCTTAATGGTATAAGAGCAACCCTGTTGGAGTCGGGATACAAGACGCGCCTCGTTGTCATCATTCTCGGCGATCAAGAAGCAAGGGCTACCTTGACTGCTGAAGTCATTCAAGACCGACTGGAGTACATCCGAAGGGGGACGGGGCTGGATCCTAAATCGATCTTCTACATCCCGTCGCAGGACACGCAGGTCGAACTCAAGAGGGTAATGGACAGCATCCTCACTCTGCTGTACAACACGGCCATTGAGTATTATCGTGATCTCGGGAGGCATGCGAGAAAAAAGCGATCCCGGGGAGTTGTGCCCCAGCCAACGTTGCCGCCGACGTCTGGAACGTCGCAGACATTGTCGCTGCCCGACTGGAACTTCCGCTACGATTTCAAGTCTGCCATCTTTGCCGAGTTTCGCCAGGAGATTGATGCCGCAGTTCGCTCCTTTGAGCAGGCGTATGAGATCCTGCTGGGACAAGATGTGCTCGACATCATTCCCAGCTGGAGCCCTCGCTGGAACGAGGCGCGGCTTTTGGCAGACATCATCTCCATACGCTGTTTGCGGCTGCATCTCTGGATGGGCCAGACCAGTTTGGCAGTGAGGAGATGGCAAGCTCATCGCGACCGCATCGGCGACTTTGTCGACAGACGAGGACGAGGCACCAACAACTATGGCTGGCAGGCCTGGGAATCCCGATGGGCAACGGTCATGGCCAACTTGATCGAGCTGGTACAGGTTCCCGGCTTGGGACCTATGACGATGACTATCTACCTTCCGCCGGAGAAGGCTCTTTTCGGCGAGCGCCTACAGCCGTGGGAGCTGCTGCACCATACTGGTTACTGGTATCGAATAGCTGCGCGCCATCTCGGAGCGCGGAGAGCATTGGCCCATAGGATACCCGACGATGACAGGGGAGCGCCGGACGCTTCGCCCGCGTCGAGGGTGGCGAGCAAGGCCATTCGATACGATACCTACATGTGCCCCCCGCCTCACGAGGAATATCCACTGGACGGGACGGGAGTCAACCATGCGCAGCTCATTATTGACTGCCTCCTCAACGCGAGGTCGCAGTTCCAAGCTCGGAAGCAGCACCGGATTGCCGCGGAGATATCGCTGGAGTGTGCGAGAGAAATGGCGACAATGAAGTCCTGGAACGAGGTGCTCGCGATGCTCAGGCCGCTGTGGGAAGACAAGTCGTTTCGCTCAGAGTGGTGGTTGGATATCTCTGAAGATATCCTCTGGGTGATGAGACGAGCGGCAGCCGAAACTGGACGGGCGGATATCGTAGTCGCCATTGACTGGGAGCTCATGGATAAAAGTAGGTCCCGTCTATATGCGCGCTTGGGCTCCAGCTAAAACATGACTTGTAGGATATACTCGAAAGCAAAACTGGCACTACGACCTCGGCAAGTCTTTAGATGGGGTGTCTTCAACAGTGAAGCCGTTTATCACAATCTCGGATGACCTGGCCTCATCCTTCGTTGCGGCATCCTTTGCTTTCCGCTCAAAGGAGGGTCGAGCTGGTGAAACTTGCCTAGCCCAGCTGTCACTCAAGTCCGACGCGCATCAAGTGGCTACTCCGGTCACCTTGGCCTCAATCCGGATCGAGTTTGAGGGCCACCTCAAGCCCATCACAATCGTTCACGACTCCTCTGCGCCATCGACGAATTCATCGGGGGAATCTCCCTCTGTGAGCGCCGTGTCTTTAACTGAGCGGCTTCCTGAAAGTGTCAAGGAGGGCGATGAGAAGGAAGATGAAGATGAGGACAAGGACGAAGTTGAAGTGAAAGACGGGCCTCAAAACCAAGGCAACGAGAAAGACGCCTACTTGACTGGCACATGCGACCTGACGCTCAAGCCCGGCCACAGACGGGTATTGGAGATGGACATTCCCTTGCGGGAGCCAGGCCAGGTGTCCGCATCCCGGGTGATTCTGACTTACAAGGCTGATGCCTTTGAGCTGGATTACACGCTGTCCCTGTCAGAGCTGGGTAAAGTTGGAGCGTGGTACGTCCATGGCTTGGCGAAACCGCGATTATCGAGGCCCGACGGCCATATTCTACAGATACAGCCACGACCTCCTAAGATGAAGCTGGCACTGGTAGAGCCGATGGACCAGTACTATGCGAATGAGCCGATTCCCCTGCGAATCAGCTTGCTCAATGAAGAGCATGATGCGGCCAATGTGAAGCTGGACGTTCGCATCGTCGGAAAGACCATTCCTCGGTTCCGAGTGGAGGCCGGTGAACACAAACGAGAAGTGGACGCTGCGGAAGAAGAGTCGCAAGTGACGGGGCTGACGCTCGGTCGCGTAGCCAGCTCGTCGTCGATGGAAGTGTCAATCCACCTCGACCCTGCACCAGCACCTACGGTGTACGACATAGAGGTCCAAGCGGACTATCACTTGGAATCAGACGCGGCAACACCAATTTTCCAAGTGCTGCCCGTTCATCTGAACGTGGTGAATGCGTTCGAAGCAAACTACGATTTGATGCCGCGACTGCATCCTGATGCCTGGCCAAGCCTGTTTGACTACGAGGATGTGCAAGACCTGACTGAAGGCGAAGTGATCCCGGCCAAGGGCCTTGCGCAACAATGGTGTCTGGTCTGTCACTATGCATCATTTGCTACAGAAGAGCTGGACGTGGTAGGGTTGGATCTGCTGGTTACCGGCGTAACGCCTGGCGGACGATGTCAAGTTGTGAACCAGCCCGAGTTCTCAGCAGACGGCATGCCTGTCGCCCCACAGAAGATGTACGAAGCTCGATTCGATCTCGTGGCGCAAAAGGCCACGCTGGACGATAGACATCCAGTCGCCATAGATCTGGCGTTTGCAGTCCGCTGGAGGCGACGACAACGACAACGACAACAACAGCCGACAGGCGGAGAGAGCGGCACGGTCAATGTCACGACGATGACGGTTGGGCAGTACATGGTGCTGGGGACGGAGCCCAGGGTCCTGGCATCGGTGCTTCACAGCTCGCCGGAGCAGGCTGGGCTGGTGCGACTGGACATTACGATTGAGAATCCGTCGAGCCATTTCCTGACGTTTGGGCTGGCGATGGAGCCCAGCGACGCGTTTGCCTTTTCCGGGCCGAAGCAGACGACGATGCATCTGCTCCCCATGTCGAGGCGGACCAAGACGTACCGGCTGCTGCCGCTGGTCCGGGGCGTCTTCATCCGGCCGGGCCTGGTGGTGAGGGACAAGTACTTCCAGAAGGTGCTGCGGGTGATTCCGACCGAGGGGATGAAGATTGACAAGGACGGGCTGCTGGTATGGGTTCCTTTGGCGCCGGAGGGATGAAAAGGCGAGGCCGTATGACTCTCTATTCTAGACTACTAGTAGATGGAAGAAGGAATAGTAATGACATTATTGACGTCTTATTCTCTCTGTCTTGTCTTTCGATTGTTTATTGCCCCATTTTCCTAAACCCCCCTTGCGTGAGAAGTATAGTAGTATGTATGTATTGGTTTGTAAGTGAGGAGCTGAGCGAAGGGTAAGGGTATTATTAGGTCATGACGTGGTTGATGTTGGTGGCTGCAATAGATTGATGCAAGGCATGGCGGCTCGGTAGTATCAGAATTTGCTCATGCTTTGTTTGTATCCCAGAAAAGAAAAAGGGGGGGTTTGCTCTTCGGACATAGGGCGCTGGTTTCCCGATCTCAAGCCTCGACTGCGGTGCCTGCGAATCGGGGTTCGCAGTGGAGCCAGGCCGAAGATGTGCGGTGCGGCTTTTTGATGAGATTGGGGGATGATATGGAAGGGAAGGGAGGGCTAGAAGAAGGCTGGGTTGTTGATGATGAGGTTGAGAGCGTCTGTGGGGATGATGTGTGATGTGATATGATGGGGATATACGGGTATACGAAGCGTGGTACGCGTATGGATGGATGAATGGACGTTGTTTTTGCAGGTGAATCCCATGTAAGCACGGCTACTACAGTATGTACAGTAGAGGATCGTCGCGGTTTGTCTCCAGTTTATTGTGTGTGTGTGCTGTTGAAACCCAATTCCAACTACATGTATATACTGTACCTTGTGACGGATGATAGGTATCACTTTGAACAGTGCACCTTGGGGAGTCGTCGTCGTCATGCTGAAACATTTTCCGCAATGCAAAGCAAGTAAGTAAATCAATTACAGCTGAAAAAAAAAATGATAATAATAACATACCTCAGCCGCCCAACGCTTCTATTCACGCCCCCTCGGACATCGGTCAACCTCCAAGTCCGCGTCTGACACCCAATGGGAACATGGCAGACTAACTACTAAATCTCTGTACCTTTTGAACATGGGGAGCTTCAATGTTCGGTCTTTTCTAATTCCAGCGACTAAACCTCTTTCTTCCATTGTAAGAACAAAGAAGAGGAAAAAAAAAAAAAAAAAAGAAAAAAAAATCTGAGTCATGGGTGGGTCCGTGAAGGATCTGGCCGGGAGAAGCCTATATTAGTGCTTGTTTTTGCTTGTTTGCTTGGCGATACTACTAGTATCACTCTAGTACTATACCGACCTGAAGCGCTGTGATGCCTTGTGAAGGTTGTTGTTGCGGAGTTAAGACTATATCCCTAATGTACAGTCAACAGGGGGAGAAGGATTTTGCGGAGTTGCGATAGTAGCAGTTCTTGGTGCCTGATAGATAGTATGTAGGACTCTTGTGGTGCAGGACAGCCTTGGGCAATCTCCGTGCAATGTCGTGAAGGATCGCATCAAGTGGACTCTCTTAGGCCGAGATTCGTCGTTTCTTTGGGGGGTGTTAGCTTGGGACGAGAAAGAGACAAGTCCGAGAGTTGTTTGCCACGCCTGCTTGTCTTTTCCTCCCCTTTTCCCTTTCCACCCCAGGCGGAAAGCCGTTTGCCGTTGGAACAATAAAAGCTATTCGCTGATACCTAGGTACTGCTCCTGCTCTTGCATGTACTCTGGAGAATTTCACGGCACATGGCTTCCACTAGTCCTTGGCACAAACGTGGAATCGAATCAATCCGATGGCCGAGAGATTCTAATCCAGGCGGTCTGATACGATCAAGGTCCTGACAGGGGGGGTGTGTGAATGCGTGTGCGTGTGTGTGTGGTAGTACTAGTAGGTATGTCTCTTCGAGGAGCACTCCCCTGTATAATAAGGCTGAAAAGGTGTACGGACTCGCGCCATCCTGCCTGTCATGAGTGTATCAATTGGCTTTCTCTTCTACTTTCCGCGCATTTGTAATAACTTCCTTACCTAGTCTCGAATCCCCTGCATCTTGCATTGCCCACGGGCAGGGAAGCAAAAGAGCAGCAGCAAACAGAAAAACCGAATACAAAAGGCGAACACGCAGTCAGCGAAAACGGTTCTGTTGTGCAGCACTAGAGTATTTTTCTCGCCGTTCACGTTTTCAGCCTAGAGCCCTCAGCTGCTGGGCCTCTGGCCGATCCGATTCGTTCAAAAGGACTATTGTTATAGTCGCGCCCTTTGGATGGGAGGAAAACTGCCGACCTGGTAAAAGAGAAGAACATCAACTTCTTCCTCCTCTTTTTTCCCCTTTCTCTTCTTTCCAACTGTCTGTCTGTCTGTCTGTCTCTCCAGCCCTCCCTTCATCCCATACCCAGGGACGGAACAATGTCTTCGACATCGCCAACGCCGCGCCTCTCGTCGGACAAGACAGAGCGCGGCTCAATCCCCCTGACCCGCGACGATGACGCCGAAAAGGAAATCGCCGTAGCGGGAGGCGAAAAAGAGCCGACGGCGACGAACAACGCAGATGCCAACAACAAGGACGGCGCCGTCATGGAAGAGGTCGCAAAGACGGCGACGGCAGCCACCGATGCCACCGTCAACTATCCAAAGGGCATCAAGCTCGTGTCCATCATCTTTGCGCTGTGCATGGCCATCTTCCTCGTGGCGCTGGACCAGACAATCATTGCGCCTGCGCTGGGCACCATCACGGCGAGGTTTCAGAGTGTCAAGGACATTGTGAGTGCCGACTCTTGATTTCGAAATGCATCTGATCTTGTCCTTTCATGATCCGCTGCGTCTCTCCTCCCGTCCATATGCAGTCCAGGCACCATGCTAACTCGTCCACAAAGGGCTGGTATGGCTCAGCCTACCTCCTTACCACCACGGCACTCCAGCCAATGTACGGAGCCATATACAAATTCTTCAACGTCAAGTGGACGTATCTCGCCGCCATCTTCATCTTCGAAATCGGCAGTCTGCTCTCGGCCGTGGCACCGTCGTCCAAGGCGCTCATTGTTGGGCGAGCCATTGCAGGAGTAAGCACCATTATCATCGGCAACGCCTTGGTATCAAGGAACCCGATGCTGACTGAGGGCTAGATTGGAACGGCAGGCCTCTTCTCCGGCTCCATTGTCATCATCTCGCTGTCCAGTATGTCCATTGTACCTCTTTGTATCGATGCATCTTCCCGTTGGCTAACAGTGTCTGAAGTGCCTCTTGAAAAGCGCCCCCTTGCCTTTGGTCTCATCGGCGGCATGTGGGGGATTGCCTCCGTCGCCGGCCCTCTCCTTGGCGGTGCCTTCACCGAAAACGTCTCCTGGAGGTGGTGCTTCTACATCAACCTCCCCATCGGCGGCCTCGCCATGCTCATCGTCGTCCTCATCCTGCACGTCAACCGCAACTCGGACGCCACGCTCAACATGTCCATCCTGTCCCGCATCCTCGAGATTGACATCCTGGGCACCGCCATCTTCATCCCCGCCATCGTGTGCCTGCTGTTGGCCCTGCAGTGGGGTGGTGCCGAGTACGCTTGGAGCAATTCCAGGATCATCGGCCTGTTTGTTGGATTCGGGCTCATGATTGGCATCTTCATCGGCATCCAGCTGTGGAAGGGCGACAAGGGCACGCTTCCGCCGCGCATGTTCAAGGACCGCAATGTGCTCTGTGCCATGCTCTTTAGTCTCTTCTTCGGCGCCGGATTCTTCCCTCTCATCTACTATCTCTGTAAGCTCCCTCTTCAACTGCGTCCCCAGCGTCCCGAGTGGACATGGTATCATTGTCAATCTTGAACACGTGCTAATTCACTGCCCAACAGCCCTCTACTTCCAGGCTATTCAAGGCGTCAGCGCCGTCACGGCCGGTATCAAGATCTTGCCGCTGCTCCTTTCGAGTGTCTTCACCTCGATCCTCACGGGTGGCCTCATCTCCGCCATCGGTTATTACAACTTCATCGTCTGGCCATGCATGATTCTGTACACTGTCGGAACTGGCATGATCACGACCTTTGCCGTCCACACTCCGCTCAAGGAATGGTTCGGATACCAGGTCCTCGCCGGCTTGGGTATCGGAGCTGGCTTCCAAGCCAGTGTTCTGGTGGTTCAGACGGTGCTTTCTCAGGAATGGGTTCCCATCGGCACTGCTTGCGTCCAGTTCTTCCAGGTCCTGGGAGGTGCAGTCTTCGTTGCTGTTGCTCAGACCCTCTTCCAGAACGGCCTCATCGACCAGCTTGAGAAGGACAACCTCGGTATCAACCCCCAACTCTTCATCAACAGCGGCGCTTCCGAGATCAAGTCTGTGCTTGCAGGCATCGACCGGCTGGATGCCTTGGACGCCGTCCTTGAGGCGTACATGCTCGGCCTGCGTCACACGTATTACATTTCCGTCGCATGTGCAGGCTGCGCATTCTTGTGCTGTCTGGGCTTTGAATGGAGGTCGGTCAAGAAGGGGCCGGATGGTAAGAAGCGCGAAATAGCGCCGGCCATGGTGTAATATGTGTGCGCGTCGAATTACATCTCCCCTCTTCTGCCGTCTTAATTCGAGCCTTTTGTATTGTTTATACCCACAGGAAACTGAACATATGTGTATAGCCCTGCTTGCTTCCCCAAGCTGCATAGTTTTAATGAATGAGCAATGAGCAATAGAATCCTGAGCGACATGTAATAGAAACATATGTACTCACATTACTGTGTATCATCGGGAGGCTGATCCCACGATTTGCGACTGGCGCGCTTCCGGGTGACTGCTCCCACATCTCTGCCGACAAAGTGAAGAACCCACTCTTTGACGAGCCTCGCCTTCTCTCGCTGGGGATGTTTCGCGGCGGCCCGTCTGGCGAGGTCTCTTGTGTGATAGTAACCGCCGCCTTCGCTCCGCCACAAGAGGCTCACCCGCGTCAGGTTCTTGCGCAGGCTCTGGCCGTAGACCTTGCCGCGAAAGACGTGAAGTGCCACGTTTTCCATCAAAACAACGTCTTGCCGGCGTAGTTTGCTCACTTGGCTGGTTGTGGCTTGGTCACTGGTAAGCCAGAAGGTGACGGCGAACCCCGATCTCGTCTCATCGCCCACGAGCACCTCCACCAAGGAGAGCGTTGTGCCCCAGCGGGTCGTGACAGTTCGGGGCTGGGCGATGGAAATGACGGCAACAATCAAGTTGAGCGTCACTGTCTGGGGGGCCAGAGCGAGGATGCGCTTGGCTGATGGGACGTCTTCCAGGTCTGAAAGATGCGATGGCACAGGAGTCGGTAACGGCCGGGTGACACCTTGTTCTTGCAGGGAGACGTCGTTGGAAGAGTCAGTCAAGAAGGATGTTGTAGTGGTAGTCCCTTCAGTCGTGTCCATGCTGAAGTTACCTGCCTGTAGCTGGCTGGACGGAATCAGTTCATGAGCCGCGAGAGACTCCTCGCAGAACTGCGTTAGAAGTGCCCCCCCATCGTCACCGCCGCCAATAGGCCGGGTCTCATCAATGGATTGGGCATCTGCGGTGGTGAAAAAGTCACGATGAGCTTGAAAAGAGGTGTCGAACAGGATGCTGTGGTTTTGGCTCAGGCCAGTGTGAAGAGGGCGGCGGTTGAGTGGCACAGAGCGCCATACGGCGTGTGTCTGTTGCGATGCAAGTTCCACGTCTGAAGCTGGATCTGTGTCCCGTTTCTGTAGCTGATGGTTGTTGTCGAGATCAAGATGGCCAAAAAAGCTGCGGAAAGGCTCCTCGAAGCAGCTGAGAGTGCAGGATTGAGGGTTGAAAGAGGTCGGCGAGGGAGCCCCAGCAAACAGGATGATGCTCGGTGCCGGTGTTGGCGCAGGCATGTCTACCGTTTGACGACGATGATATCACAACCGATGTTGCATTGTCCTTCCACCCCAGATTTGAGACCAGTGTCACCCCAGGATGAGATGCGCTCCCTCGTGATGATCAAGTTGTTGATATGGTGGAACAGAGGCGTCTGAACTCCATCCCCATCACCCCCAAAGAACTCCTGCCATGCCCGAGTTTCAGTATGCAATCATGCGGCAAATGGAAAGATGAAGCCTGGTCCCTTGTCCAGATGGTGTAGAGGACTGCAAACGAATATGGGCCACAAATCTCTGCTGGCTATCCAAAAAAAATTTATCTGTGAGATACTCGAGCTTTTGCTTTATGGGAGAAGGGAAACAGAACCTTAGCTTCCATTGTCAAGATGCGTGACACTGGCGTCAAAGCTCACCTTCCCCGGTTCTGAGACAGCATCTCACGTGTCACCCGGGCACCATTACTAACCTCCATGGAACCCACATCCATGGATCAATGGATGGCATACAGGCACCGTCAGCACCTAAACAGGGAGCCATCCGCCACTAAATCCAGGTCCGAGCCGCCATCCTTCAGCGCTCGAACCGATTCCGAACATTAGGTGAGCCTACCTAGCCTCTTGAGCCGAGGCTCAAACTCCACTCTCGACTCCAGGAGGGCAAAGAGACCGCCGCCGTGATGCCGCGTAGAAGACAGACATTGCACATGCCGCGAAGCAGATTGATGCTCTCAGTACTGCCCTATCTTGGAAGGCCAAAGCCAGCCTGTTGAGAGCCGACACGGGTCTTTCATCTTGACTGCTCAGCATCGTATGCGCGAGCCTTGGAAATAGGATCGATATAGAGATATATCTGGACGACATCACAATGGCCTCCTCACCCTCATCCTCATCCACCGTGTTCGACATCCGCGAACACACCTACCAAGCCTCGCACATACGCGAATATCCTCGCGCAACAGCCGTCTCCCAAGACGAACCTCTCCTCCTTCACGTCAAGCAATACACGCCCAAGCACGGCGGCCCTCCCCGCAAAGGCGACATCACCATCATTGGCGCTCACGCAAATGGCTTCCCAAAGGTACCTATGTATACCATCCGTCTCACTACCTTACCCATCAAGACGATAAGATACAAACACAAAAGTCGGGATACAAAGCAGCGAATGCTAATCGGAGAAATAGGAGCTATACGAGCCTCTCTACGAAGAGCTCCTACAACAACTCCAAAAGCAAGGCCTCCGTCTCCGCAGCATCATCATCGCCGACGCCGCCCACCAAGGCCAAAGCGGCATCCTCAACGAAGCCAACCTAGGCAATGACCGTACGTTCTTTCCCAAATCCCATAATCCCTTCTCTTTTCACTCCAATTCACCATTCCATCTCCACATCAAACCTCTCATTGACATTCGATGCTCTTCAAACAAAAAAGCGAGCTGGCTCGACTACGCCCGCGACATCCTCCACCTCATCAACACCCTCCGCCCTCCCCGCCCCCTCATCGCAATGGGCCACTCCTTCGGCGCAAACGCCCTCGCAAACGTCGCCCTCACCCACCCGCGCCTCTTCGCCGGCATGGTCTTGCTCGACCCCGTCATCGCCCGCTTCGCCTCCGTCAAGGACCACCTCCCCAGCTCCCCCGAGACCTACGCCTCGCCCGCCTCCCTCAGCGCCATCCGCCGCGACACATGGCCCTCGCGCGAGGCCGCCGCCGCCGCGTTTCGCTCAAAGCCCTTTTACCAGTCATGGGACCCTCGCGTCCTCGACCTCTTTATCCGCTACGGCCTCCGTGACGTCCCTTCTTCCTCATCACCCTCATCATCCTCATCCGCATCATCATCATCATCGCCATCCTCGTCATCATCAACCCCCGTCCGCCTCACAACAACAAAGCACCAAGAAGTATTCACCTTCGTCCGCCCCCTCTGGCCCGCCCTCGACCCCTCCACCAACCTCCTCACCAACCCTTCCCTCGCCCCCGACGCCGACATCGACCCAAACATCCCCTTCGCCCTCCCCTTCTACCGCCCCGAAGGCAACAACACCGCCGCCCGCCTCCCCCACCTCAGGCCTCCTGTACTCTACGTCTTCGGCGCCAAGTCGGACGTCTCCCTGCCGCACCTCATCCGCGAAAAGCTCGAGACGACCGGCGTCGGCGTCGGCGGCAGCGGCGGCGCAAAGGCCGGCCGCGTCAAGCACGTCACCCACCAGCAGGCCGGTCACCTCGTGCCCCTGGAGGAGCCGCTCTTTTGCGCGACGGCGGCCGCCGGCTGGATCAGGGCCGAGATGGACAATTGGTGGGACGAGGAGAAGGAGTACGAGCAGTGGACGAGGAAGCCCCTCAAGGACAAGTCGACCATTGACGACGAATTCCAAAAGCGCCTTGCACTGCCCAATCGAAAGAGCGACAAAACCAAAGCGAACCTGTAGGAGTTACATGGATGCCTTTACTCACTGCCCATCCATCCTTTCGGCCTGTTGTATTCCTATCCACTCCATGGGGATTCTTCTTCACCCTTTACCTCTAGGTAGCTTGCGATTGCATACATTTGACACCCACTTATTGCTCCAGATTAGACAGACGACGGCGCGAGATGGCAGCTTTCAGTTTGCTCTTGATTGTATCACGTCTTCAGCTTTGCAGGTCCGTTAGAATGTCAAACTTTTACGCCCGATAATCGAGAGCCGTCAAGCTGTTTTATCTTGTAATTCATTCCATCATAATGCTACATAGCGCTGATAAAAACCGCTTTTGATACCAATCTAGTAGATGTCGCTTTTGAACCATGTTGCCGTCCTTCGATCCATGTGTAGAAGCCGCCGCGCGTCCAAGCGCTGTCTTGCGTGACCAAAGGCATAAATATCCGCACACATGCCACAAGAGAGTGCAACGCCATATACCGCGGCCACGCCTACTTCGCCGCCATCGAGCTCAGATATAGTACATGCTATTCCTGAGTTTTTCGTGCACCTCGGCGGGTATTTTTCGGTATTGTTCCTCCGGCTTCTTGCTTCCTGCATTGCCTCCAGACTTACCGTCCGAGTCGCGCTCCCCAAACTTGTCGGGACGGTGTGCACGAGCACGTTCGCAGACAATATCTGCATAATACGCGGGCGGGCATATACTGACGGCCTTGGTTGCTCTGCCGTAGAGGTAGCACAAATCGTGTGTCAGCCGCTCCAGTTCGTCGGCCGCTTTGGTGCCAAATCTCGGTCGAAAAATTTCGTCGAGAAGAACCGTGTAATGAGCAGGCCTGGCGGTGCCCTTGAGAGCCTCGTGTGCCGTCAGGAAGAAGTCCCAATACCTCGCCAGGGTCACGCCGCGGTCCACCACTGTACCGTTGATAACGTTACCAGAATTGGACATATCGTTTGTCGAGGTAGGGTAGAACCGAGTCTGGTGCCGCTTCACGGAGACTAGGATGGTGAGCTTTGGCTGGGACCTGGCCTGGTACTTGAGGCGGCAGGCTTCTCTGATGCTGGGCAGCTCCTGGTCGAGGACTTGGCTAAACTGGCCCTCGGAGACGCCGTCTCGGTAAATAATGATGCTGTCGGGTAACTGGCCTTTGTTGTGGTCGCGCCAGGTATCCAGCCGCGTCTTGAACACATCGGCAAGCCTTTCGGTCACCATCTCCTGCTTGGAAGTTTGCTCCCAAGCCAGTGCAGGCCATTGGCCGAGGTCCCTGTCGATGCTCGAGACGAACCCCACCAGACTGGGAGGCTCGTTGCCCTTCTTAATGGGCATGTTCGTCGGGTGGGTTACGTCGTAGCCAACAATCATCGACTTGCCTTCTTTGACGAGGCTGGATTCCTCTCGTAACTTGTGATTCGTGCCTCCAGCCTTCAGGTTGATCTTGAGCCCGACGTTGGCGAAATAGGCCGGGCTTGCCTTGGCAAAGTTTCTCCCCACTAGACAGCTGGTATGGATTCCGTAACCACAGTCTCCAAACGCCTTGATCTTGCTGTATAGGCCAGTAGAGTCTTTCTCCGCAAGGATGAAGACCATGAGATCAATCTTTTGTTCTTCAAGCCACGTAAACATTCTGTGAAGAGTTTTATCCGTTTCCGAATCATTGACATCAAGTGTGACGTGCTGCGTTTTGGGCGGAATGGGGCTTTTGTTGATGGCAATGCCCATGTTCACCAGGAACTCTCCAAATTGGTCCACCACCGAGCCGTCCACTAAGAACGGACGTTGGCGTGGCGTCGACACGTTGACCCAACACCAGCGCTGGATCTTAGTGCCCGATTTGAGGACCCTCACTGCTCTCATATTCCATGATCCATTCTGCGGCGACACATCGGCATTCTTTGGTCTTCCGTCCGTACCAATACCGTTGTAGCTCACCGTTGGCGCCTTGAGAATTCTTCCCTGTACAGTCAACAATTGCTTGTCGACAGAGACGCCGAATTTGCCTAGTGCTGCGTCGTCGAGACCAAGAACTTTCCGGCTGGCGGTGCTGATCGATAAGGCGTTGGAATACGGTGACCGACAGGCAAAGTCCAGCATCGCTGTGGTCTCTTCCATGGTTAGAGCTGCTTTGACCGACTGCCCAGGTTGGATCTCGATCATTTCGGCCGGGACGTAGTTGAAAGGCTTCTGCTCAGTACCCACATCGAGCAGGGGGTAGTCACCAGGTGTAATATTGTACTCTGTAATATTATAATGTCAGCTGATCACGTACTAGGGAGAAAGAGATCGTATGAGAGGGAGAGGGGGGGGGGGGGGGGGGAGAACAAGAGGCTCGAGAGGGGAGAGGCAAGTTTAGGGACGCTGAGCATGACTATCAAGGCGGCAAGCGAGAAGGAACAAACACTTACTCTGTCTGAAGTAGTCAAAGACTGTAACGTAACGGCCCCCTTTCCCTTTGTCGCCGTCCATCCAGAATTGGACATTCTTGGGTCCTGCATACTCCATCCCACCATCGAACTTTGGCGGATGGGCCATGCCTCGGCCTTTGACTTTGATCTCAAAAGAGGAAGCAAGAGATCGTATAGACTTGGAGCGGCGAAAGGTCTTGCCCTCGGAAGTCTTCATGGTAACCCAAACACGTGTCTTGGGCAGGAATTTGGCAAAGGCCCTGAGTTTCCACCCCTGGCTTTTGTCTTGGTAGGCGGCTTTTAAACCTAGACTGTCAAAGATCTCCGTCAGGCGGCCAGCGAGGCTGAAAACGCCGTGTGTGACGTTGACGTTGAGCAGCGTGCGACCAGTTGCAAGGCGGGCGGACTGGAAGTAACCACGGGCCGCCGTCAGAGCTCGCCAATTTTGGGTAAGTTGCTCAATCACCTTGTCGTTCCCCAGGGGGAAAAAACGCGATGACCCAACGGTGGCGGTTTTGTGAAAATCGCTCCGTGGCCCGTAGCCCAGGATGATATTGAGCGCATCAACAACTTCAGGATAGCGCGGAAAGGAAATCTCATCGGCGGTACCCGGCGCATCGATCATGGAGGTCAGATACTTCTTCATGTCGCCCACGTCAATGTCGGCTGGCCCGTGGAACTGGACCAGATATGTGTCAATGAGGTCGCCTCCTTCGTCCTTGGGCACCTCGACCTCGAGAGGATTCTCAGTCAAGTCAATCTTCTTGAGCGTAATGAGCTGGCTCTTGAACTCGGTGGCAGCAACAAGCGTCTTATCTTGCGCCAAGAGCTTCGCGAGAGCCGCCTTGATGGCGAAAAATAGTGCTCTACCCTTGACTTCCCTGCCTTGATCGGGCTCGTCGGATTCGGGAGCATCACCAGCCGGTTTTGAGGCAGCCTTACCGCCCTGCTCGGATTCTTGCTTCGATGATGTCGGCTTCCTGGAGCGCTTCTTGACATCAAAAGTGTATTTGAAGAACGAGTCCTTGTTGACGTTGATTCTGAAATAGTTCGCCCAGAGAACGACAGGTTTCCCCTGCGTTCCAAAGGCCGGTCGAGCAGGGAGCTGGTCGTTCATCGGGGTCTCGGACTTGCCCCCACCGGCGCCGCCAACTTTGCCCCCCTTTCCCTTGACGCTCATAGCGGCCATTTGTTTGGTGATGGTCGCCAGCGAAGCGGACTGACGTGCAACAATCTGGTTCTCAAGTTGAGTGATCTGTGCATCAGGCGGAGGAACCGCACCATCGTAGCTACATGGCGTCCCAACATGTCAGTCTGGTGTTGAAACCGGTCCACAGCAGAGGATACAACTCACCCGAACACCTTTGAGATCCCGGGAGAGGCGTCACGGCGCCCTCCCCGTCCTCCTCCGCGGCCACCTCGGGGACCGTCTCCCCGGAAGCCACTGAAGCCGCCACGAAAGCCACCGCGATCTCCTCCGCCCCGGCCACCGCCATAGTCTCCTCCCCTACCTCGGCCACCGCCATAGTCTCCACGGTCGCCTCCCCTGCCTCGGCCACCGCCATAGTCTCCACGATCATAGCCGCCTCGGCCTCGACCACCGCCGTAATCCCCACGATCGCCTCCTCGGCCTCGACCGCCACCTCTACCGCGGTCTCCACCGCGGGAGCCACCGCCACGATTTCCCCGGTTGCCTCTGTCGGCCATTTTTGAGGAGCTCGATGCAATTTGAAGAGAGCAAGACTGCGCTCGAAAGGCGGGTGTAAAAGAACGACTTCAAGATGAAGCGACGGAAATGGTGACCCAGAAGATAAGTGATATCGAAAAAAAGAGAGAATATTGCCAAAAGCGAGAGTATAGAGATGCACGTAGATGGCACCAAGAAGAGTAACGATGATGCGTGTGAAGAGGATGAAGATAGATGATAAGCAAGCAGAAGCAGAGGTGTAAACTGAGAAGATTGAGCCGTGCTCAAGTAGGTAGGTAAACAAAGGCTAGAGCCAGAGCCAGAGTGAAGCGAGAACGAGCAGAAGCTGGAGCAAGATCAAAGGGCCCAGATTGGAGTGTCGTGCCTGCCCGAAGGAGAGCAGCAAGAAGAGGTCAATCAACGCAGGAAGGAGCCTTGCGGGGCATGCAGAGACACTGGGAAGGAAGTTGCACAAGCAGGAGCGGGAGCAGGAGCAAGGGCAAGAGCAGCGAGGTGTTGGGAAGCTGCCCGAAGCTGTGCGTGCAGAGCGACTCGTGAGAGACGAGAGTTTGAGTGCGACCCGAGCTTGGAGTTGAGGGTCCGCACAGGTAGCTTTTAACGCGCCGAGCTCGAGTGGAAACTCTCCACCGAAGCTGCCGTTGTCCGTTTCGTTTAAAGATGGATCGGAGAGAAGGAGCTTGTCAGGGTTCTGCGGGGAAGGACGAAGCGAAAGCTGCAAGTCAACGGTTTGTGTCAGCTTGCTAAGTACCTATCAAATAGATAGAAAAGAAGAGCTGTGTGCGAATTGGATTCGGGGTGGATGGAGAGCTCCGAAGGGGGGGGCGTCTGTTGGAGTTGCTTTGATTTGCTGGGAGCTGGTTGGTGCTGGAAGGGATGATGTCGCCTACCTTGCAGCTGCGCGCTGTCGGTCGTTGTTGGATGCTCAAGGTGAGCACGGTGATGTACTTGCATGTACTTGACACGGCCTGCCGCTATGCCGAGATCTGGAAGCCTCTCAGAGTACCCAATGATACCTTGTGTGGGACTACCGCTTGCTCCGTATGAACCTGTATAGCGGGATGGGTCGGAACTTGGGAGATAGATGTTCAATAGAGGAGGCCCGAGATATATATATTCTTTGGCGAAGACATTCAATGCCACCCTGAAGCCGCAAGATGACTTTGTGGCAACTCGCGCGTCGTTGCATCCAACTTGTATATGCGGCTTGCATGGACTCAGCTCACTGATCCACGCCCACTTACCAGCCAAACAAAATTTCTTCCCCCCCTTCCTTGCTTGCCCCCCATTGTCGGCCTCCCAATGGATCCTGTTCACTTCGCTGGCCTCTCGAGGAGTCATCGCCCGATCACTCGAGCTCTGCTTGTATTATCGTACAAACGCGGAGCGGCGAAATAAAGTGATTCGCTCGATCACAGAAGAGAGAAAAGTGAGGCATCACAGCGCTTCTTTTCTGCCTAGCTGCAACCGTCTGCACGGCCTGCATCGACTCCTTCGTGGCCCATTGTCGCCCCAGCCTCACGTTTCACAGCATATCTGGTGTACGGACAAAGGAGGGTGGCATGAATCCTGGCCGGCCTGCCGCTGACATCCTGTCTTCACGCCACCTCACAGCGCGTCGGCCTGTTGTGATGCCTTGCTTTCGCTCCCGTGGTTGAGACGCGCTGCTCGCCGCCCAGCCTGTCGGACACCCTTGGCATCTCGGGGCATATCAGCATCATCACGGCGGGCCTCTCGCATGGGTGAATAGATGCGAAACGTCATCTTGTCTTCCTGTGATTGGCCCTTCTTAGAGAGGAGATCGACTGGTGAGAGAAAGTGTCCTTGTGGATGCAGGAGTCACGTACGAGTACGAATGAATCTCCAGACAAAAGGCTTGAGACGAAGTATGTACATACGAACAGCTTGAAAGTTCTTCGCCACTGCGGGGGTCGTGAATCCAAGCACCTCAGTCCGCACGCTGTCACAGTATCTCGGCGCCTAACTGCCCATTACCTCCAGCTCCATGGAGCACTTGTCTGTAGACAGTCCGTTAATAAACTGCATGCCCTTGTTATCAGCGCCGGACGCACATCGTCTACAGCCGCAGCTGAGACTGCAAATGAGCATCGCATCAGCATAGCCACTTATGTATCCATGTACCTAGCTGCCTGCCAAAGGAGTCTGCTTTATTTGATAAACGACAGCTCTGGTGGTGCGTTGAAATGAAATTGTAAATAACACTCTTTCAAGGCGTCACACTTCAATGTCCTGGCCTAGGCCAGCGATCTGGCGAGAAAACAAAATGGACGCAGCAGATTGAGACTCGAGAGCATCCTCGACAAAAGTCCCAAAAAGAAATCGAATTCCGGCGCCGGGAGTCGAACCCGGATCGCTGCGGGACTTTCTAGTGAAAGCGCAGTATGCTAGCCACTACACCACGTCGGATATGCTTGTTTGATGAGTGGAGTTTTTCTTAGCATAAGCTATATAAGTAGCGGCATGTAGTCGCGGCTTATACATACCAGCAACATCGTCAGCTCGCCTATGATGAGAACAAGATCTAGGTAGTCAGCTTCAAGGCATAACCAGATACGCGGCATACATATACTGCTCAGGTATTCAACAAAAGAGGCACTCAATAGATCGAATGCCCACACCATAGTTTGGCAGCTGGCCCACATCAAGTTCTACAGCTCATATTGCCGAGCCCGACATGGCTGAGGATCCGTTCAGTTCCTCGTGAATGCATGAATTACGGGAACATTTTCTTCCACCTATCCACACAATGTATGATTCTCGAAGGCCTACGTGACGTCTACCCAGCATATATCCATGCAACACGTCGTGGCATCCACTCACACATGCTCAGCATTCCCCGTCCTGGGGTTTTCCTAGATCTCACCCTGTTCACTGCTCCTTCTACCAAGCTATTCTCTGCGTATCAGCGGAACTGCCCACGGGACAAGACAGCTTGCACTGGTTACTCACCTCCGGACTACCCCTATCAGGCATTTCTGTCGAGAATGTTGCAACACGCTGGATAAACCTCCAGGGACGTCCAATCTAAAGGTCTAAGGGCCTGGCAAGTCAGTCCCATATGACACCTAGTGTCAATGTGCACTCTTCGTGATGACGATATCCCATGAGCTTTTACAACCCCTTTTTTGCAGAGTAAATCTATCGAAATTTAGTTTCTATGGATGATATTTTCCTGGCTAAGCAAGCTTGGACTCTCCACAGCATGACTGGGAGCTAGGGCGTTCGGGAAGGGAAGACTTGTCGACGGTTCATCTGCGAAAACATCAGGCTCATACGAGGATACATCTTGAGAAGCGGGCATCAACATGTTTGTGACACCATTCACAGTTGCATTGCTGGCCGAGATTGCACTGGAAAGGTTGACTTTGACATCAACATCTGGTGATGGCCCAGGAAAATGGCTTGCTCCCCCAACTGCCTGGACTGCCTGGACTGCCTGCTTCGCTCTTTCGTTGGCTCGGTTTATCGCCTCGTCCCTCTGGAGCTTTGCCCAGTCTATACCATTCCGATAAGCAGCAGCGCCTTGTCGAAAGTTCTCAACATCGGCGGTCAAGAGATACTGTTTGACCTCTGTTGTGACAAACCCCGGCTGTCCTCCCGGATGCAAAGGCGGAATCGGATGGCTGGTGTATATCCCAAGAACGCCGCCCATGTAGTAACATGTGAGGGTATAAGCCTTATTGTCGTACACCTTCTCTGCCTCCCCGTAAGACTGAAGGCTCTGGATCCCTCTGGCTCCCAGCGCGCCGTCGTAGCACACTTGTCGAGGTGCAACCTCAGCGGACGCGCCGGGGCCTTTAACTTCGAGGAAGAAGTTGGGCGCAATTGGGAGCTCCTCCTGCGCGGTAGGGACGATCTGGCCGCTGAGCGCACTTCGAACGTCTGGGTTGAGCTGCTCTGGGCGAGCGCCATAGTACAAATCGGGCTTGCCTGGCACAAGAGTGTCATCGGTCAAATGCTCCAGGTTCCGGAACGCATTGTCGCGTGCCGCATTTCGCTTGTCTTGGTCCCCTTCTAATATTGGAACAACATCGGACAAGACCGCGGGCTCGCCTTGAGCAGTCCTATGTTGCCGCTTAAATCTCCGAAAGTCCTCGTTCGTAAATCTTGACGGAGATAGAGATGCCCTGCGACGGGCCAGCGCTTGCCGGATCTCCTCCATATTCTCGGGCTCTGGCGGTAAATGACCGTTTGGATATTCATATCCATCGGGCAAGACATGGTGGTCGATGAGGTGTTGTTGGAAAGCACGATCATATGGACTGGTGCTTTTGGTACGAGCCGATGGGAGCGTGGTTTTCCTTGTGCTCCTTGAAGGATATGGCGACCGCCTGCTCTGTCGTATGGATCTCCTCCTTGTCACAGGACTCGTCTGGCTGGAACTCATGTCGTCCAAGGCTTGTGTAGGTGCCGGGTACTGAAAAGGTCAAGTTGTTAACGTACGCGGAAGAGCATCACAGACAGCTGCCTGAAGAACGTACCCCTATCAGATCACGTAGGTCTGGACCTCCGTGGCTTGAGAACCGCCTGACGTTCTTCAGGTGAGCTGGCGAGAATTGGCCAAGAATCTGGCCAGCAGACTGTTGGTGATGATTCTCCTGGGCGAGCGAGCGTCGTGCGCTTCGTGTAAGCCTTTGGACGCTCGGCTGTTCCTGGTCTGCGTTATGGAAGGCGATCTGCCTTCTCTCTTGTCTCCTGTCTAGTTCTCTCAGTGCGTTCCGTGTGAGCGGCACTTTGGACAAATTGTCCCAAAATCTCGAGGGGATCGTTGATGGATAGTGCGGCCTGTGACGTTTGGGTGAAGACGATGCCTCCTGGGATGCCTCGCTGGGCCGCTTGCGCGAGGAATCAGATGCTTTCTGATTGTCACGATTATCAACATCTGCCAAGGAAACCATGCTGAAGCGCTGGACGTATTAGACCAGCAGGAAACCGTCGTTATATAGTCGTGGTAATGATATCTCCAATCTGTATTCGCCAGTCTGGCTACTGTGACAATGTGTATGAGAACAAGAAACATGATGCTGCACAAAGGGTTTGTATAGAAAGCTGCAGCTGGACTTGGTTCTTGTATTCGCTGGCATTACACAAAGGTGCCCTGGGTCATCGGATGAACTAAAGCGCGTACGCATAGACTCATGTAATGTATGCTGTGAATTGGTGCCTGCGAAGCGCCTCTACTTCAAAAAAGGTCATTAAAGAGAAAATGTGAACTTGCGGTGGGTGATAGACAAACAATGTTGAAGCACGCGGTTGTATAACCGTGACCTCCCGCCGAGCTCAAAACGCGCAATAGACATGTTTAGCACTTGTGTACCCGATTAAAAACCTCAATACCTATATATATTGCTTCAAGGAGCATTCCCGGGTCATCGCCATTCGGCAGCCTACACACACGTTGCGTGACCTGCGGCGCCGCCCGAGTAGACGAAGGGGGAAGGGGGGAGATAACTCACCCACAAGCCAGAAGCCAAGGACATTACGACAATTTGAAATACACGCGGGTTACACGTAACTGAGAAAACGAAGCGTCATCACTGTATATAGGCCAGCTGATAGAAAACAGAAAATCGCAGTAATGCCCAAAGAGCCGCCCATTAAGCCATGATAGGAAGTCCTTCCTTGGTAACATTGTATAGACGTAGCACCGGCATTCCATCAACCCAGTCGTAAGCCTTCTTTGGTCAACCGCTTTACAGAATCGTCATAGATTCGACAGGTAATCGACCCTCAATAATATCATACCCCCCATATGCATTTGCCGCAATGGAATGGGCTGGATAGAATGCCACTGGATTCTCGATAACGAAGACGCCCACTCTCCTGAACCCGACTGTGTCGCCCCTCGAGTCGTACACCTCGTCCAGGAGCAATCCTTCTTCCGAAGTGAGGCGAAGCGCCGTGATACTCGAGGGTCTATTCGTTGCCTTGCACTCCATGTCAAAAATGCCCGTAGCGGCGATATTGGGCCAGTCCAGGCTCGGATCTCGTATGCCCCTGATCAGCTGCTTGGCCTCCTCCGCCTCCAAGCGAAACGTGTGCCGGTTCAAGCTCTCCGTTGGATAGGGTACGATGTTTCCCCATGCGCTGTATTCGGCATGATCCCTCGTGCTGTACTGCGAGATGCGTAATCTGCGCACGTAGCCGTAGATGCCAAGCTCGAAACTATCAGGGGACTTGGAGTACTCCACCATTGGACCTGGCCACTCATTATCACTCCGGGGTACGCAGCATGGGACTCCCAGTCTACTAAATCCCCTGCTACCAGCTCGGTCTGTGCTTATTCCCTGGCAGATGGGCCCGACCAGAGCCATCCAGGACCACGATGGGGCCCGTCTGATGATACGCCCTTCATGGGTAGGTCTCTGAAGTGCCGGCAAGTCTGGATCCAAGATTCGACTGCTTCTCCAAAGCAATCCGCTGATTATGTCCATCTCCCACAGGCCAGCCATGTAGCCGTCTGAGCCTGGTCCAAATCTCTCCACGAGCACCGTCTGGAAGAGACGAGCAACACCGGATATTGCCGCGTGGTTGTCGGTAGGGTCATAGAAGCTGCGCTTGGAATATTCCGCTACCATGGCATACCACCTCTGTAGGGCCGGATCAGAGCCCGCTCCCAGCTCCCATGGACGGCGTTTGTTTCCGAAGCTTGGTACAAGGTAACGCGTTGACCGTCTAAAAGACCGAACCTGGTTACACGGCTTGTGAATCTCCTTGACTTCTGGAAGAGAGACACTGTGTCGCGATGGAAAGAGTAGGTTGTACCAGGTATCCCTTTGCCCAACCATGTTGCATTCGCCGTCTTCAAACTCGTGGCGTTCGCGACACTGAAAACTCAGCTGCTGCTCGCCGTAGATAATGGCGCGCCTGGACATCAATAGTTCCTGATAACACCATCCGCGGTCATTCGTGGGACCAATATCTCGAGTGCGTGCCTTGCCAATCCGACAGACAGTTGAGGTGAAGGTGGTAGAACACTCATAGGGAAGATGGGCATCTGGGGTGTCCGGGCTGTATGTTGGTTCCAGAAAGCCTTTGTCTGCATCCTCGCTTCTGCCGGCCACGATTGTGAGGTCGGCATTGTTATAGATCTCGGGCACCAGGGATGCCTGCAAAGCCCAGTCTTTTTTGTCGTCCTGCATGATACACAACGCGTCGATCCAGATGCCATGATAGCCAAGTTCTTTCGCAGTCTGTATCGCCTGGCGATGTGTCAAGCAGAGCTTAGAAAGCGATACTCCTGCCAAGAAGGCCTTTCTATTGCTTCTCCGAAGCTTGAACATGTTGCGTCCGGCGCTCCCCCAGGAGTATGAAAGTGCCACATAGACCTCGACTGCATCTTCTCCCGGCTCAATGAGCCTTGGCTTCTTTTCTTTGATGTAGATTAACCTCGAGGGACAGGGTTTCCGCTCCCTTCCACAGCAACGTTTGTCGAACCTGTTACATCGATCGAGCCAGCCTCGCATTATAGATATGGTCTCCGTACGATTTTGAGGCTTCGCTGACTCCCTAGCGCTTCGTCCCCGTATCTCGGGTGTCGACCCTGGAAGTCACTCGCTTGGTTAGGCAGCTGTCTTTGAAATGAGGAAGCACGAAGTTCGTCGCCGTTTGGCTCACCATAAGGTACAGAAATGTTGACAAGCCCAAGGAAGCCACCTCCTGGGATGTCTTTTGATGCTCTCACAAAGTAATTCAAGGATGGAGAATCATAATTCAGTTTGCAGGTAGCGTTCTCCTTCCAGGCCGACTTGAAATCGGGTTCGGATGGGCCCTCATATCTGCCGTCGTCGGGCGGTGGCTCCCTTCGATAGAGGCAGAGATACAGCGTGGCATTCTCCAGGTCGGGATGAGTTTTCCAGTTGTGGAGGAAGTGCTGAGGCCGAGGCTTGTCGTTGACAAGATTGTCTTTGACCGCGGCCCAGATCAAGCGGCATACCGAACAGGGTTGTAGAAAACGCTCCGCACAAGATTTGAGCGCTTGAAGGCTCTCATGATGTCGGTATAACAACCTGTCTTTGCGGACCTTTAACCCGACACAGACGGAACATAACCGCCGATCCATGTCGCTTATACTTTGAAAAGCAAGTCTCAACTTCGAGATATTAGATAGATGAAAAATGCCATGATATATTGTAAGTTCGTACTCATAACTTATAGTAATTGAGACAGACATGCAAAGGGATCATAAGGCCAAAGTCAGTACATAGCCGGATCCTGCCCCTGCAACAAGTGTTACTTGCAGGATTCAACAAAACCAACAACATGCAATATATCAATGTGGGAAAGACGCCCAGCGCTTAACCTATGGCTGACAATTGCCAGCTTCTGAAGCAGTGCCACTTACCTTCTGCATACCCCTGTCAGGCTCTGGATTCTGAAGGATCCAGCCACTTGCTCCGCCCCTCATGAGGCTGAATTGAAGGGGCAGTTGACATTTTGACGGAGGATATGCCGTGTATTTTGTAATACAATGTTACAGAATCAAATGAAGCGGGGATGAGAGAAGCGCTGGGGCAGACAGCTGATGCTGCCTGCTCTTAGCCTTCGAAATACTTGAAATTCCACTTTCTACGACATCATTCATGAAAGCACATGATAGTTGAAAAGCGAAGAAAGAGACAAGCACGAAGTAAGCCTACAAGTCATCCTTATGCACCATGGGCTCACGACTGAACCCAGCTCCAGGCAGTCGACAAGCTACAAATACTGATTCGCTCTACAGTATCCCCAGACATAGCATTGAAAGCAAAGCGCACCATTCAATTCGACAGTTCATCTCTTGTTCCACCATCATATCTCCACAACGTCAGCAATGGCTGAGGCCTTGGCTGCCATCGGTGCCATCGCGGCGGGCCTCCAGCTTGCCGAAGGCTCTGCAAGAGCTCTTATAAAGACCATCCGCATCATCAACGCACTTCGAGAGGTCCCTCAGAAACTAGCAAGATACTTCCAAGAGATCGAAGCATCCACGACCCATGTTGAGCATCTTTGTCGCAACCTATTGCAAGACGAGTCCAAGTTCTACCAGCAACTCAAGTCGTTGAGTCACACGGACGGGCTCATAAAGACATTGGCCACCCTCCACGAAGCCACAGAAGAAGTGAACGAGTTCCTCCTCCCGTTTGCCGAGTTTGCGCCATCGCCAACAGCCATAGCAAAGCCGGGTCGCTGGTTGTGGAAGTCAATCACCTCACTGAAGATGGAGAAAGATCTGCCGCACAAGTTAAAAAGGCTGGAGCGGCTCAACGGCGAGGTGATACGTGAGCTCACAGCCGTGGGATTGCAAGTCCAGATGGCGACACATAAACTCATGGCTGCGAACAACAGTCTCTCTATTGAGGGATTCGCCAGCATTGGAGCGCAGCTTACTGAGCTCGCGGTGGGTGTTAGGACTCTCAGCCTGGCGGTTGCGCAGTCTCAACCTGTCGACATTCGCAGCAACAGCTTCGACCATGTCTCGGCCACCAGCTCCGCAGTAGAGCTCCTGGATGACTGCGATACGTGGTCGAACACTTCGTCTGAGACCTTTTCCGAGTCTTCAATGTACAAGAGCTCATGGCAGAAGGTGCCGTCTCAGTCTTCGACCTCACAAACAGTTGCCCAACGCAAGGAACAACTCCGACTTCACTTACAGCAGGGACTCTCGTCGAGTCTGACAGTCACTCCACGGGACACTCCTACTGACGCCCATCTACACCTCGCACTACTCAGCATACGGACCTTTTACACCAAGGGCAACTTTGATCCAGAACCGCAAGTCCTGCAGCCGCGCTTCTGGAAGGACTGCAGCAACAGCATCTACTTCTTCAAGATTTCGGATTTCCCAAAGGCTCGCATGTTACTCCAGCAATCGACTGCCATGAACTCTGACGACATTTTCTTGAAAGGATCAGTCACCGCGCTTATCGAGATTTTGAGTGTCCTGTCACCAATCAACACTGTCACCAACCCTGATGTTCGCAAGACCATGCTCCGTTATCTTCATGCTTTGGCGTTGCAGCAGCTGCCTCGTCAGAGTCCTATCATGGTTGTTCTGTCGAGGCTGCACGAAGGGATGGATAGCACAGATTGGTCAATGACAGCACTTACGTGCATCGTGGATCGCCTGTGCGCCAGCCTTGCTCCATCTAATGAGGTGAGGCTGCTGGCCCAAAGACGCCTCATTGCCTTACTGCGCCGTAACAAGGATTACGACGGGGCACTGCGCGTTTGCACCAAGGCCCTAGACGATATCAGAAAGGCATCTGGACCAATGTCTCTTCAGGAACGGAAAACAGCACGCTTGCTGGAGCACATTTACATGGACCAGGAGGACTGGGTGTCGGCTCTGGAGGTGTGCTTCGACATTGTGGAGCAAAGATTTGATGAGACGACTGGGTTCAACCCGGATCCTCAATGCCATGATGAGTGCGCTGTGTGGACAATGGAGGATATTGCAAAGATATACGAGAACAGCGGCAACCTGGAGGCTGCGATAGCATGGCTGAAGCAGGCACGGATTAGCGGTGGCATTTGCTGGGGGCCGGACGTGTCGCTGGGGCATATCCATGATAAACTTGTGGTGTTACTGGAGAGGTGTGAGCTGCATGATGAGGCGAAGCTTTGGAGTACTGCTTTTGGGCCGGCTATGGTATAGGTGGGAGGCGTTTGTGTATTGGCATATGTTGAGCGGAGCGCATGCATTTGGATCACGGGCTTTGCGAATATATACAATAGACTACTACGATAGCCTTACGAAGCTGATGATGATCTAAGTGAATCAAAGTCTTCATAGAGGTAGTAGATAATTTTGTTTCCTTCATTGTGGGCATACAAGTATGAGTATCAGTTTCTACGATGCTGTTCTTAACCTTCTTCGTCCCCTTCCTCGATAGACTGAAGATCTCCTATTTCTCATAGTTCACCTGTGCCAGTACTTATGGAGCTTCTCAATTATTGATGAATACCTCCTTTGCGTGGATTTGTGACCAACCCATGACCCCTGTTTTCAAGAGGATATGGTCGTGAATTGTCTCAACAGGCGCTATGTGTTATTGTTTCCACGACTGGGTTCGAGATCGCTTATAGTCATTGGATTCCCTCGAACTCATCATTGATGACCGTGAACAGTCTTTTAATGAGAACTAGGCTGAGCAGACGACTTTACGTGGGAGTGTCTGAAGCAGAATCTCCCAACTTGTTCCTCGCTGTTGGGCCTCTTCTCTCTCTTCAACAACAACTTTTCGACGACTAGTTGAGACGCAGGTTAACTTTTGATCACGGCTTTGACAGCCAAGGGCCGACGCGAAGAGAAAGGAAGACGGGTCGGGTAAGCCCGTCCTCATCTTAAGCGTCTCAGCAAGCGGAGGATGAGAATATTGAGTTGTGTCGCGATATCACGACGGAGAACCTGTTCCGAAAGGTGAAGTCGTTCGTCTTTGATGTAAATGTTGCAATAATGAAGCTGCAGATTTTGATTTGGAAGGGAGGCTTGGTGAAGAATCGAAAGTTGCTCCAGGATGTGGTGGACAATGACTACCTACCGTGGATTCACATTCACGTATTGAGTCGGGAAGCGAGGCACCTTGTGGGTTGTGCGACGGCCATGCATTGCATCAATAGGAGAGTGTTTTCCTTTTATATTGAACTTGGTTTGTCTATTTGCTAAGTTTGTCTGTACGACCTTGTCTATAAAAACCATGCATTGCTCCTATTCTTGCCCGCCATTGTGCTCATTCTCAACGCCGTCGGATTCGCCACTTCAGTCCACTCATTCGGTTTCACGGTAGAACTCGTTTGCAAAAAAACCAAACCTGAGAGACAGACATTCACTGTTCGATCTATAAGAGTGAGTCAACGAGGTCTCAGGTCACCAGTGGTTCATGATGTATGTCCCAACGGTTGCAGTCAGATCCTGCTCATATACACCACGCATATGAGTGAAGCAGTGCTACTACCCATAGCCATATCAACACCACTCAGTCAACGCAAGTATCAAGTATCCAGGTATAAAATATCCCCTTTGCCATGAAGGCATCATGTGCCTACCAAGCTGACCAACAAAACAAGAAAGCCCCAAAAAAGAGACAAACCTACCATTCTCAACACACACAAAGAGACCTACCACAATGTGCACCAGAACCCGAATCTTCGTCGTCTGTCCCTGCCGCAACGCCGGCTGCGTCGACTTTGGCAACGTCTGCAAAGGACTCGGCCACATTGTCGAGGTCGACACCCACAGCCGAACCGTCTGGGACTATTGCGACTGGTGGTTTGCCCATGGCCCGCCGGAGCTTGTCCTCAACAGCTCTGTCACGCCGCGGTGCAAGAACCTGGGCTGGAGTGATTTGAAGACAAAGTTGCCCGAGATTTGCGACAGGTGCAAGAGGCAATGCCAGTGACGAGGGAGTTGTGAAGGGAAGTTTGGGGTTTCTTGGTGGATAAATCTTCTGGAGAGAGACATGGTGGCATTGCCACTCGGATCTCGAGATGCTTTGGGATAGCGACCTTCCCATAGAATAGACATAAGGAGCGTTGAATAAAGTATTTTCATCAGTCCATATTCTCGTAGAACAGCTATTGCTGCACCCTCTTGATTGTGATGGGTCAACGGCCAACATCTCCAGGACGATGTCATTCAAGTCACCTGTGCCACATTGTCCATGCAGAGAATATAAGCCGCAGAGATAAAGATTCAGCGGGCAAAACAAACATACCTAACTCAGATGAGTGAAGATAGCAAACATAGAACCTCGGACGTAGGAAACCCGAATCACATATTATCCAAACTTATATCAGAATCCCAAATCAATCTTCAAGCTGTCCAACTGCCCAATAACACCACCTCGACCTACGCTCCGAGTATCTCCCTTCTTCACATACTCACTCTCTGGCGGCCCCAAATACGTGTACCGCAAATCACCAAGATCAAGAAGCAGCTTCTCCAGACAGACGTTCTGGCTCCGGATCCGCACCTCAATCGTATGGCTGCCCTTCTTGACCGTCCCCACGTTATGCCCCTTCTTCCAGACGCAGTCCATGACGGCCGTGGGCCAGCCCTTGGGGAGATTCTCGGCGTTGTTCTCGTCCTCCGTGAGGCGATATGTCTTGATGGGTCCTCCGTCAAAGCGCACGTCGTACTGCATTCTGCTCGTCTTTTCGGTTTCGAGCGTCGTGTTGAACTGAAGCTCGAGATTCGTGTTGTCGTGCTGAGAAAAGACGTAGATCGGATAGCGCAGGAACGGAAGCTCGTCAGGCTTGCTAAAGTCAGTATCAAATGGCAGAGTAACAGCTCCTGCGATGGGCCGGCCAAGAGCAGGAAGCTGAATGTATGGCGCCGTGGCCCAATCGCCAGCATCAATGGCCAAGTGCCCGCTCTCCTCGACAAAGCCCTCAAAGTCTGCAGGGACCCGGCTGTTCCTGACAGTCATGTGGACTTGCTCGTAGCCATCACGAGTACCGATGATTTCAATCATGACCTTTGCATCAAAATCAGCGGGCACTTGCGCCCAGTCAATGGTGATGATGACTCTGATGTCGTCATCTCGGGGGTTCAGGTGGCCTTCGTACTGAGAGAGCTTGATCCACTTATACTGCGGTCGGGCTTCCCAGGAGAACTCCTTTGTGCCGCGATGGAAGACCTCAAAGTAGCGAGTCTGTTCGCCATAGGGAGTGATGAACGGAAGAGTCACTCCGGGCTCGAGGCCGCCGCGCGAAGGGTGAGTTCTGTCCGAGTCCTCGTTGATATGGCCGGGGTTGATTCCCTCGATACCCTCGACGGCTATTCCCATGTGGCCAACGCTGGGGTTCGAGTCTTCTTGTGTTTGCACATAGCAAAGCCCATCAATCATGTTGCGTGACGGTTCCGCACCGGTATCGCCATAGCCATAGTGCGGCTGACGCAGCATGAGGTTCCATTTGCCGTCCGAGATGGAGTTGTACTCTTCGTACAGATCGTGATCGGCATCCATGAGGCTGATGCACTTCTTGAGCAGGACGTTTGTCGTGTTTCGGCGCTGCTTGGCAAAGAGCTGATTCGTGAACTGGGCGACGCGCACTTGAGTGAAGATGTAAGACGCTTTGACGGGGTGAAGCACGAGCTGGAAGAAGGCAGACTTGTGCTCCTCGTCAATGTGAGAATAGACTGCCTCAGTCTCGGCCAAGAGTTGCCGCCATCGTGCAAGGATTCTATCAGTCTCGTGGTACTTTTGAATGACAAAGGTCGACGCGTCGATGTGGTCCTGCTTGCGCAGAGCGACCAGCTTGTTGAAGTCGTACCAGGATTTGGCAATATGGCCTGCGTACTTTTCACCAAACTCCCGCGTAGCAAGATGCTCAAAGTAGCGCGGCAGGGTGGTGGCCGTGATGGAGTTGATGTCCCAAGCCAGATCAAACGCAAAGCTCATGGGGATCTCAACGGGCTTCAAGTCGCCGACATTGAAGATCCAGATGCGATCGGCACCCCGGTAGTGAGCGAGCTGGAGCTGGTGAAGGGCCTTGCCCAGAGTGTTGCTGTTGATCCATCTGTAGCAGCGCGGGTAGCCCGTGTACTGGAAATGGTAGTAGAAGCCTGAGCCACCGGACCTCTTGTTCTCCTCTGCTGTCGGGAGACGGCGCAGATTCCCAAAGTTGTCGTCTCCAAACAGGAGCGTCACATCATCGGGAATCGCGAGTCCTTTGTCGTAGTATCCCTGAACCTCTTTGTAGAGTGCCATGAGCTGCAAGACGCCGTCTTCCTTGCCATAGTTCTTTTTGATAATGTCCCTCTGCACATCCAGCACTTCGGTGAGGATCTTGACGGGATCGCCTCCTGTCATGGGCACATCGCCTTCGCCTCGCATCCCCATGGTGAAGTAGGACTCGTAGGGCACGGCCCTCTCGGCTCCTTCTTCGAAATACTGTGTGATCTTTTCTTTGTTTTTATCCCAGTTCCAGGTGCCTTCGGGCTGAGTAGTGGACCACTCGTTCATGGCCCTCTGCATCGGCTCATGGTGCGAGGTGCCAATCACAATGCCATAGGTATCGGCCAGCTCCTGGTTCTTGGGGTCATCCACGAAAAAGGATCGTCCGGGATACGGATATCCTCGCCACATGGCCGGCCACATGAAATTCGCCTTGAGGCGCAAGAGAAGCTCAAAGACGTAGTGGTAAAAGTTGGCATCAAACTTGGGACCAAACTTTTCATGAACCCAGCTGTCCATGCCGGGGCACTCGTCGTTAATGAAGATGCCCCGATACTTGACGCTGGGCTCGCCATTGCATGTGGTTACAGGTAGAGCAAAGATTTGCTGTTGCTTCTTGGGAGGCACATCAGCCCACCAATGCCATCTATTTAGAAAAGTTATCAGATCATGCTTTCCCATATGTCATATAAGACGGCAAACACTTACGGCGACACGCCAATTTGCTCCGAGAGGGAATATGTTCCGAAAATGGTTCCTCGTTTATCACTCCCGGCAATGACCAGAGCATTGTCATACCCCTCAAAGGGCTCCTTCACAGTCGTCGTGATCCAGGATTCCCATTTCCCCTCAATCTGGGTGAGATCAATCTTGCCTTGATCTCTCAGGAGCTGAATCGTGGGTGACTGAGTGAGAGAGCCGATGACGATGCATGACCGAGCCGGAGGAGCCGAGGGCCGAGCTTTGACAATGGGATTGCAGTGCCGGCCAGTGACCCTCGTGAAGTCTGTGGATAGATTGTTTGCCGCGATGGAGACGCCGGTGTAGTCTTGGTCGTCGACAAAGATCTCGGCGCCGATGAGGCTGAAGCCGTCACCGAGCTCAAAGGAGACGACCTTTTCTTCAAGCATCGTGCTAGCTGTTGAAGACGGACGTCCCAGGTTTGTTTGAAAGTGACTGGATTAAACAACAGCCGATAGAGATGATGGAGGAGATGACGGAAGAAGTGAAGGCTATTTGTACGTGATGAAGCGATGCATGGAATGAGTGTCTCAACCGAGTACACGGAGCATCAGCCCATGGACGGCTTGTAGCTCTCGCCGTGACGACGTCACGAGGACCTGGAGTCTCGAGGCGGGTAATACAGCATATAAGCTTCTCCTCACTTGCCGGACACCACGGGATCGGGTAGAAACCCGATGGGAGGGCGGATAATATCTGTGGAGAGCCGTCTTGAGCAGGGGTTCGAGCTGGGATGATGCACTAACCAGAGGCGTCGAAGATGGCGATCAGGTTGAAGAGAGTCGTGAAGCTTTGGGTTGTAGCGTTTGGTGATTTGTATGATAGTATATTCGAGTTCTAATGAGTTTATAGATAGGTAAAGGAAAGGATGGTGCTCTCAATTGCTGCTGTTGTTCAATTTGATGGGAATGATGATTGTGCCCAGTTTCTGTAAATGTTGGAGGAGCAGACCTGTTGATCTCATCCCATCTCAGCAGCCACCGGGTTGGTTCATCAGCGGTACAACCCCGCGTTTACTGCACCCACACCTATCTTCGTCACCTCCAGGTACCTGCAGTACATTTGAGGTCAAACAAGCAGCACATGCAGTAGAGGCAATTGACTTCAATTGTCCATCAAAAGATCCGGGTCTCGAATGAATATCGTCATGCCTCGATGCCTTATACAAGGTTCAAAGTCTGCATGTAGTCAATGTCTGACTTGCTAATAAGAGGCACACGCATGTAGCCCTTTTCGAGTGAGATAATGCTCATGCATCTATAGCAACTTGAAGTGAAACAGCGATCAGAAACACAACATGATCGAGAATCTCTATAGTCTCATCTGTCTCAATCTCAACGCTGCCGTAGTAGTATTGACATCACGAGCAGCAAGTCAGCTGGCTCATGTCCCAAGCAATGATCCCCCCTCATACAAAGAACCAGCATCACGACGATGTGTGACCAGCCGCCGCCACCGCAAGGATTTCCTCTTCGAACCCAGCCACATATTCGACCTCAACACCGCCCTCTTCCAGCAGCTGGCGGCCCGGGTTCTTCCCCACGAATGTCTCGGGCTCCAGGACGCCCACATACACCTTCTTGATCCACGACTTCTGGCGCAGAATCCGCTCGACGCACGGCAGCTTGCCGCTGAGACGCTTGAAGCAGGGCTCGACGGTGGTGTAGAGCGCATGCGGGCTCGTCATGACGGCGTCAAGGCCCTCCTCGATGGTGGAATGCTCCTCCGCGAGCTTCAGGAGACAGCACTCCTCGGCGTGGGTGTTTCCGGGGAGCTCCAGCGTGTAGCCCTCGGCAGAGACGTGGCCGTCGTCCAGCCTCTTGAGCAGGGCGCCGACACGGAAGTTGGTCGGCTTTGGCGGGGATTTCTTGGCCAGCTCCAGGGCCTGCCGCATGGCCGCCTTGTGACTTGCGTCTGCTGAGGAGGCCATCTTGTGTCGAGATCTGCCGCGAGATGCAGTTGGGCAAGGCGGTTATACGTAATTCATTCTGTGCGTGTGCGTGTGTATCTGCCAGGTTGCACCAAACCATAAGGTAGGTAGGTATATATTGGCACAGAATTCAGTCGTCAACCAGCTCAATTGCCTGAAGGGGTCAACAGCTCCGGTAATAGGGCGGCAGCTCGTTAGTAGGTAAGCAGTGGAACCCCGGCTGCCGCCGCCATTAAGCTTAACGCGCTGCGACGCGTGACGCAGCTGCAGCTCGAGTCAATCCATCAGCCTACCCTCCCAGTTCTTTGTCCTCTGCAACCACACCTGCGCTGAGGAACCCGCAGCGTCGCATCGAGTCGTGAACAGACATGTCGGACCACGAAGACGTCGTCGATGGCGAGCCGCCCTCAATAGACCCTTACGAGGTCCTCGGGCTCGAGCGCACTGCAACTGCTGATCAGGTCAAGAGCGCATATCGAAAGGCAGCGCTCAAGAACCATCCAGGTGGGTTGCACAGACGGGGCGATTCGGAGGCATCATGACGATGGACCAAGTCCGTAATTCGCTGACGATGCATTGGTTTTTGCAGACAAGGTCGCCGAGGAACACAAGACAACGGCTCATGAGACCTTCCAGCGCATCGCATTCGCCTACGCCGTCCTCTCAGACCCCGCGCGACGAAAGCGATACGACACCACCGGGTCAACGTCCGAGTCCATTGTCGACTCCGAGGGCTTCGACTGGAGCGAATATTATCGGGAGCAGTACAAGGATGCAGTGTCCGAAGACGCCATCAAGAAATTCGCTGCGAAATACAAGCACTCCGACGAGGAGAAGGACGACCTGCTCATCGCCTACGAAGAGTGCGAGGGCGACATGGACCAGGTCTACGAACGGGTGATGCTCAGCGACGTTGTGGAGGACGACGAACGATTCCGAAAGATTATCGACGAAGCCATCGAGACGGGCGATGTACCCAGCTTTGCAGCCTACAAGCAGGAAAACAAGCGGAAGCGCGCCGCTCGCGCCAAGGCCGCAAAGGCTGAGGAGGCAGAAGCAGAGGAGCTAGCCAAGGAGCTCGGTGTTCATGACAAGATCTTTGGCGGCAAGGCAAAGGGCAAAAAGGGCAAGGGCAGCTCAGAGGATGACTTGGCAGCCCTGATCCAGAAGAGACAAAAGGATCGTGAAGGAGACTTCTTCAGCCGCCTTGAGGAAAAGTACGGTGCAAAGCCCAAGGGCAAGGGCAAGAAGCGTGCTGCGCAGGGAGACGAAGAGGAGCCATCGGAGGAGGCGTTTCAAGCTGCTGCTGCCAGACTGAAGAAGGCCAAGACTGCGAACAAGGACGACGAGCCTGCATCAAACGCTGGCCGTCGATCAACAAGGTCTCGCCGATAGTTCATGAGGTGTATGTCTGCTTTTGGGTACTTATATGATTCAGGTTGGGCTGTTTTGTGTCATGGAGCTGGGTATAGGATCGGATTTGGGATACGGCATCAGGGCGTCACAGCACATGTAGTTTAGGTATTTTGATAATTCGCCAACATTGAATGTGTCTCAATGAACAATTCAGCCACGAAGTTGGGAACCTTTCTCCATCAACTGCATGAACTTGTCTCATGCCGTAACCGTGATGCTGTGCATACCTACTAGGTGGGCAGGTAGCTCACAGGTACAAGGAGTATGTAAGCTCCCGTGAGCGACAGCGGGGCGTTCAAGCTTGTGACGCGCCACCCAAATCAACAGCCTTTTCCCAGAACCGCGTCCTTCTCCAACCGTGTTCCTTCTCCCCTTTGCATTTCCTCGACATACCAGAAAATGAACGCAGGGCCAATTGCGCTCGTACGGGGGTTTGCGCTTGATTCGCCAGTGAATCAAGGCACCAAGACGCACATCCCATGAACGAGGCCACACGAGCTGTCGGAGCCACTACTACACTCTATCCGCGGTACTGCTTCCACCTCTCGCCCACCGCGAATGCATGGTGTCTGCTGCGCGCCGCCGAGGTTCATGCTCTCGACCAACATGCCGGCTTTGAAGGTACGCGCCTCTTGAGCTCGTCTGCCATGATATGCGGCAGCTGGGATGCTTACCGTGCGCTTCGAAAGGGGAAAACTTCTACTTTTACCGAAACCTCCCCATCAAATGGGTGCGAGTCGTTGGCATCGTAGTTGCCATCGAGCAGTACGCTCAACGACGAATCTATGGCATAGACGATAGCAGCGGCATGAACGTTCTCGCAGTGGTCACATCCCCCGCTCCCATAAAGGCAAAGAACGACTCGGCGCCCAACGAACTACGACCCAACAACGATGCGCAACCTACAGTCGCGCAAGTGCCCGATCCCTATGCGGCCATTGACGTGGGCATGGTCGTCGACGTAAAGGGTGGCGTGTCGTCGTTTCGCAACGAACGGCAGATTGACGTCGTGAAGATGGTCATTGTGCAAGGCACGGCGCAGGAGGTTGCGCTTTGGGAGAAGCGGACCAAGTTTCGGCGCGAGGTGCTGGATGTGCCGTGGGTGCTTCGCGACAAGGATGTGCGTCGATGCCGTCGGGAAGCAGAGCGGTCCGAGGCCGAGGCCAGGGCCGAGCAGAAGAGGGCAAAACAGAAGAAGAAGGCGACGAAGCACGGCAGGGACAGGGACGAGGGCAAGGAAATGGGCGTCAGAGACGTCAAGAAGCAGGATGTTAAACACACTACGAAGGGTTCGAAGAGCACGGGCCTGGTCGATGAGGATGCTGCGAAGAGGGTGCAGAGGCTAATACGGGAGGGCGCGTCAAGTGGGAGATTTAATGCTCTTGGATTATGATGTGACGCTGGGGCGGGCAATGGCTGCAAGGCATCGGATAGGATAACGACCGCAGGGACTATGATAATTCCAATGAAAAGGCACAGGTTCGAACAGCTCAAGCCTTGGAGCCCTTGTTGCGAGCTTGCTCATCTTTGCTTGAATGACGCATTGCACAGAGGCTATTCGTAACACCAAGCGACAACACAAGATGCAAAGGGTATCATGAACCAAACCAATCACAGCAAATAACCCAACCATCTTCCTAGTAACCAGCATCATTTCCAGACAAAAACAACCAATACCTTCTCCTACGCGAGGCCCGAGCAGCCTAGCACCAAGTTCAGCTGCTCCACCAACAATCAACGAGGTTGCCTCAAACATCCGCCGCCATGTGTGTTTGTTTACTTGGACAAGCGTCAAGTGTCGGGCCCAGCTCATACCAGCCGCAAACACCCGCGCAACACCAATGACCCCTTCACACGTCCGTCTACCCTGAAGCGCCAATTGCTCCCATCTTGTGAGCTTCAAAAAGCAAGGGATTACCTCATGAGAAGAGAAGTTCTCAATCGTGGAAGGTGACCCGTGACCCACTCGCTGACGTCTTCTTTCCTCACCAGATTCGAGCAAAGAAAGCAGGTCACACCGAGCTCCGTCACTACCAAAGAAAGAGGCTGTCGCCAATTATCGCCAAGTGCGCAGCTGACTTAATCAGTCACCGTATGGGGGCGGATAGGTAGGTAGACGTGTAATTGAAGCCTTCCCTCTTGAATCTTCCTCAGTACCTCTTTCCAAAGGGAAGAGCTCTTTTTTTTTTTTTCAAGGATAAAGAGGTAGCCGAAAGGTACCTGTCCAGGAGGTACTCACTCAGACGCGAACCGCTTCTCCCTCTCTTTTCAAGCATTCGCCAAACCACCTCCGAACTTCATCATCGCGTCCCAGTCGCTCTGCCTAGATAGCCCTTCCTATTCTGCATCACGTACATTTACCTTTCTCTCTTCTTGGTTAAAACTCCTTGCTCTTTGTCTCTCTCTGCTATTTTCCCGGTGATATACCTTCCAAGCAGACTTTTATACCTCAATCACAATCAAAGTTGCTTCATCCGCACTACCTCCTCGACACCTCTGTCGTGAGCATCTCCAGCTCCAAATACGTCTGACAAAGGTATGTCCAAGGCAGACAAACCTCACCACTGATTGCCTCTCTTCTGTGGCCCGTCTGCATTCCAAGCCTCTGGGATTCGGGGTCAGTCATGCGTGGATGTGAATCATTTCCCCCCACAAGGCATCTCCTGGACACCCATTCCTCCGTGACTATGGGCAATTCCAAGTCCACGCGAAAGCATCACCTGCCTTTAATATGATGGCATGTCTCGCACCCGACATTCAAGGGATTTCCCATTTGGAAGGTTCCAAGTCTAGACAACATTTTCCCGAGCTCATAAATACATGGACAATTTCGAACCTCTACCTCTAACATGGCTTCACCCCATCGGATCGCATCATTGCTTTGCTGGCTGACACTTACTTCAGGAACTCTCGCTCGACCAAGCTTGGATACCGGTCAGAATCACGTTATTTCTCCAGAAAAGGCTGCCGAATCGAGACCCCTGACTGGGACTCAGTTGGATTTCCCTTTCCCTAGCGCCCTGCTGAACGAAACTCTGGCCTCTAAGGCGACTGTCTCAAACTCTACCCACGCCGCGAAGTCATCCTCTTGTACTCAAAACCGCTTCACGACGACAGTCACGGTTACCGCAAGTTCTTCCCAAAGCGGAACGGCAAAGTCACCTCAATCGTACACCAGTTCCATAAGCGAAACCGCGCCAGCGGCGGAGACTACGATACAGCTCAATACTCGAATAGCCTCCACCAAGACGGCCTTCACTAGACCAGGAGCCACCATGGTGTCAAAGGATATCTTCGCGGAGCCCATTGATGTGAAGCTGCCGCCTCCCCAAATTTCGACTCGCAAGGACCATCCTGTCCCTCGAAAAGGAATCGCGGAGAACGCACCCCTTCAAACCAACAAGTTCTACTCCAATTTCTTCTTGGAAGATCAACGATGTCCGACCTTCACGTTCCCCTACTCGCTCGCCTGGGCCGGAGGCAAGGGCACCACAGCCAGCTGGGGCATGGCGTGCTCTCACACGGAGGCAAGTCAGCGGGTTTTTGGTAAGGAGAAGTTTAATGGTGCTTCGTCCTATTACCTCAACCCCGTCGGCATCCAGTCCCTGGTCCTCTCCGCCAAGGAGCTTGGAAAGGAGACGAAGCTTTCCATCGATAGCATGACCGCCTTCTCCGCGCGTGTCCACCTCAGCAAAGATGACGCCTCTCCTCCCGCCATATCTTTCCCCTTGGTGCAGGGTATGGCGTACATTACGGCACAGTACAGCGGCGCGACTCCCGTCATTCAATCTGGTGTTTTCTTCAAGACTATGACTCGAGTTACACGAGATCTCAAGAGAGACCTGGCCAAGTTTACCTTCCATCTGGAGGACGGCTCGACTTGGCTGCTGTACGCCTGGAGGACAAAGGGGGATCCACTAGATCTCAAGGTGACCAACAATGGTCTTGCTGAATCGAAACAGCCGTTCTACGGCATCATCCAAGTCTGCAAGTGCCCAAGGAGCCAGCAGTCTGAGAACATCCTGGATGATGGCGCAGGCATTTTCCCCGTCTCACTTGAACTGACAGGTACCGCTCGCGGTTATGAAGGCAGCTACTCGTTCAACTTTGTGATAGACGGACATCAGTCTGGCAACCTTTACATGTATGCCCTCCCCCACCATGTCGACTCGTTCGACCAGGAGACGTCGAGGCGCATACAGAAGGAGACGCAGCTGCAGTCGACCACCAAAGGCCTTGCCACGCTGGTGAAGGGAAATCGCTGGACCATGGTGGAGCCTGCAATGCCGGTCGACATGTCGTTTGCTCCCTGGGATCCCGAAAAGGGAAGCATCGAGAAGCTGTCGGACCACGCAAAGAGCATCATTCGCTCGGCAGCCGCGAAGGAAGTCGCACAGAACATGATATCACAAAGCAATCTTGATTCCATGTATTTCAGTGGAAAGGTGAGACCTCGTCATAGGGCCCGTGGATGCAATGTATGGGCTTTCAGCTGACAGCTTGTCTTCCAGGCTCTGGCCAAGTTTGCAACCATTCTGTACGTGATCAAGGATATGCTGGGCGACAAGGCCCTTTTGCAGACTGGCTTGGGGCAGCTCAAGGCGGCGTTTGCCACGTTTGCGGCCAATGAGCAAAAGTTTCCCCTTGTCCACGAGAGTGAGAAACTCCGTCCCTTCGTCGCAACCTCGTGATTGGTGCTAACTCGCCGGCCTGCAGCTGCTTGGGGTGGTATTGTATCGTCGGCAAGCTATGTTACCGGAAACTCTGGCGCCGACTTCGGGAACACGTACTACAATGATCACCACTTCCACTACGGCTATCACATCCTTGCTGGCTCCATGATTGGCTATCTCGACCCGGACTGGCTGAAGCAAAACAAGGACTACATCAACATCCTCGCTCGCGACGTGGCCAACCCCAGCGCCAAAGACAAGCTGTTTCCCATGTGGCGAAACTTTGACTGGTACCACGGCCACAGCTGGGCTCACGGTCTCTATGCCGCTATGGACGGCAAGGTATGCCAAAACTTCACAATGAGACATCGTTTGATACATTGCTAACAGCTGGCAGGACCAAGAATCGAGCTCGGAGGACATGATGCACGCATATGCCCTCAAGATGTGGGGCAAAGTCAGCAAGAATGCAGATTTGGAGGCAAGGTAAGGAAGCTATAAGACGTTCATACTCGCTGATGCTGGTGCTTACATTTGTGCTTGCTTGCGCCCCTTGGTTTCCCCTTTTCGGTGTACGAGGAGAGAAGCAGGCTAGCTAACGCCAAGAATAATAGGGGTAACCTGCAGCTCTCCATTCTAGCCCGGAGCCTGCAGAACTATTACCTGTACAAGAATGACAATAAGGTGCAGCCTAAGCAGTTTATTGGCAACAAGGTGGCAGGCATTCTGTTCGAGAACAAGGTGGACCACACGACGTATTTCGACCCCAACATCGAGGCCATCCAGGGAATCCACATGATTCCTATCCTGCCCTCGACGCCATTCGTGAGGCCCAAGGAGTTTGTTCAGGAAGAGTGGGATGCCTTCTTCAGCAACGGGCGGATTGACGACATTGGAAACGCCTGGAAGGGCATCATCTGGGCCAGCTATGCGTCGGTTGAGCCAAAGAAGGCGTGGGAGTTCTTTAGCTCGCGCTCGTTCAGCCCCCAGTGGCTAGATGGCGGAGCATCGCTGACGTGGTTCATGGCTTATTCTGCCGGTGAGTCTTGAGTGTATTTGTTGGAATTGGGAAATGTGTCAGGTGCTAACAGGCAACAACAGCGCTCGGGGAGATATGATGCAGAAGGGGGATGCCCCATTTGGGTTGACTACCTGGAAGCGGGCTGTTGGAGGCTTGGAAGGGGACCGGAGCCAAGGCTAGCTAGAGGCTGAAGTGTAGTTTAGGACCGGGCCTTGCGGGCATATCGTTTGTATATCGTTCTGTGGCCTTGCCGATGTGAGGCTGAGCACCTTGGCGGCGAAACAGGGCGGCATTGGAGGCAACATTGAGATTCACGGAGGCAAGAATTCGGCTGGAGATGGCATTCATTTCGTCCTTGTTCAACTGTTCGGGTTGTTCCATGTCTGAAGGCATGGGTTCGGCGCTGACCAACGCCGGGCTGACAACCGAACTGTGACGTCTTTGGGCATCTAGACGGGAGCTTCGGGATCGCTCACCGGGGACTGGCACGAGGAGTCGTTACCTGATATTGCGGCATTCTAGCTAAATAGCAATACAATATTTGCACAATTGCGAGCTCGGTTCATTTGTCATGCTGTTTGGCTGCAGGCCTGTGTCCCCGATGATTCCGCTGTTACTGAAGATTGGTCGAAGGGCGCTTGCGTGCGCAATCTGGGTACACGTACAACAGCAAGCAGCATGCGATTCCCACGTGCCAGCAATGCGATTAAATTAACGTGTTGCGGTAAATATCGATAACAGGCCGTGCAGGGGTGGCCGCGTGCGAGCCTTGTTTCATGGCTCTGAGACAGGCAGCACGAGCCTGACTGTGTACGACTTCTCTAGGATCACACATGACCCGGAGCGGGAGCCGTTCGGTAAGGTAAGGAGGTCGGGCAGTGGGGTCGGTTTCTAGAACAAATTGGGCTCCGACGAGTTGTCACATCTCAGAACATGCCAAGATGGACAAGAAGAAGGAGGCTAAAGCGTTACGACAGATTGGTACCCGACTACCTAGATGGGATGAGATACTACTAGTAATACATAAGGGTAGTGTGTCGGTGTGCCGGGGTCCATTGAGTGAGGAGAACGGGGGTGTTTGATTTGATGGATTAAGCTTAATTTTGTGGTGGATTTGGGGTTTGGGGGGCTATGAGGAGGCAGTGCACGGGGAGAAGTACTAGTAGTAGTACTTAGGTAGAGATGCTAGATAGTAGAAGGAGGTATTATGCTTGAGGAGGAGATGTGTGTGTGCTACTAGTGTGCTTTGCTTTGTGCGAGCGACTTTGGTGTTTGGATTCGTTTGGAGAATGTGGTGATGATGGGTGACTGGGCCCAGGGGGGGAAGGCACGTGTTTGGTTGATTGGTAGATGGGGGGAGTGTCTCTCTTTCTTGGCTTCCATGTTGAATGTTTTCTTGACATTACTGTAGTAGAGGCTTTAGTTAGAAAGGTTGAGATGTCGGTACTTGAGATCGGAAGTGATGGGTGAGTATCGAATTCAATTTGACTTTCTTAAAAGACGCCATCGAGGCGGCATTCTCCGTACCTCGCCTTGTGCAAGTTCGATAGAAGAAAGCATCGCTCTTTCTAAATCGAATGAGTGGTTCAATACCTACAGCAGAGCTGAATCGTGGAATGACGTCGTCGATGGGTGAGGGCGTTTCCCCACTTGAATCATTATGTCATCAAGCAACAAGCTTTCTGGATCCACCTGCGCATGCGCTTGGAGGGGACGCTAAATCGGAACGGTGTGACCCTGATGTGGACAGGGTAGAGGGACTAGTACAAGTACTTTCAGAACGGCCAGAGAAAAGGTTGAAGGAGATGGAGGGAGATGCCGTCGCTTCTCCGCACTTTGGGATGCTTCAATCGAGGGGCTAGGCGACTGGTATGGATACATAAACTATCATGGCTGATGTGCGTTTGCACTTTTACCAAAGGGTAAGGTAGTTTCTCCGCCGAAATACTTACGGTGAAGACGCGCGCGCATGGCTGTCCTACCAAGTACAGAACACAGCCTAATGCAGCTGCTGCAGAGGGGGGAGGAGGAGGCCTCCCAAGAGATATCCGAGAAATCCAGATCTCGTGCCAAGAGACCAGGGAATTCGTGCCTTGCGGCCTTTTTTCTTCTTCTTGATAATACTAGCCGATCTTGTTCGTTCGGGGATGGACAAAAGTAGATGAGGGATTGTCATCAGACAGAAAAGTACCTATGTATGCATGTAATACTACGCTTGAAAAGCAATCGGTCAGCCTGTCATCAGACAACCACAGCCTCAGTGTTGCGAACATATTTGCGTTTCGAGGTACAGGTACATGCTTTCATGCTTCAGGCACAGTGACGAATTGGCCTGGAACTGCGCTGCGGCAAGGTGCCTGGGGCAGGCACGTACTGCAGCTTCTTGCGCCGGCTTACCCACTCTTGCTCGAAACTTGCTCCTCCACTCGCAATCGACAAGCAAACAAACGCCGCCTTCGTCTCTCTTGTCTGTATCGTCCAATTCCGCCTATTGGTGCCTCGAGCGACTCGTACCACTACTTGTGCGACCGACTCGACATCTTTTCTGGTCGAGTCAGGCCCCGAATTGCCGTTTGTTGTCGTTGCCCGCCGGCTCCGGGAGAGATCAACCATTATTACCTCGGTCGACGTGACGAGACGGAGACAACTGCCGTCATAATAAGGTACCTAAGGTAGGATCTGTGCCTCTTCCGGCGCTTCCAGCCATGGTCTTGGGCCTGTGTAAGTTGACGTCTTCATCATCGTCTTCCTCTGCCTTACCAATACAATGCCCCAGTTCAGAGCCTCCTCTTCGCTTTGCGAATATCAAACAAATCCAATTACCACTGCCTCTCTCCTCCATCCTGCCAAGCCCTGCCTCATCGCCATGGTGCTGGACTACCTGCCTACCTAGGTCCATCCATACCTTAGCCCGGCTCTGTGACATACAAACCATCTCCGTTCACAGCCTAAAACAAGGCGCCACGCGCACTTCAAACAAACGCTTGCGATACAATTTGATTTTGCTGCCCTCATCAAACCCACCCTAGCAATATTCCCTCTCCCCCCCAGCCTTGCCGCCCTGACCCTTACCTTACATCAATACCTACCTCTTTATATCCCTGCCTCGCCACTATTTTTCCCAGTCTCCATCTTGCGACTGCACTACATCATAGCGCCTCCATAGCTGCAACTCTCACTCTTCATACCATCATCAATGGGCAGCTTGAGGTGATTGACTTTTTTTCTTCTCTAAATCGTGGCTGTCGTCACTGTTCGCTGTTCCTGCTTCCTGCCGTTCGCTGCCAAGAGCGCCAACTTGCAGACTTTCCCTCGCCTCACGCGCATATTCCAACCGCCATCTCTCTCTTCTGTTCTCGTCTGTTCTTCATTCTCTTCTGTTCTCTCTTTGCGCCGACGGCCAACACGAGCTTCGCCCTTGGCCGCGTCTTCCTTGCTCTACCTCCTTACTACAGAGCCAGACTCCCGCCTGCTGCCTCTTCCCGTCAACTGACCGCGCCAATTGGTGTCGCCCACCACAGTCAACCTCAACCGCTCGCGAAGCATCCGGGTCACGATGGCCTCTAAACCAAACGCGACCGTCGCCAGCGAGCGCACGCCGCTCATCAACGGCGAGAGCGCCTCCTCCAACGGCGGCCATCACCACCACCACCACATCATCGGCGGCCACCACTCGACACGATCTGCCGCCTACCAGTTCTTCTTCGATGCGAACCACACGCCTGGAAACGGCAGCGACAAGTTTGTCATCCGCAGCCTCGCCTACACCTGGCATGTCACCAAGGTGACGCTGCTGAGCAGTAAGTTGCGGCGGCATTGGAGCGCAATTGCTGTATACTAACACACCTTGCTCCCTCTAGACTATGTCAACTTCTTGCTCATCATGGTCCCCATTGGCATCATCGCCGGCCGCCTCGGCTGGAGCCCTACCGCCGTCTTCACCATCAACTTCTTTGCCATCATCCCGCTTGCTGCCGTCCTGTCCTTTGCGACCGAGGAGATCTCTCTCAAGCTGGGCGAGACGCTGGGCGGGCTGCTGAATGCTACCTTTGGAAACGCCGTTGAGTTGATTGTGCGTTGCGCAAAGCTCCCATATGTGGCGAGAAATGGCCATTCTTCGAGAACATGACGCTGACTCCTTGCAGGTGAGCATCGTGGCTCTCAGGGACAACCAGATCCAGGTTGTGCAGTCCTCCATGCTCGGTTCCATCCTGTCCAACCTGCTGCTAGTCATGGGAATGTGCTTCCTGTTTGGCGGCCTTCGGCACCGTGGCTCTACAGGTAACGGTACGGAACAGACTTTTTCGGCCGCCGTTGCGCAGACTACGTGCTCTCTCATGGCTCTATCTTCTGCCTCTCTGGTCATCCCCGCTGCGGTATGTTACCATTGACATTCTTGGGTGTGGCGAGCGGTATCTGACAACCATCATAGCTCTATGGCGTTCTCGACCAGAAGGACCCCAGCAACGGCGATAGGGATCGCAGCATCCTGGTTCTGTCCCGCGGAACTGCCATCATTCTCCTCATCTTGTATGCCCTCTACCTCATCTTCCAGCTGCGCACGCACAGCAACCTTTTCGACCCCGAAGACCCGGCCGGTATTGATGGCGAGGAGCCCGAGCAGCCCTCCATGGGTCCAATTGCTGCAACCGTCGTGCTTGTCGTTGTCACAGTCCTGGTCGCCGTCTGTGCCGATTACCTGGTTGGAAGCATCGACGCCCTTGTTGAGACTACAAACATTAGCAAGGCATTCATCGGTCTGATTCTGATCCCCATTGTCGGAAACGCGGCGGAGCACGTCACTGCTGTAGTCGTCGCTCTGCGCAACAAGATGGACCTTGCCATGGGTGTGGCGATTGGCTCCAGCATCCAGATTGCCTTGGGCGTCACTCCCTTCCTCGTGATTGTCGGATGGATCATTGGTCGTGAAATGACGCTTCACTTTGAGACTTGTGCGTATCATGCGTCATCCAAGAATTTTACTGCAAATTGCTAACACTTGTTTTAGTCGAGACTGTCGCTTTCGCCGTGTCCGTTTTGGTCGTCACCTACACCGTCCAGGATGGCAAGTCCAACTATCTCGAGGGCGCCATGCTGCTCGGCCTCTACATCATCATTGCTGTCGCCTTCTTTGCTACGCCAGGTGACTTTTTGGACAAGGCAACGGACCTCGTCACTGGTGGCAACTAAAAGCCGAGCGTCGACCATCATCATACAAGTCGAATACTACCATCCTCGGTTGGGGATGATCACTACCGACCCGAGAAGAATACGGCCGTGACCTGTGCCGCTATACCTAACCACATAACATCTACCACCTCATGGACGAATGGACGATCCATATTCACCAATCACACCACCGAGACGAAAGCTCGAGCCGAACGTATCCTGGCTTGACTCCCCTTTTCTATCTATCCGAGTCCTTGTACAATTATTTTCATGTCTCGCTGCAGACGCGAAGAAGCTATTTGATGATGCCAAGGAGGGAAAACTTTGCTTGCTTGATGTGACGGAACAAAACGTGTGCCCCAAGAGCGGGGAGACAAAACTTTCCTGTGTTCGTGCGGCAAGTCCCGAAGCGAGATTCGGGGAAATTGGGCAAACGGATGGCGTCGAGTCTCTGCATGTTTGATTAAAAAGCTACAAACTTTGCTTTAAAAGATAATGATGACATTTTTCTTGTAAAAAGGAAGAATTCCATCTGCATTTGAGAAAGTAGATTGTCTCCCAACAGTCAAAACTTGACTTCTATAGAGAACCATCCCAAGCATGCCACACCCCTTATATATAGAGGTACAAGGCAAATAATATAACAAAAAGGAAATGAAACCGCACACAGAAAACAAACATTCTGTCCACCATCGTTTGACAAAATCCAAGCAGCAATCTACGCAGTAGGCTTCGACATGGGCTTGATAATGCCCTGCTTGATAATGACCCTCGGCTTCGTGTTCTCCTGGAACGTCTCCTTGGTCATCCATTCCGGTCCGACAGGCAGACGCAAAGCCCGTTCGTACTGCTGTCTCGATTCGAATGGGAAGGGCAGCTGGGAAGCAAGATACCGGTCGTTCTAGATTAGACGCACACACAACGGTTAGCCACGAGCGAGAACAACATGCCATAAGAAACCAGAATCCAGATGAATGGGAAGAAAAATCGAGGGAGAAAAAAAGAAAAGAAGACCAACCTTTTTGACGCGCTTCTCGTTGATTATGACCTTGTCCAACTTGGCATCCTTGCGATCCTTCTTCTTGATGCCCTCAACCTTTGTCAGGAAGCGTCCCTGATGCCTCTTCTTCTCCCGCGCGCTGATGCCCTCGCCCACCCACGAGCCCCACCCGGGCAGCGTGTTGTCAATGATCTTGTCGTCGTCGGCTTCCGCAATCTCGTCCTTTTCGCGCTGGAACTCGGCGACGACGTCTTCGCCTGCAAAGGCGCGCGCCACGAGGGCCTTGTCGCGGATGGCCAGCGGGAGCCTGTTCTCTGAGTCTGCGTCCGAGTCGTCGTCGGATGAGGTATCGCCGTCGTCGTCGTCGTCGTCATTTTGAGGGCGTGAGGTCTTAGGAGTCTTGGGGTGGGAGGAGGAGGATTTTGTCTTTGGTTTAGATGGTTGGGAGGAGGAGGAGGCGGTGAGAATGTTGGCGTTGAGATCGAGGTCGTCGGCTCGTGCCGAAGAAGACTTCTTCCTACGAGAATCGCCCTGCGACCAAGCGCCCGCGATGGAAGACGTCGTCTCAGCAGGCGTCGACCAGGCTTGATTGACCGAGCCGTTCGTAACGTGAGGAGCCCCGTCGCCGTTTGAGAAGCGCACTTCTTCCCGCTCCTTGCGGGCCTCCTTGCTTCGCTTCTCTTTGGCCTCTCGCGCGATGCTGCTGCTGCTGCTGCTGTCCTGCGGCATGGAGAAGGGGTTGGCGGCTCCGTTGCCGTACTGCCTCCGGCCGATTTCGCCTCCCTTTTCCTCTTCGTCGGCAGACACTTGGGCTTCTTCTCCGTCCAGCTCTCTGCGAATCTCCTGGATGAGGTCGTCGTTTGCCTTTTTCCGTGCCGCTTCCGCCTTTTGCATGAATTTCATCTTCATCAGCCTCGACTGGGGCTCGTCGTCGTCCTGCTCCAGCTCGTCCAGCTGTCGCCGTATCTTGGCAACGTCGTCGTCGTCCGAGTCGGATCCCGAGCTGCTGGTCTCGTCCGAATCATCCCCTGCCGCCCTTGAGCTCTTGCCCTCCTTCCTGCGGCGCAGCTCCTCGTCCTTGCGAGCCATCTCCGTCAGGCCGGACCGGAAATCATCGTCCCAAACGGCGCGCTTCGCCTTAGACCCCATCTTGGCCCATTTGCTGTCCTTGTGGCGCTGGCCCACGCGCTCCAGGGCGCGGCGCCGGTCCTGCGCCTCCCTTTCTTCCTCGGAATCAATCTCGCCGGCCTCGGCCATGGCCTCCTTGGTGGCCATCTCGTCGCGCTCCCTCTGCTTCCGGTGCACTCGGTGGTAGGCCTTGCTCTTGATCTTCTTGATGCGCTTTGCGCGCTTCGCCTCTCGGGAATTGATCTCTCGCTCGATGCGCTTCCTTTCCAGCACCTGCTTCCGCGTGAGAAGGTTGCCCTCCTCATCAAACTCCTGCTTCTTGGGCTTCTTCTCCTTTTCCAAGGATAGCCCGCTCTGCTCCATGATGCCCATGATTGTCGACTCCAACTCATTGGCGGCGCTCTTCAATGACAGGGGCTGAAGCTCTGATCGATCAAGACCATATGAGTCTGACTCCTGCGGAAGGGGGAATATCAGGTGTTCGGCTCTGCGGTTCTGCTTGACAGTCTCTGTCCATCGATCAAGCGTCTCGTTCGTCTTCTCGTAGGCAACCGCTCGGTCCAGACGCCCCTGTTCTCTCCGCGACAGCGGCACAGCCAGCTTCTTCGCCGCACCGGGTCGCGTCTCCTTTGATTCCTTCTTCAGGAGCTTGACTGACTGCTTCATGAAGGGGTCATTCAGTCCAGAGAGTCCGAGATCGCCAAGGTCGATCTTCTGCTGGTTGGATGAAGGCTTGCTACTTTCATCATCGTCGTCTGCTTCGCCACCAAAACCGGATATGAGACCTTTAAGCTCTTTCAGTTTCTCGGGATCGGCCTCCTCGTCGCTGTCGTCTTCAACATCGTCGTCGTCATCATCATCAGATCCGCCAGACTCATCGGAATCGTCGTCTTCCTCCGATTCTTCTTCGGATCCTTCTTCGCCCTCTGGCTCTTCTTCGGATTCCTCCTCAAACTGATCCAGAGCTGTGGCCAAATCGATGGCCTCTTCACCAAGGGTCTCTCCTAGATCGTCGTTACTATCGTCCGAGTCGTCCGAGTCGTCATCCTATATTAACCGTTTCATTAGCACTCCTTACCAAACGCCTTAGCCACGAGAAAGCCTCCTCACCTTGCGTTTGCCGGACTTGGAGCCACGGAAGGTGTAGCCCTGAAACATCTCGTTGTCGCTGTCGCCAAACGCATCCTCACTCTCAATCTCGGAGTCATCGTCGTCGTCCGCCAGTCCGCCGAGCTGCCACTCATTTCCTTCGCTGTCGCTGCCAAACTCGACATCGCCATCCGTGGTCGCACCGCGTTTGGGGGCCTTGACCTTCTTTCGCCTAGGGCCCTCCTCTTCGTCCTCTTCATCCTCGTCTTCGTCGTCTCGCGCATGCTTCTTCTCAATCTCGGCGTCCAGCTCTCGTGCTCGAGGCGTCTTCTTCTCCTTTGTGGGAAACCTCTCCTGCGCAATGTTGAAGGCATTCAGCGCATTCGCCTGCGCCCTCGACTTGGACTTTTTGGGGCCGGCTTTGGCCTTGGGCTGGGCCAGAAGCGGCCTTCCATGTGCCTGACGACCCGGCATCTTGACTGAATAGCCTCTCTGTATTCGAATTCGAGAGAGAGTCAATAGTCGCCCGGTTATTTCGCGACTCCAAGCTGTCCAAGTGCCGTTGTCTCCAGCCTAGCTTGCTTCCCTCTCGCTCATTTTTTTTTCTTGTTGGCCCAACTTTTCTGCCGCGTCTAAAAAATTTGGCGGTGAGCGCAGTCCAGCGGGGTCCCCCACCATCCTCCCACCTATCAGCGCCCCTCCAATTCGTCCCGCCTTTCGGTGCTCTGTAAGCTCCGAACCTCCATAGTTAACTAAATGACTTCGAGAGAAGCCGCCGAATTATCGTGCCATCTTTTCAACGCCCGTTTCCCGTCATTGAACCATTGAGCGCTACGGCCGCGCAAAAGATCACACAAAATGTCCTTGTTCGCAGCGGGAATGCGGAGGGCGGCGCTCCAGATGCCCTCCAAGTTCTTCGTCTGCAACCAATGCCTTCGGCAGGCGCCCCGGCGCTCGCCTTCGTCCATCCTCAACATCATACGATCACGAGGGTACGCCGATGCGAAGCCATTGGAGAGCCTCGCCGCCCAGAATGCTTCGGCCCTGGCTTCTCAGGCGCAGGGACAGGCTTCGAAGGCGTTTCCCAAGAAGACCACCTCCAAAGCAGTCGCAGTCTGGCTCTTGGGCAGCGCTGCCAGCTGCTTCGGCATCGTCGTCTTTGGCGGACTAACAAGACTGACTGAATCTGGGTACGTCTCACTCACGATGACCTGGCGCATGAAGGATGAAGACAAGTCACACACAAAGCTCAATCCCACTAACATTGGCTTTCAAAATGTAGACTCAGCATAACGGAATGGAGACCCGTCACCGGCTCTCTTCCTCCCATGTCCGCCGCCGACTGGGAGTCCGAGTTCGAAAAATACCGTGCCTCGCCGGAGTTCAAGCTGCTCAACCCTCACATGACCCTTGACGAGTTCAAGAAGATCTACTTCATGGAGTGGACGCACCGCCTCTGGGGCCGCTTCATCGGCCTCTCCTTCGTCCTCCCCTCGCTCTACTTCGTCGCCCGCCGCAGGGTCTCGCCCCGGATGGCGCTCAACCTGCTCGGCATCTCCAGCCTGATCGGCTTCCAGGGCTTCATCGGCTGGTGGATGGTCAAGTCCGGTCTCAAGGACGACCTCTTCGCCCCCGGCTCCCACCCGCGCGTCTCGCAGTATCGTCTGACCACCCACCTGGCCACCGCCTTCGTCTGCTACTCCTGGATGCTCCTCTCGGGCCTCACGATCCTCCGCACCCGCCGCCTGCTCGCCGACCCCGTCGCCGCCTCCGCCACCATCAAGGCCATCAGGAACCCTGCCCTCAACGCCTTCAGGCGCTCCGTCCTCGGCGTCACCGGCCTCGTCTTCCTGACCGCAATGTCTGGCGGCCTCGTCGCTGGCCTCGACGCCGGCCTCATCTACAACGAATTCCCCAAGATGGGCCTCGGCCTCACCCCGCCCAAGTCCGAGCTCTGGGACAAGTTCTACTCCCGCAAGGAGGACGGCTCCGACCTCTGGTGGCGCAACATGCTCGAGAACCCCAGCCTCGTCCAGCTCGACCACCGCATCCTCGCCGTCACCACCTTCTGCACCATCCTCGCCCTCTTCGCCTACGCCCGCACCGGCCGCGTCGCCGCCGCCCTGCCCCGCGACGCCAAGAAGGGCACCACCGGCCTCGTCCACCTCGTCTCCCTCCAGGCCGCCCTCGGCATCTCCACGCTCATTTACATGGTCCCCATACATCTGGCCGCCACGCACCAGGCAGGCAGTCTTGCCGTTCTCACGGGCGCCTTGGTGCTCGCTCACCGACTTCACGTCCCCAAGTCGACTGTCCGCATGATTGAGCAGAAGCTGAAGCAGATCAAGCCATGAAGCCGGACAGGCCACTGCCCCGCTCATCGGCATGTACCATATTGACGATGTATCACCTGTAGGATGTTGCAACAAACTACAAGAGAGAAGCAAGTCCCAGCACAAGGCCGTATGTAAGAACAAAACTCAACTCCAGAGACATATATAGAGGTCAAGGCGAGGGAGTAGATCCCATACAATGTATATTTCCACCCATCAACGCCGGATCCTTGCTTTGTATTTCTAGTCAAATGTCCATTAGTAGTTTCACATAATTCTACACCTCCTCATGCTTCCTCCCCTTATACTCAGCCATGCCCCATTCTATAAACAGCACGAAAAGCAAAACAACGAAAAGAGGATCAGAGGGAGAACCAACAATGACTCTGCCTAGTCTCCTAAACGCCCTTTTCTCCACCGTTCTATATGTTTCTTTATCCGACCCAATGCTGCGCTTTCTAGAAACCAAACACATTCTGCAGGCGAGCAAAAATGCTGATTGTTCTTTTTCTTTTTGTTGAATGATGAAAACAGTGAGATTGCTGTAGGAAAATTGGAAAATAACAAAGATCTCCTTTGGCAGTGAAGAAGATTGCGCTCGCAATGATGGTCAGTTCCACGGCAGTCAGTATGAGACCATTGGTAAAACAAGAGCAACACAAGCCAGGAGACGTCCCTTTCTGGTGACCGTCCGAAAATACGCCGCCTTTCTGATTCGACATCATTCCAGATACATGTCACCACGAACCCCTTGCATGGCCATGCTGATGTCTGCTCCATGCATGGCACCGGCCTGCATTGCCGCCATGTTCATGTTGGGCATGACACGGTTCATAGCCATAGCCGCTCTGCTTGCGGGACTGACCGCTCCATTTTGCATCATGTAGCGCATGTCTGCCGTGTTGCGTTGCTGAGCCTGTTGTTGTTGTTGTTGTTGTTGTTGTTGTTGAGCCTGCTGCTGCTGGACTTGCTGCTGGACTTGCTGCTGGACCTGCTGTTGAGCCTGCTGCTGAGCCTGCTGCTGAGCTTGCTGCTGAGCTTGCTGTTGAACCTGTTGTTGGACCTGCTGTTGGACTTGCTGTTGAACTTGTTGTTGGACCTGCTGCTGCTGCTGCTGCTGCTGCTGCTGCTGCTGCTGCTGCTGTTGCTGCTGGGCCTGTTGCTGCTGAGCTTGCTGCTGTTGCTGCTGCTGGGCTATGGGAGCGCGAGGTCGAGGGATATCAAGCTGAGCTTGCTGCTGCACGGATGGTTGGGCTGCCTTGGCGGGAGACTGGCCAATCATGGCAAAGCTGTCGTCATCTTCCATCTCGGCATCGGCATCTTGATCGCTTGTCTCCTCGAGGGAGGGCGGGCCCGTGTTGGTCGTGGACGATGCGCTCTGCTCGCTCGTCGGGCCATTGGTGCTTGCGGTGGAGAGCCTTTTATCGAGCTGCGGCGGCGGCGGTTGTGTCAGCTGTGGTGTCTGAGCGGCACTCTGAGGTTCTGACGGACTGTTTTGGTTTCCCGCAGCAGGGGGCTGAGCCACTGTCTGGTCGAGAGGTCGCTGTGCAGACATGCCAGCAGCGGCAGCACGACTCGAGACGATCACGTTCTTCCAACGATCGATCGACTTGGCCACAACGGTGCTCAAGTCCAGGTGCCGGTCCTCAATGTCGAAGCCTACAAGCTTGGCTCCCATAGCACTCTGCTCATAGGCGTACGAAAGTACGTCCCGTTCCAATGGAATGGTGGCGGGAGGCAGCACCTTGTACTCCCTCGGCTGCTGTAGACGGTTGAGCTGGTCAATGTGTGATCGGAGGTTAGTGTTTTCTTGCTTGAGCTTGTGATGCTGCTCCTTCATCTTTTCCATCTCCTTGTGCTTACGGCCCACTCCGCGTGCCAACTCGAGAATCCACAGCTCATTTTGCCGTTGAAGAGGCAAGCTGTTCCAGACGGCATACGCAGACTGCAGGTGCTCATTGACATGCTTTTCAAGTGACTCGGCTACCCTCTCAGCCTTCTTGACGGCTTCTCTCATGTCCCTGTGCGGTCCACCAGTCGGAGGGTATGCCACCTCCTCCATCGCGGCAGTCGTGGCTGAAGCGCATGTGATCTTCCACGCCTTGAACTCTTCCTTGAAAAACGCCTGGAGGGCGACATATTCACGCTCACCAGGTGATTCCACAGACCAAGATGTCGATGTAGGATGCTGAGTGGATGAGAAGAGAGTTGGTGGCGGCAGAAGGCACTGCAGAGTCAGGGCTGGAAAGTCGAGGGAGAGGGGGTCGAAGTCAAAGGGTGTCGTGAAGGCGTCAACCTGTTGCCTAGCAGTGCGGCGTTAGTCCATGTCGTGCACCTGCCGGGAGGAAGAAGACTCACTTTGCCGCTCGCCAAGAGCTAAGCAACTCCCTGAGCGCCAGTTCAGCAGCTCGGGCAGTGTCCATGGCGTCTGTCAGCTTTTGTTTGACGTCAAGTTGAGCCTTCTGAGCCTGCTGCCTGCTACCGTTCCTCGACAAACCAGCACGCTTGGCATCATGAGATGCATTGCTATCCCAGGCAGCCCTACCCTGAATATCATTGATCACGCCAGTGGCCTCCCAGGGAGTAGCGTAAGGGTATTTGATGGCGCCTGAGCCAACAGCGTATGGACCGTCCCTCTGCATGGCAGACTCTTGACCAGGGGTCAATTTGCCAGGCGTCGGTTTGGGAGTGCCCGCGGGCGTCGAGTTGTCCCTTCGAGCACCCATTGAGCTTCGAGGCTGGCGTCGAGTGATGTTGCCGCGCAGCTTACGGATGGCATCAACGTCGTGGATACCATCCGGTGGCTTGGGGTTCTTTTCTTTGATGTAGAGATCAAGGTGTCGGCCGAGGGAAGACGACGTGAAAGCCTGGCCGCAGTACTCGCAGTTCTTGTCCTTTGCAGCCTTGGGCTGGTTGCCCTCGGCATTGGCTGCCGGTGTTTCAGGCATGGCTGCGGTATTCAACGAGGAGAAGTGCAAGGCAGGCGAGAAACAGGCAGGCCGTGGCGGTAATACGCTGAACAGATGATGATTCTTTCTTTGTCTTTATGGTTTTCTTGCTCGATGGAAGCGATCGATCGGTTGGCGAGGGGCACGACGGATCTCGCACTGGTGCTACGAAAGAGCCAGGCGGAGGGTGGTTTAATGGACAACGACTTAGGGCAGCAGCTCCTTTCGTGGAGCAAGAGATGTAATGGTCATAGGGAGCGTGAGCAGCAGACCAGGGGCGATTCGGAAAACGAACGTGGGTAGCGAATGCCCTCAAAGGGGGGGGGGGGACCGTTCACAGACGTCAAAGCTGCTTCTTCAAGCCACAGCAAGCTCTGGATCCAGACAGAACAGGGCCAATGGACAGCCGGACAAGTTCCTCTTCGACAGACAGCCCGGACGCAGCTCGACTCGAATCCCCTCGGGACAAGCTTCGAGAATCAGGAGAAGCCGTGGGAAACCTTTAATTATTTTTTCCTAGGTGGTCGAGTCCGGCTCTCAGGGGTGGACCTCGAACGGGACGCACTCGAGCATCGATGGAGCCATGGGACAAAAGGAACCCCCCCTCCCCACCGGGCCGGGCCCAGGCGCCATAGGCGGCTCATGGCGGGCAGCTCAGGCGCTGGCACTCGCCGTACAGGAGCAGCAGCTGGAGCCCCGAGCCCACCGCTAGGCGCTGTGCGTGTCCGCCAGCCTGACCCCTGCACAAGCCCAGCCGGGCCCCCAGATTAGCGCTCCAGCAGCTGGCCCAGCTGTCAGCGACGCCGAGCGACCGTCCAGTCACGGTGCGGATGGCGGGCAAGAGGCGTGCCGATCGTGACCGCAGTTTGCTGGCGGGAACCAGGGCTTGCAGTGCGTTGTTCAGTTGCGGTGCGTTGTTTCGGTCAGGCGAGGCCCAGCAGGCGCTGCCGCCGAAGCCGGTTGGATGAGGTTGATGATGGTGATGATGAGTTGTGAGAGGGAAGAGAAGGGCTGAGGCGGGCACCTTCGAGTGCTACCTAGGTACCTCAGGCTGGTATGTAAACTTGGAAAATTGGAAGGTACGGATAAATACCGAGTACAGGACGGGTGCTACAGTACCTCTGAGTATCGTGAAGGTTTCGCCAGGTACTAACCTACCTATCGCATCTTTTCTGAGAGGTGCGTGTGCAAAGTTGGGTCGAGGCAAGAGCAGTTCAGGGTTGCCGCACCTTCAGAAGGTACTGCCTAGTAGTAGGTAGGTAGTAAGGTACTGGACTACTACCTTAGTATTCGTGGCGTGCTCAATGCCGCTTACACGCATGATACCTAGCACAGCAGCAGCACGACCAGCGTCTTCGTGCAACGACCAGACATGCAGCCACCACGGAGCTGTTCTGCCGTTATTGTCTTTGTGGACTACCTACCTACCTAGGTACCTAGCCAAGGTAGTCCGAGCATCACAAGATACTCGGCCTCGCAGTCCCGCGAGGTACCGTTCCGTACCTCCTGTACATGTGCTCCCACCTCCTGGAGGATGGTTCAGAGGCGGCAGCGTCGGTATCATGCAGGAGCAAAGGAGGGTCTGTACATACTCGTTCCAGGAACTCCAGCTACCATTTGGTGCCGCTGAGGTACCTACTACTACATACTACCTAGGTATCGGATTAGCTGTTCCACGGGGCGCTGCTGGAGGAAGGAGTCTCGCACGAGTTTGTCATGACATGACTGCCATCTTCGAAGCAGCCCTCCATACGATACCTAAGGTACCTTACCTATATAAGGTACGAAAGAATTCAGGTATCTTATCCACCAGCATTTCTTCCGGCTTCGTCTGTATGCTCGTGTAGAGTACCGTTACCCATACAGCAGGGGACGTGCTCGGGCTTCTTACTTTGTACACGTAGAGGGCATCGGACGGAGTAACTCCCATCATGACCCTCACTCAGCACAATGGAGACGCAGAGCGGCCGTGGGTGCTCGATCGGACTCGCAAGGGTACCAAGTACGCACCTTGTCGACTCCCAGTCGCCCTGTCCGGGGCCTCGTGCAGAAATGCCCGGATCAGTTAGTACCAGCAGGCTTCCCTCTTCCCTCCACAGACAGCAGACACGGGGTACAAGGTGCGGCATCAGCTCTCGACGGCTGCAGCAGCTGAAAAGTCACTCTCTAGACGTTCACCACACGAGTCGAATCATACCGGACGACAAGCCATCGGGCAGCCAGGCAGAGCTGGCAGAGCTGGGGCGAGTCCAGACAGGCTCGGGATGTGGCTCGATAGGCTCGATCAAGACTCACCAGCAAGGGTGCCCGCCATCGGGGCCGTCTCAGGAGTAACGTGGACGGATCCTACGAGGTACCTACCTGCAGTCCAAAGGCTGTGCCCATCTGGTCCAGAGTCGAGGGCCACGCCAGGTGTTTTCTCGTGGCGTTCTTGAATCCAATCGCTTCATTCTTGCAGGCGAACTGCACGCGATCCCACCTCTCCTGCGCTCGTACCAGCCACCCTACATGTGTCTACCTCGCATCGGTCGACATGGGAATGCCGCCAACCAACGGAGTGGGCATCAGAGGATCAAAGGCTTGTATGCCTAGCGGGCTCTGCACTTGTGACAGGGTCTTTGTGATTCAGGCAATTTGCAAAAAAAGCCACCGAGAGAGCCAGTTGGCTGGTTGGCATGAAGTACTCGGGCCATGAAGACGAGTCCGCGTGGTGTGCGGACATCCATGGACGATCAAGACGATGCTGGTGAGGTGTTAGCTGATGCCAGGGTTTGCAACTCAAACCTCCTCCTCGCTCGACAGCTGAATTCACGAGCCATGGCACTAACACGCTTCCAAACATAGGCCAGATGAGAAAAAGATCCGAGGCTTCAGGGGTGGTCGATTCGGGAGATCACCCAGGCTGTCCAGGGGTCGACGCTGTAGTCAAAGTTTGCCGCAAAAACGAAACTACTACTACTACCCTCGTTGGACCAAGCTAAACGGCAGCCGCTTACTCCCTAGCTACGAGTATGACGGAAAATGGGACGAGCCTCCGGAAGTGCCTGATGAATGCCAGCAAGCTGGCAAGCTGGCAGCCGAGGAGCAACACGCACACATGTCATCACGTCGAGCATTCACCCCTTGTCCAGCCCGGGAGCTGTGCCATCACTCCCGCGCCGCCATTCATTCGACCGGTCGTCAACGGTCCAACTGCGTGTCTGGCCTGGTTTTACTGCATGGACATGCTTGTACGAAGCGGTACTACTCGTCATTTGTACAACGATGGAGCCCCCTTGTCACAATCCCAACTCATACTCTGGATCATCTCTTCTGCAGCTGCAAAATGATAGGACTCTATGGTGTTTGCGGCCCCGTGCCGTGTATGGGGAGGAGCGGGAAACTGCCCAAAACCTGATTCCAATGCAAGCCACTGAGGGGGAATATTTGCAAGGCAAACGCCGGACGCGCTCGATGAGGACAGCATACCTGTATGGCTGAGAGCATCCGTCAACGATTAGCTCATTCCTTTCTTTTACCTACAGCAACTGCCTACCGAGGCAGTGGGCAACAGCTTGGCGTGTGAACCGGTCGACCAAGCCCCTTGGTGCGATTAGCGCAGAGACAGTGGAGATGCCATCAACATGGGTTCAAACAATCTGCACAGGCGCTGGTCCGTACCGCTGCAGCTGAGTAACAACCATTAAATGATACATCACAGGACAGTGTCCACGTACAAGTCTGTATGCAGCAGTCCCAAGATAGAATACCTTGGCATAACCGAAAACTGATGGCTGCTCAGACTCCTTAGCAAATAGCCGCAGAGGAAATTTCAAGTGGGAGACTTCATCTACGTAATGCCCTCTGCCGGTTTCTCGGCTACGAGTACATGGAGAGCTCCGGTGATTCAACAAGCAGCACGGAGGGCCTCTCCGCAGCCCACACGTTGGTGGGGGTAGCAGCAAAGACTGTCCTTCCCCTGAACCACCGGAATAAAGCAAGACGTTGCCGGCAAGGCTTCCGTGAGCCGGTCGCGGGCTTGTCTTGGAATGTCTTTTGTTTTTCGCAGATGCTTTGGCTCCCTTCCTGGCCGCTCCTCCATCTCACAATCGCTGCGGCTGGGGCGATTCAGCCGAGCAATTGCAGTGCCTGATTGTGAGCGTCATCAGAGCTTATTGGCGTGAACGAAAGAGTCGCCAATGGGGTGGCTCTATTGTCTTTTCCTTGCTTCGGGAACGACGATAGCCGACCAGGTACGTAATAAGCAGCAGCTGAATGGACAAAGCATGGGGGGCTGTTGTCGAACAACATGTGGTACATGACCGACAAGGAGTGTCACCTCGCAATTCACTGCAAACCCAACATGAATGAAGTTCGGCCGGCGGATGTTCCGACTCGACAGCCTCAGGCAGAACCATTGGCAGTGCCAACAGCCGCATATCGACCTTGCCGAGACGACTTCTGAGTCGTTGACCGGCACCGGGGTACCATGAGCTTTGGCACGCTGCCACTGGAAACTGTTCACTCCAGCACCCCATCTCTCTTGCAAATGGCATATCGATACACCCATAGCTGGGTTGATCTACTTTGGCACTCGATGGGACAGGAACAAAGCCACAAGTCCCGGAATACCACCTCACAGCGCTGGCTGCCACACGAGGCATTAAGGTAACCAGAGTTACCAGGCTAATTTTCACGCCTGTATTCCGTACATCGTGCGCTTGACTGGGTTCCCTCCACGGGAGACGCTTGCAATGCTACCCTCTGAGCGAATCGCTTCCGCTGTTTCAGAGCAAGGACCCCAAGGCAGCATCGTTGCACACTTGAGATTCCGGCAAAGATGCATGGAAGTCTCTGCGATCTTGACCCCTGGCTAGGCTAGGTCCCTTGTTGCCGGTTGCGTGCATTGTCTGGGCTTCTAGCGGGCAGCAGGAAACGCCAGCCGGCCTTCTCGAATCGGCAACGTTTCGCATCTTGCCGCGCTGGTTTCTCTCTTTGTTTCATTTTCGGATCACCGGGCCGTTGGCACTTTTGAAGCTGCCAACCAGGGGCTCATTGTGCTTTTGAGTTGCATCGGTTTGCCCTTGGCGCCTGCTGGCTCAAATAGCTTTGTGTCTTTCGGCCTTTTTGTCCTCGGACCCTTCTGCTAGTCTCTCTCAAGAGGATTTAGCATGTTGTTTGAATGGCTTGCATCACCGGCCGTGTTTGCAAAAAGCCTTGGATACTACAGCTGGTCTGCTTCGGAGATTGCACTTGCGGCCCATTGCTACTACAGAACGGTAGGTGGGTAGGGAACAGCATGTGATGCCGTCGAGAGCCGGCCAAATAAGCTTGATATTACGTACGGACTACGGAGAATGAACCTGGCAGGGCGGGAAGATGCCATGTATGGATTCACTTGGCGTCGCAAATGCTTCCTAAACTGTATAACCAACAGTCTCCGAGCTCAAGGCTACATACGGCCAAACCCACGAGCAAACAAGCAAACGAAGGAGGTAGAAGACCGTTTGACGGGACCATGGCAGCAAGCGCGGATCAGCGGAATACGACGTCCTACCAGCTGCCTTCCATCACAGGGTTTGGCCGCAAAAGTGCTCGCCCAGCGCCAACGGCCCTCTGGCGGCTCTTTATGCAGGCCAGGCTGGATGCAGCCGTTGAGATGGGGGGCGTGGCGTGAGCCTTGCTGTTTCCCCGAGCCCGTTCAGACGCCGCGACGGTCGGCGTAATTGCAGATTGCAAAGGCAGGACATCGCGCTTTCATGTCTGGTTCGTTTCAGCATCCCGAACGCAAGCGGTATAGCCTGTTTCGACGTGCTGCCGAGACTGATGGCCATCTGGCTGCCTTTCGCTCTTTGTCCCCTAGACATCAAAGGACGGGGTGAGTGTGAAGAAAGAAGGGGCTTGTAGGGTTGGGTCGACCCGAGCTGGTTTTCCCACACAGCAAGCCGAAGGACAGACAATGCAGCCATTGAGGGGAAAGGGGATGCTCTCATCAACAAGCTCATCCCCTGAGAGAGGTATGTATGGATACACGCTCATGGGTATCGCTGTGAAGCACACAGTCAGTGATTGTATTAAAGGCCCTGCTACACATGATGCGCGTCCAAGCTGCGCCAAACATGAGAAGAGTGACAAAGGCTTTGGCAATTGATGTCAATCAGCGAGCTTGAGCGCAAATTCAAGGCAAAAGCAATGAAAACAGCTACACCGTCTGCGTGCTTTCTGGTCAGAGCAGCATCTCGTGGTGTTTGTCGATAGCACAGACCTGAAGCGAGCAGACAAAGAGATGAGATGCTTGCCTTGTGAGGCGAGAGGTTTAAGCAAGAAGGCGGTGGAAGCAGGCAGCCAAACGTCCAGCTTGGTATAAAGTCCTCGGTATCAAGTTGAAATGGTGCCTCATCATCTCACCGTCAACCACTGAACGGCCGCATTGTTTCCTCCGCTTCATCGATCCCGATATAGGTACTAATAGTCCAGCCCAATCATCGAGAGCCAGAATCACCGCTTTGGCAAGTCAAGGAAGACAAGAGTGGAGAGCTGCCAGCTGTCTCAGATCGATAAGCAGCGATAAGCCCCATCCCCAGGAAAAAGTCGGCTCACGTGACCCAGCGTCACTCGGCAACACCAAAGAGCTTCCGCCTGTCGCGTTTGCTTATGCCCGGACAAAGCGTCAAGCGTGCGACCAGGTTGCGCCGCCGGGACCTGCGAACCAGCTCAGCAATCGCCAGCCGACCCAAGAAGACCGCGACAATGCCTCCAGGTACGTGCCCTGACTGGCTGCACTCGGGCCAATCCCCGTCCATTCCATGCCCCCCCTGGCCGGCGTGATTCGCGCCAGTTCCGCCAGCAAAATTGCAAGAGGGAGAGCGAGAGCATCCGCCCTCCTCCTCGAAAAGTGTTGCCGGCGGAGCCAGCTGAAGCTGAGGACCACGACTTGGATCCGATGATTGCTTCTGCTGCTCGAACTGGCGCGTCATGGCACCCACGGGACGGAGAGGAAGAGCGATTGCTAAGAATGACGCAGCACTCAGCGATGAAGAGGCCTCGGACTTTGAGAGCGCGCCGCCCGTCAAGCCGTCGCGCAACTCGGCGTCCAGGTCCGTGAGCGATGCGGACGACGCGTCGACGAAGCCCCGAAGGAACGGACGGGCCGCCGCAAAGAAGGATCTGAAGGAGGTGGACGACGATGTCGACATTGACGATGACGTTGACGTCAAGGATGCGGACGAGGAAGACGAGGAAGACGAAGAGGGTCTCGAAGATGACGTGTATGGCGAGCCGCCCAGATGTTGCGTGGCATGAAGTCAGAATCTGACGGCTGTTTGCAGGTTCATTGTCGAGGCGATCAAGAAGCACATGATTGACGAAGATGTATGGACAGATGACGCCTCTTTTACTGGTTTGACAATGGCTAATGTGCGCGCAGGGAACGCTGAAATTCCACGTCAAGTGGGAAGGCTACGACAAGAAGTCGGACATGACATGGGAACCCGAGGAGAACCTCGTGTATGTGCAACACCGGTCACTGCTCAACAAAAAAAAAAAGAAGAGAAAAAATACCGGGGCGACTGACTTTTGATGCGCTACAGGGAGTCTGCGGGCGAGATCCTCAGCGCCTACCTCGAATCCATCGGCGGGCGAGAAAAGATCTTTGAGGAGACGCAGGAGGCTTCGAGGGGCAAGAAGCGCGGCCGCACGACGAGCGCAACGCCGGGCGCGACGAAGCGGTCGAGGAGGAACGGAACGCACCCTGCCGACTCGGCACCCCCGGCGACGGCGGACAAATGGAGCCCCCCCGCGGGATCGTGGGAGGACGAGATCCAGACGATTGACGCGTGCGAGGACGAGGGCAGCGGCCGGCTCGTAGTTTACCTTGTGTGGAAGAATGGCCGTAAGACGAAGCATGACACGAAGGTCATTTACAAGAAGTGCCCGCAAAAGGTAAGGCGTCATGGATTTGGCCGTGGACTGTGTAGCTGACTTTTATCGCAGATGCTGCAATTCTACGAGCGCCACGTCAAGATCATCAGGGAGGAGAACAAGGCCTTGACTGAGTAAAGAACGACCTCTGAGACGGTGAAGCACTCTTCCCCATTGACTCTACCGCGTCACTGAAAAAAACAAAGAAAAAAACACTGCTGCTGGGATCAGACACGGCACGGAGGAGTGGATTCGTGATTTCTGCGACTGCTTCATGTCCTATGGTCTCAAGACTGGCGTATATGGATCGCATCAAGCCTCGATTGTTTTCTTGGATTTCTTGATATAATTTTTTTTCTGCCCTTATTTCTTATCTTCCTCTACTACTCTTTTAGTTTCTCCTGCGAGGAGCTCCGAATCTCTGACGGGAGCAGTGGGTTGTCCGGTCGTGTTGTGCTTGGGCTTGGGATGTATCTGATGGGAAAGGACGGGCAGCAGTGTGTGTATCAACAGCTACGAAGTACGAAATCAGTATTGTTCAGAGTGGCCTGTGTGTTGTGTGTGAAGCAGCCCAGCTGTATCAGATTGCTTGTACGAACAATGTCCCTCTGTCTGATCTTTACCTACCTTACCTATGTGTCAAACAAACCGAGCATATCATTACTGAACTGTGAGCCCACCAGACAACCTACGCATCTCAGCTGCTCTTCTCTTCATGAAAATGGCGAGGCTGGGGAATCCATCCATCTAAAGCCGGCCCCGCTGAACAGCAAAGCCAGAAAGCCTGTGAATCCCTGCAACAAACGCGGCGCAGCTGCAGGGGGGGAGAGAGAGACAGAGAGAGCACTGAGGAGGAGGTTCCGTTCCGTACTTGTGTGTTGTGTGTAAGCCACATGAGCTGCCTAGTGCAGGAACAAGCATTGAGTGATTCGGATGGGCGTGTCTGGTGCTAAAATAGCTAGGTGAGAGCCGATTGTCCCCCCAGCCTTGCCATTTTTTTTTCTAATTCAGTGAGAAGCGATCGTGTTGGAGAGAGAAGAGAGAGCAAAAAGCGGGTGGCGGGGCAACGGCGTATACTATAGATATAGACCAGGGTGTGTGTTGCCTTTTCCTGTCGGCGCCTATTTTGTTGTGCTTTCTCTCTGGTAATCATTAAAGGCGTTGCGACGACTCAACGAATACGACGACTTGAATATATTTCACGGGGTTCGAATTTCATTGCGATATCTGTTTTAAGACTGGCTGGGATTCATTGAGCGCTTTTCTGTCTATCTGGACTGATTGAGGCGAGCGGTGCTTCTTTTGGCGCATTTGTTTTTACTGCGGTGACGAGATTTGTTTACTTTTTTATTTGGGTATGTCTTGATTTGATTGCGCTTCAGCCGCGGTCGCTTTTCCGGTGTGATTGCGCTGGAGTAGAGACAACGAGGAGAGGAGCTGAGTGGAATCTGACCTTGCTAATCGCGTCGCACAGTCAAAATCACGCGATATTCCTCGACATCAATCGCTTCGAAACGGCACAGAGTACATGACAACGAAGAGAACAACAAGCACGCTCCAACACAAACTCCGAGCCTCTGTCTCTCTCACCGACACTCCTCCTCCCTCCTCCTCACCATATCCCGCACCCAAGGACCAAGAAACACACCAAAAGCAGGCATACAGCACACATAACTGCCCACCATGACGCAGCGCAACCACGTCATCGCCATCATCATCATTGTCCTCTTCGTCGTCCTCGCGGCCATTTCGTTTGGCATCTACAAGCTCGTCCACGGGGCGCGGCGCGAGCTGACGGTCACGTCGGCGTCGAGTAGCAGCAACTCGCACAGCCTGGCAGATTAGCAGCAGCAGCCAAATAAAAGACGGAGAGAGAGAAGAAGACGAAGAGGAAGAAGACGAAGAAGACACAAGAGAGAGCTTTCTTCTCAATCATGGCATTGGTTTCTTTGGTTGTCATTGAGAAGAGAGATTTTCTCCGTCATGGGGACCATATTTGTCTGCTTTCGTTTCTCTGTTTGTTATGAGGCGTTATGTTTGGTTTCATTTGTGCTTGGATGACTTGTTCATGATGTTGGATTTTATGGCCATGAGCTGGTTTTACGAGAAATTCTTCTTCGGAGCCTGTTTGGGGAGCACCTCATGCATTGGAGATGTTTTTCCTCTTCTTGGATATTGTGTACGCGGTGTATATGCGCTTGATGAGAATGAATGGGATGGTACCTAGGTATGGAACGAATGGGCGAGGATGAGACGTACATTGGCGGGATGATCAGGGGCGATGAGGACGTGTGAGAGCATCCCATCTGCGGCTTATAAAGGATCTCGATATGGAACATGATGAAAGATGACAATTCACATACATCGTCACACAATCTATGTTTTCTCGACATACAACGAGATCAAGCTGTGATGTGCAATTCTTTTGTACTCACGTGTTGTAAGTCCACAAGCATCTCACCCCCCTTATACGTGATTCAGACACTCCCCAGTTTCTCTCTCCTTCTCTGATAAACAACGAACTACACTTGCTCTGGTCTGACAGACTCCCGCAAAAACTCTGAATCACTGTCCTGTCAAGCAGCATAAGAAGGCATTCCGCCGACGCCACGCCCTCTCCTGCTGCTCTCCTCTCCCAGCTTCCTCCCGCTCGACACCTTTGCCAATACCTGCTCTCCTCAACCTTACAACTCACTTACACGAGCTTGAAAACCCGGATGTAAGCTCGACTTTTGCGTTTCTGTTCAACATCACGCAAGACCAATCTACGTCAACATGACTACGCCGCCATCCGGATCATCATCAGGTTCCTCGTCCTACACATCCGACGCAACCCTTAACGAAGTCCCCGAAGAATATCTCATAACATCAACTTCCTCCCTCCCTCCCCTCTCAACCAAAGCCTTTCCCTTCGCTTCTCAACGCCCATCATCCAGCATGCCGACAATCAAACCGCCCAACTTGTCCTGGATTCCGCAGCAGCAGCAGCAACACTTTCCCCCTCAACCTACTCCTCCTCCTCCTCCAACAACAACAACAACCACCACCACCAAAGCCACACCCTCAGGTCCGTCCTCCTCCACCAAGCCCAGCCAAGCATCCTCATCAACAGCACACCTCCTCCACGAGCAGCGCCTCTCAACATGCCTCAACATCCTCCGCCACGTCCGACGAACCCTCCACCAGCGCCACGACGAAGCAACCACCCACCTCTCGCAGCTCTCCGCCCTCATCGCCCAATCCACATGGGACCTCTTCCACCAGAGCCCCCTCGACTTTATGTGCCACGAGATGGACATGCTCACCGACGACGCCACCACAACCGCAATCCTGACGGACAAGTCCCCCGTGGGCATCGGCAGCAGCAACAACAACAGTAGTAGTAACCATCTTTCCACTTCGCAGCAGGACAGCGACGACTGGATGAGGAAACTCGACAAGTTGCGCGACATGAGAGACGACGAGGACGAGATCAGACAGAGGGTCGGCAAGATATCGCGGCAGATGGAGACGGCGAATGCCATGATGCGCGTGGGCATGGCGGAGCAGAGCGCCGTGCTGGCGAGGAGCGATGATGCCCTGGTGAGGAAGGGGTGTCATCAGCAGTATCGGTATCGGTATGAGAGTGCTTTCGGTCAGCTGCCGACGATGCGTGTGCCTGTAGCCCTGGCTTCGTCTTTTCGAAACGCAGACGTGAAGATGACGGTCGGTGCGAGCACCAAGAAGAAGGCGGCGGCGATGGCTCCGGTTGTGAAGAGTAGCTTCTTCAATTGGCCTGTGCCGGCGACTTCGTCAAAGGGGAAGCAAGTGGCTGTTGAGCCGGAGGAGGAAGAGAGCAGCGGTACCAGCAGCGGATTGGATTCCCCGAGGGAGTGCCAGGGGGAGTGCTGTCGCCATCTGACTTCTTGAGAGTGGTGGTTGGATTGACTCTGGATATTGGCTGTTGTTTGGAATAGGGGGGAAGGGGGGCCGAGCTGGAAATGGGGGGTCATCAAGCTGAGCTCGAAATCGAGCAAGAAGAAACTTGCCTCATAGTCGTCAGTTGTCCGTATATTATAATAGAGTCTAAACATCCGGGAACAAGCCATATATCCCCCCCCCCCCCCCCCCCCCAAAGTAAACCACCCTCACCAACTCATCAACCCCTTTCGCCTATCAAACCCTCCCCTCAACTGCCTCTCGGGCTTCACAACCTTGCCCTTCAAAACCGTATACCGCACCAGATTCTCACAGTCTTCCGGCCTCACCCTCGCCAGCCAAATGCACTGCGCAGCACCCACATCTCCCTTCTCCTTGACCTCTCCCTCCGCCTTCTTCTTCTTCTCGCCACCATTGTCGCCGTCGTCGTCGTCTTCCCCCTTGGCCGCAACAGCCTCGTCCACGCCCTCGGGCAACGGCTCGTCGTCCTTGCCAAACGCATTCGGCCTCCGATACACCATGACGTTCGCCGAATACTTGTGCCCGCCCACATGGCTGATGAAGTAGATTCCCACGCCGCCGGGCCTCTCGTCATGCAAGTCCCGATACAGGCCCAGCGGCCGCAGATGCCGCTCCAGCTCCTTGCGCAGCAGCGGCGCGCTCTGGCCGCAGCGCGCGTCGCGCGTCCGCTGGCTGCACATGAGGATCACGGCGCTGTGCGGGCACGACTCGAGCGTCAGGGGCGGCAGCGACGAGGAGGAGGAGGAGGAGGCGTCTGGCGGGCTGGGAATGGTGGAGGGGATGAGGGACTGCCAGGGGGTCAGCGGGGACGAGGTTGTGGGCGCGCGGTTGACGACGTCGGCGATGAGCTGGGGGACGTTGCGCGGGTGGACGTTGTGCACGAGGGCAAAGGCCGGGAGGAGCAGGACGGTGGTGGGCTCTGAGTAGTCGGTGGTGTCGTGAGGCGTCGGGAGGTTGGACGCCGACAGCATGAGTCTCTGTGTGTGTGTGTAAAAGCGTCAGCAATCTCATCTCATATCATCTCATCTCGTCTATATCATGTCATATCATATCATATCATTCGCCATATCTCATCTCTCATCTCATCTCATCCATCTTCTCATCTCACTCCTAATCTGGACACAGAGTCAACTCACCCCATTCGTAACCCCCCCAGCCTTGTCAATCGCCTCCATCACGCTCCCCTTCTCGTCCGCCACGTCCCGCACCCAGTCCGCCTTGCCCGTCCCGACGAGCACATGCGTGCTCCACCCCTTGACGTGCCCGTACAGCACGTCGTCCTCGTCCACCTTGAAGCCCCGCGGGTACTTGACCGAGCAGCTCTCGCAGTCGCGCAGGCACTCGTCGCCGTCGGCCTCGGGCCGCGTCCGGGCGAAGAGCGCCTCCATCGGCGCCGGCCCCGTGCCCGATGCCGGGCCCGTGATGATGGAGCTGGCCAGGCCGCCGCCGCCGGGCACCGCGCCGAGGACGGAGCTGACGAGGGATTTCAGCGACACGGCCATCTTCTGCTTGACGGGCATGCGGGATGCGCTGCTGCTGCCGTTTGTGTTGTTGGTCGTGGACATTGTGAGAAGAGAAAGAGAAAGGAGAGAGAGAGTGAAAGCGCCGAGGAAGAAGACCAAAGTGGATAATTAGAAACCCTGATTTTTTTTCGCCGCTGATGTATTTTCTCTTATTAGTGACTTCTTGCCTCGCAACCAGTATAAACGCAAAAGCAAAGTAAAGAAATCAAATCTTGAACAAGTAAAATGATGGGAATATATATATCAAGTGTCTAAAAGCCCAGGGATATGCCAACCATTTAATCCCTTTCTTGCTCCTCGAGCTCGGATTTAACAAACGACCTACAGCCTCCCCCCCCCTGGCACAAACACCAATCCATCCCACCTCCGACTTCCTTATCAGATCCGGCGTCTCGCCCCTCGGATCGATCCAAACGCCCATCGGAAACAAGGCCCGCTAACTCTTACTAGACACATACCTGTACAGTACACGTATTTACGAACCTAGCCAGTCCAACCACCTTTCCACTTGGTAATATTCACATGTACTACCTTATATAGTGCTCTCCAGCTCCCGGCTTGCCTTGCCGGTACTGCGGAGAATGGACATGGCCTCGCCCCCCAAACGGGGAATTCCAGTCATCAAGGTGCAATCAGCTGCCACGCAATAGGTACCTAATAAACCATCAACTAACTATTCCAGAAATCCTTCCCCCTTCATTTGCGCTCGTCATTGTCATCTCATATTCCAAATGCTTTGTCCAATCAGACACCCAATGGCCAATGAGATACACGCCATTGTTTCGATTTATTCGTAATCCTACCTACTCCTTCTCAAAAAGTAACAAAACTCCCCCCACCGGCTTTTCGCCGACATCTCCGAGCTCGACAACCCAATTCGCCGACCGACATCCTCCTTCCTACCTGACCTTTTGTTCAATTTACCATACTTCCATTATCGCAACAGAAATTAAGCACATTCTAGCCTCGACATGATGGTGATTAAGGGAAGGGTACGCAAATTTGTCGTATATAGCCTGTTGTGCAGATACGTCATGGTAGCAATTGCTCTTACACTTGCTCGAGAAACACAAATCTACCCCATTATCGGCAACATACACCCTACCCTATATGCATTTCGAAGCCAAACCTTCATGGAATATTTCTAAATCTCAAATCCTCACAATCATAGAAGAAGATCCTCATCTTTACTGGTCATGCTCGCTGTTCCATGTTCGTGTATTAAGACTCCACGAGATGCCTATATGCGCGCGAATCACCTAACAGACCGACCCAAACCTCCAGGTAAAGCAGAAGCGAAGATGCATTGCAGCGCACATCACCCGCACCGCGTATCGCACTCATTAAGCGGGCTATTATTTTCCCCTTCACCCTTCCCTAGTCTTTCTCCCATCTTCAGATATTCTTCTTCCTCGCCTCGTTATAGCCATCCTCATCGCTATCAGACTCGTCCTCATGCGCACCCGCCTCCATCTTGACCTTGTCAGACTTCTTCCGCCTGTCCTTCATCGCCTCTCGAATCTTGCGGCTAGCCTCGTTGAATCCCTCCTTGGAATCCAGCGTCGTAAAGCCGCTGATGTGGAACCCGCTGGAGCCAAAGCCACCGCCCGAGCTGTTGGAGCGGCTCCGCGATCGCGACGGCGGCCGCGTTGAGAAGATGCCGACCCTGCCAATGTTACTGAACGAGTCGTTGCGGGGCAGCAGGCGGCTGGACTGCGTCGTGCTGCGCCGTGACAGCGGCGGCGGCGACTCCGCATCGGCGCCCGCGCTGGACTGGTCGCTGTCTCGCCGGGCGCGCGCCTCTGTTGATGACGCCGCCTGGGTGCCTCCCGTCTCAACCTTGGAGACGTCGGGCACCAGCCGCGTCTTCTCAAAGTCGGGGAACATCTCCGGCCCGAGCGTGTTAATCAGATCCGTCACCTGGGCGCTGAGCTCAGCCCGCCTCTGCTTCAGCTTGTGAATGTTGAAATCGGAGGCCGGAACCAGGCAGAGCACCAGCGGCCGCAGCGACTTGAAAATGTCCATGCCGACCTCGCCGAACCGCAGCGCCGCAATGGATATGACCATCCACGCCACCCATGTCGCAAAGTACACCAGGATCAGGGGCATCCATTCCGGCAAGTAGCCCCAGAGACGGTCGTACCATGCCCTCCACACGACGATGATCGAGTAGAAGTGGTACAGCGTTGGCGCCAGTCCGCAGGCGACGAGAATCTTCCACGTGGCCATGACATCGCGCCCGCGGATCTTGACAGTCGAGCTCGCCAGCGCCGCCTTGGCCTTTTGCCTGCTGATGATTTTCGTGGCCACGAAGACGGGCGAGAACAGGAGGAGCCCGGGAACCGTGCAGAGGAAGAGGATCAGCAGCTTGATGGAGCGGTAGATGAAGAGCACAATGACCTTCCAGATGGACATGGTGGCGTACTGCACCTGGTGGTCCCTGAGGTTGAGATAGCGCAGCTGCGAGTTGTACTCCTTGACACTCTTGGACAGGCTGGTTATCCTCTCGTCGTTCTTGTAGCGCTCGTAGCCCAGGGCCAGGCGGCGGTTCAGCTCCACCACCACCGGCAGCGGCAGCTTCTTGCCCGTGGGGTTGTAGAGCCGCCGCGCCGCCTGGATCATCATCAGGGTGTCGTAGTCCGGAGCTGAAACGGTGACGGAGCTGAGGGCTTGGTAGACGGTGTCGAGGACCTGGCCGATGGCCTCTCGGCGCTGGTTGTTGCGGTACATGTCCACCAGGTGGCGCGGGATCTCAAACGGCGCGCCAAACTCGATGACGGCGCGGGACCGGAACTTGTGCGGGTGGAAGTAGTTCATGCCCACGGGCACAATCTTGAGACCGCAGTCGGGCGCCTCGGCCAGCGCTCCCAGCGCCATGATGGCCACGCCGGCCTTCAAGGGGAGCAGCTCGGAGCGATCGTGGCTGCCGCCTTCGGGGAAAATGCCGACACAGCCGCCGTTCCTCAGGCGCGCAAAGACGGCCTCGTACACCTTGGTCTGGTCGGTATGGGGCGCGAGCTTGAACTTGGTCCCTTGGTATCCCGGTGCCGGGCCGTTGATGGACTTGTTGGTGAAGCGGCCCTCCTCGTCAATGTCGTCGCGCCCTGTGAGCTGCTGAAGCGCCAGCTGCGTCTTGAACGGCCGCTTGATGCGGATTTCCTCGGGACTCAGGACCTGGTCAATGTGGACGCTCTCGCCCGACGTCTTCTTGCCCGGCGGCAGAAACAGCATGCCTTGCGGCTCGCCCTCGCCCTGGCCAAACTTGGTACCCACGCCGCGGATCAGTGTCGGGTCGTTGATTGGATCTGGGAGGTAAATGAGGCCCTGTGCGGGCTTCGCGGCGTCCTGTGCTCGGCCGACGGGGACGGAGCCGACCTGGCGGGATCCCCAGCCGATGAAGCCGTGGACAGACTTTTGCGCAATCAGGAGGGATACTCGGCGGTTGGCGTCGAGACGCAGCGTGCGCTGGAGGAGGATGGCGTCCACAAACTATTCATGACAAGCCATGTAAGTAGATAAGCTTGACTTTTTGCGATGTGCCCTCCGCTCGGCGCAAAGCAAGGCATCGCACAAATGAACCTCATACCTGGTTCGCATGCGGCGCAGCGACAAAGAGCACCGGTCCGGTCTGAGGAACCCTCCACGAGCCGCGCGGCACGACTTCTCGGAAGAAGAGGTTGACGAGGTTGCCCATGAAGTAGAGGAACAGGTCGTATTTCCAGTTGACCATGGGATAGAGCTCCTTTGCGACCTGCTGGTGATGATGTCGGGTGTCCTGATTCTGCTGCGACAGCTGTTTCTGCTGGTTCTCCTGGTTCTGCTGGGACTCGTCCGGCGACACCTCCTTGGGCTCGGCTTCCGCCGCCCTGTCTGCAGCTTCCTGCGAAGCCATGGCTGCAGCGCCTTGGGTATTTCCAGCTCGCAGCTGTTGCTCTCTAGGTAGTCGGGCTTATCGGTTCGTCTCGTATAGCTGCCGGCGTTGCTGCGCCCAATCCCGGAGTTTTCCTGGTCACGAATGCGCGAATAAAGATGCTCGGCGCCGTGGTCGGAGCGCTGAATGGAATGATGAAAGAACCCAGAATAGATCTGCGTGTCGAGCTTCAGAGGAGAAAAAAAAAAAAAAAAGAGGCACACGAGGTGGATGACGAGAGAGAGAGAGAGAGAGAGGAAAAAAGTGGACAAGAACAGATCACCCGCAGCTCGAAGCTTTTTAGACCAAAAACAGGAATGGATGACGATTCCGGCGCGAAGCGGAAGAGGGGCTCTTTGCGCCAGCAAGGATAAGGTAGGTAAGATAAGATGCCCGCTTGTTGAGCTTGTGAATATGTATGTAGACGAGTCTTTAAGAAAGGAAGAGAGAAGGGTGAGTAACCTGAGTAGACGAAAGAGGTTCAGAATAAGAAGGAGTCAAGACACAAGGACGAGGCGAGGAAGAGAAAGAAAAGTCATTTACAGCACCATAGGTAGGGAAAGGAAAGGAAGAAAAAGGAAGATTAATCCCCAGTGCTACTTACTACCTAAGCCGGGGGCATCACCTCCCCCAATCTACCTCGAGGTACCTTTCCAAGCTCCCTTTCCCCCGCTCTCGTCTCCCCCTCTTCCGTGTCTGCAAAGTACCGGCCTCGCTCTCTGAATCAGCGCATCAAGAGCGCGCCACTTACAAGGACTAATCTCACCATCGCCAGCACCTTAGAATATGTTACCAAACCTCAAGTTGCCTATCTAGGTAGGTATTTACGGAGGTACTGGTGGTGGGTATCTCTACAAGGTCGAAGAAGGGAGCTCAAGCTCAAGCTCAGAATTTCTCAATGGCAGTGCTAGCTGAAGGCACTTGTAACCTCGGACGGATCAGCGGCAGCAAAGAAGCACGCCCCTGTACGTCTTCGTAGGGCTGGTGAGAACCAGACAAGGGCATGGATGGAGCTTAAGCTCAAGAATTGATGTTTGTCTTAGCTCGTAGTAACAATGTCTCAATGTCCATGCGGGGGGGGGGGGGGGGGGGTGGAAGAGTAGAGTCAAACGAAGAACAAGAAGAAATTCCAAGTAAAATATGTAATACTACGAGAAGTCTCATGTGTTGTCTCTTCAACGCAAGGAGACCAAGAAGGATTCGAACCAGGTCTCTCATCACGCAAAACGCAAGATTTCCTTTCTCAGACAAAACCACAACAAAACAATCCATGCTCAAGCTAAACTCTAATTTGCATCCTCTGAAATTGATGCTTTTATACCTGAGGTATTACCCACCGCAGCTTACCTTTCTGAATGCAAGCACAAGCCAAGTTTCACGCAGCTTCTCGTTAGATCTGCCGTGAGCTCTAGGAGAAACTCAAAGCAATCCCATCCACACCAATACCATTTCCATCACGTAACCAGTCAAGCAAATGAGAGGCCAGCTCTTTCTGCTCCCTTCACATGACCTTTGGTGATTCAACCAGGGCACAGCATACTACTACGAGTACATGACTGTGCCCGGCACCGACTCCGAGACTGTTTCACACTCGGCCACGGGAAGTTTGTATCATCACTCTACACGCATTCCTCATTCACAGGCAAATTATTCTACCGATACAAGTTGATAGCAATCCTCTCAAAGAAGCTGCTGTGTCTCAATACCATCACTACTACTAGTAGCCCTATGCAAAAGAAAAGAGAGACCGACATTTACTTCTTCGCCTTCCTCCTGTTGTTTGCCCGCTTCTTCTTCCCCTCTGCAACACTCATCGTCCCCCCCTCCAGCTCCCCCTCCTCAATCTGCCCCTGGCTCTCCAACTCCTTGAGCTTCTCCTGCCCAGAGATGAACATGGTCAAATCCCGGTTCATCTCCTTGAGCTCCGCATTCTCCGCCCTCAGCTCCTCCAGCTGCTTGCGGATCGCCTGCACATCCGCGTCCAGATGCTCGATGCGCTTCATCAGCCCCTCGTTCAGCCGCTTCTCCTCCTGCAGCGACTGGCCGAGGTTCCTGGCGAGGTTCTCGCCCCGCTTCGCCTTGGTCCTCTCGCGCTCGAGATCGCGCTCCATCTGCGGGAGCGTCTCCCGGCTCAGGACCTCGTATTCCTTTTGCAGGGCAGCTTGCTGTTCCCGCGCTTCGGACGCCTCCATGATGGCCTTTTCGGCCTCGGCTGCGTACCTCGACGCCTTGCTGGCGCTCTTGCTCACCATCTCTTCGTAGTAGGCCCGTTGTGACTCAAGCTGGCTGCCTATCAAGTGGGTATATTCGAGCCCAATCGTCTCCAGCTTGGCCCGCGGAACCATGTCTTCATCTGCCCCTTCGCCATTGGCCGTGTGACTGCCTCTCCCGGGCAGCTCAACAACCTTGCCATCGCCCTTGTCGCGGATGAGACGATGCACCCACATGTCGCCCGCATAGTCCCAGACGTGCTGCGTCTCCAGCTCTAGAGCAAAGCAGTGCGCGGTATCCTTCCAGTGGTCTTTAGCGTGTCCTCCTTTGTATCGACCGCAACCCAAGTAGCCACATATCAGGCAGATCCAGAGATCGTCGGCACAATCACAAACACTACACAGGTTCGAGACCGACCCTCCAAACGGCTGGCTGTAGGGATTTGACGGGTCTCTCTCCTCCGAAGGGTTCGTGAAGCGACAAACTGGGCAGCCGGCTCCTTTCCAGCGTTGTAGGCATGTGCAGTGGAAGACATGCGAGCACGGGACGGTCATCAATCCGCTCGTCTCGTCCATTCTCTCCAGGCAGACGGGGCATGTGGGCAGCTCCACAAGATTCGGAGTCGGAGGTGGGAAGGGCTTCAGGCTATGCGAAACGGCAGCCGAGGAAGATGGCATGGAGTAATCGTGGCCCCCAGAAAGGTTTGGTGTTTCGAACGTGATGCTCTTGACGAATACTACGTGGCAGGCTTGTGACTGTTTACAGGTCAGCACATGTCAATTTGAAACAAGAAATGAATGTTCCCAGGTGATCTGTGACATACCCCCATAGAGTTGAAAATCTTGCCATCATATTCCCTCCTCCACAGTTTCGCCCGCTTGCTATCCCGAAACTTGAGCAGCACCAGATATCGATTCATCCGCGAGGTCATAACCATGCGGCAGTGGCTGATGTCTCTCTGCCATCGCTCTCCCAGGAACCCCAGAAAGTCTGCCGGCGTCATGTAAGCCGGGACAGCAGGGATACACAGCGTGGTGCAGTCTTGCTCATTCTCGGTCTCTTCAGCTACCTCGGTGATGGAACCAAGCCCAGGCGTCTCTTCTGCCTCTCGGTAAAAATGTACTATGCCCCATCCGACCTCGGTGTTCTTGCCCTCGAGCTCGACAAACTCTGCCTTTGTCGCCGTCCCTGCGCCGCTAAACGATGGCCCCAAGGCAGGCGCGGCAGATGGTCCGGCGACAGCAGCAGCGGTAGATTTGCTACCTTCGCCAGCCATGTTCCTATTGTATAACCAGTCGGGGTCCAGCGTCTCGATATTGATGCGTCCGAACCTCCAGTCTCGGACCGCAGTCTGCGGTTTCAACCCAGCTGTCGAAGACGGCGGTGGGAAGCTGTTCACTCGTCCCAGCGACTGTCGCTCTGGCAAGGCCTTGGTCTCCCGTTCGCCGTTTTCCGTCGGTGGGCGCGGGGTGCCGCAGTCGATGACTCCGGGCTTCGAGGTTGCGCCAGTCTCCGCTCTGCGCTCCAACGCAGCCAGAGCTCCAAAAGAGATGCGCCTGTTCCTATCGAGCGCCTCGGTGTTGCGCGCTGCCGAGCGGGGAGGTCGAGGATGGGCGGGTAGGTCGTCAAAAACGCTGGTTTCGGTCGATGGCAGCCAGATATCTCGGCGGCTCTGCGCCTCAGATGCTTGATCGCCGGCTGCAGGGTTCTCGGTCGGATAGAGCTCGAATTTGATGTGGAAGAAGTATGAAGTCATTTCCAAGATACCGATCGCGACATCCTCGCAAGGCTGCTCCTCTAAGGTGGTGAAGCTGCCCAAACAGTAGAGATGGGTTGGAGTAAGTTGCGAAAGTCAACGGTCGCGTGCGACAAGAAACTTCCTTCTGGTCAAGGCGGAAAGAGGTGTCTGATCGGAGGCAAATGATGTGGAAGCCAACAGTCAGGCATGGCGGCGCCTGTCGAGCATATATTCCAGATCAGAAGCCCATTTTCAAGGCTGGGGTGGGTAATGGTTATAAATTGCCGGAAGCTTTGGGAAGTGTGCCGAAGGTGGCGGGTCGAGATGTCGTTCTCCACTAGAGGCATGTGACGCATTATCCCAGAGCACGTTGGCATATCAGAACATTCATTTCACGGCTATAGACAGAATTTCACAATGGGAGCAGATTTTGCAGTTCGTGAAATAGACCTCATAAGACGGTCAAGAGTCGTATTGAGGCGTGCCGCAATCTAGGCAACGCCAAAGTGTGCTAACATAAGATATTGATGACCACTGCAAATGGCCAAGTTCCCATATTTGCCTAGAATTCCCAAAAACGCCGAGTCGTCCAACCAATCATAAAAGTGCCATCGTGAAGAGGAGGTGCGTTTACTGGCCGCCACGGAGACGGAGAACCAGGTGCAGAGTGCTCTCCTTCTGGATGTTGTAGTCGCTCAGGGTACGACCGTCTTCCAACTGCTTACCAGCAAAGATCAAGCGCTGCTGGTCAGGCGGGATACCCTCCTTGTCCTGAATCTTTGACTTGACGTTGTCGATGGTATCAGATGATTCCACTTCCAGGGTAATCGTCTTACCCGTCAGTGTCTTGACAAAGATCTGCATACCACCACGGAGACGGAGGACCAAGTGCAGGGTGCTCTCCTTCTGAATGTTGTAGTCGCTCAGAGTGCGGCCGTCTTCCAGCTGCTTACCAGCGAAAATCAGGCGCTGCTGGTCTGGAGGAATACCCTCCTTGTCCTGAATCTTGGACTTGACGTTGTCGATAGTATCAGATGACTCGACCTCCAGGGTGATGGTCTTTCCTGTGAGGGTCTTGACGAAAATCTGCATACCACCGCGAAGACGGAGGACAAGGTGGAGTGTAGACTCCTTCTGAATGTTGTAGTCGGAGAGGGTTCGGCCGTCCTCAAGCTGCTTGCCAGCAAAGATGAGACGCTGCTGGTCCGGAGGGATGCCCTCCTTGTCCTGGATCTTGGACTTGACGTTGTCGATGGTGTCAGAGGACTCAACCTCGAGAGTGATCGTCTTGCCGGTCAGGGTCTTGACGACTGAAGAGAGTTGTTAGCCACTGGCTGCTTGGTGGAGAGACAAGGCTGAGAAACTTACAAATCTGCATACCACCACGAAGGCGGAGAACCAGGTGAAGGGTAGACTCCTTCTGGATGTTGTAGTCGGAGAGGGTTCGGCCATCCTCAAGCTGCTTTCCAGCGAAGATGAGACGCTGCTGGTCAGGGGGGATGCCCTCCTTGTCCTGGATCTTAGACTTCACATTGTCGATGGTGTCGGACGACTCGACCTCGAGGGTGATGGTCTTGCCGGTGAGGGTCTTGACGAAGATCTGCATGATGGCGACTGGGGTGCTGTTCGCTGTTTGGGACTGGAGTATTCGAAGATAGAGCAAAGAAGATGCGCTGTTAACGGCTATTCCTTAGGGAAGAGATGGAAGAGAGAGGTGTGGGAGAGTATGGAGAGAGAGAAGAAGAAAAGAGGAAGAAGTTGGGCTGACGATGGGCAGGAGGAGGTCCTTATGTAGGAACCGAGGGGAGTGGCAGCCTGAAGGGGGGCGGTGACCGTCTGGCAAGTGTGAGCGGCGAAACGAGGGGAGCGCAGTGACCAACCGGTAACTGCACGGGCCCCGGCTTGCTCGCCTTTGGGCCCTGATTCAACTCGGCTACTCTCCCAGTCAGCCGGCTGAAAGAGATACCTCTTCCTGTGGGTCAGAGCAACTTGTACTTTTTACAGATCCTTGCAGCCTGGCTTGACCGAACCTTCCCTCTGCCCTCAGGTAACAGATACCCTATATTACAGAGCCTAATAGCTATAATCTAGGTAACTGTAAAGACAACACCTACGCTGCTTATTTATAGCTGTATGCTAGGCACCTAGGGTATTATAGGTAGGTAGCTGCTGCACTGATAGAAGTTGAAGGATCTTGTAGAGCTTGTGTAAGTTGCAGCGACAGCGAGTACATTAAGTGCGAGTACAGAAGCTTGCTGAAAAGCGTGAGTACAGACACTTTTTTTCTGTACTTGCTGTCTAGCAAATTCCATGAATTCTCTGTACAACTCTTGGCAACTATGCCTATGAAGGTCAAGATCGTGGCTTTTTATAACCCCTGCTAGTACGGTACATTACGCGCAGGGGTTGCGAGCGCGCGATGCTCGGTGAGGTCTCTTAACTCCGAGTTGTGCTGTAAATCCCTGCCAAATTGAGGATAGTGACATCTTTATGCATTCAGCAAGCTTCTGTACTCGCAAAGTAGCCGAGTTGAATCACGGCCTTGGGGGATGTCACTGGCACGTACTGCAACGGGTGAGTGGTGGCAAGTGCCCCCCAGTCATTGATTCATCAGCCAATAGCCCCGAGAATGATCCAGAACCGTCCGGGGAAAGCGCGGCACTGCCGGTACCTCGTCCGCGCGCAGCTCTGCGGTGGAACGCAAAGTACCGGTGGGCCCGGATCCGGATAAAGCGCAGCCAGGCGCTGACTAGGTAGGGGCGCTACAGGTGCTACAGGTGCTACAGGCGCTCACTGGAAGGTGCCTGGCAACCTGACAACCTGACCACAGCGAACAGTCAGCCTGTCGAAGCGCGGGTGGGGCTTATCGCCGCGGCGGCTGTCCAATAGGCGGGACCCGCTGGTGTGTCATCCGGGCAAGAGTGAGCGCCAGAGCGCTGTTTGACTGGCAATCGTGGCTTGTTTGCGCAGCTTGCGGCTCATCAGCGTGGCGATACGAGTACTCTAGACACATGAGGCGAACAAAGAGTGCGAACAATAATTATTAAAGCATTGCCATCCCGCCATCCTCTTGTCCCTGTTCACTGTCCTGGCAAATTCTGATCATGTATGTGTATGTTCGACTTGCCGCCTTTCGACCGAGATGCCGCACCTTCTCTTCCTTCGTCCTCGTACCATCGCGTTATCGGACCAGCGGTCTGCGTCAGTGACGTAGTTGCGCCGCCTATGTACTATCAGTTGCAGCGAAACTTCCATTCAACATCAATCCCGCCCTCCAAACCGTCACTGCTCGTGCGTCGTTGCTTTCAGTCTAGTTAAGAGGTACCTCTAGTTCATCGTCTGCTTACCTGATGCGAAATCGCAATTTGGCCCAGCCTCGCGCTTTTCCTTCGAGTCCAGGAACAGGCAGGAATCTTCCGTCCGAGTCAGGCTGTCGTCATCCGAGCAAGGGTCGAATGCAGCAATTGCATCACCTCCCGCGATTCTCACCTCAGGAGGGGCCGAGACAAGCGTCCTGTTTCTGGTCTTTAGTTTACCTTACTTAAGCAATAGAGTACATACATAGCAACCGGACTGGTGGAGCAGTCCTGCAGCGGGGCCGCGCTTCACGATAAGCCATAAAGGTGCCCGCCTCTGCACCGTGGAAGACCCCTACATTTCCTCTGGTCTAGTAGGTGGTGTTGAGGATGCCCAAGGGGATGGTGTTGAAGATGACAAATGCAGGAATTCTCGAAGCCAAGGGAATATGAGCCATTTACTCAAGATGCTCGAGCTGCTGATAAGAGATGGGCGAATGTTGGTCGAGGCTGGCGATTGTCTGGAAGCGTCCCTGGCTCGTCTCTCCATCCTCTTTCCGACAACGAAGCGAGACGATGGAATCATATCCTCTTATCAGATGTAACATCAATGAAATGAAGCCAGCACATTCGGAACAACAATTTGATTAGCGCGGTAGATCTCTGGCATTTGTCGAGGCTAAGCAGGAGTTGCACCTGGCGATCCTACTCAATTCACGTCTCTCATCTCAACGCCAGAACGCCCTACTAGGCTGTGGAAGAAAAACACCAGACTAGCTTGTTTACTCTACCTACCTAGCTGGGTATATACATGTAACCTATTACTTCTATCTGCTATTACTACTGATGTTTATAAAAGAAACAGGTCTTTAGTTTCTGCTACTATCGCTGTGTACTTCTAGTTTACTGGAGTACCTTGAATAAATTCCAGTTGAGGTACTATGTCCATACCAGGTAGACTGAGGTACAGAAATCTGGCGTTAAACGATTTCATTCCCGTCTTTTCTTTCCACCGCATGTCTAGTAGCTCTACCGGTGGTAATTAGCTGAGATGATCTGATCTGAAATTGCCAGGGGTTGTATTTCTTTAGCAGCCCAAAGGTGCCCATTAATATAGACGGGAACGGAGCAGAGTATCAACGTTGGTCCATCGCAGCGTTGTGGTAGATCTTATAAACACCAACTTTACGACTGTGTTTGCACTCAATCCATGAAACCGTAAAGAAAAAAGACTCGGACGGCCGCAACTCTCGCCTCCAGAGAGGAGCATAGAGAGAACAAGACCATAGCATATGGTGCAAAATGAAATTATCAGAAGATGAATAGCAGATTCTCCCAACTTTTCGACTCCGTCCCTGCCGCTTCCCTGTGCTACCATTTTGCCTGTTCAGCAGATAATAGCATTCAATTCGAGGCCCTCCAAGCATGTACTGCAGGACCAGCCGTGCCCGATTCAAGTCTTTCTTCCCTTGCACTTGTAATGTCCTTCTCCGTCCTGAATTGCGACTGCTGCGGCCTCATTCGCTTATGCTTCTGTGGCGCAAAATAACCAGTGGTTGTAATGCCTTCCAAGCCAAGCATACCTAGGTAATATCAAGTGAAATTCCGTAAGTAATCGCAGTTTTTAAGCTGCATTGTGCCATGTGCGTTCTGAGAGACATTGGCTGCAGATATGCCTTTTTAGACATTCACACAACGCCGTCTCTTCTTTGGCTGTAATTTCTCTTGAACCTCCTCGTCACTTTCCTCTTTGACGTCATTTCCGTCAGTCTGGTCGATATGAAGCTCCATGAACCGACGAAACTGATGAGTCACCCTGGTCTTGAGAAGGAGGCTCTCCAGATGCCGACACTTTGTTCGCAGCATGAGATAAATGCGACCCGACTCCTCGGGGCTGTAACTTTGGATGTACTGGAGGATGCCCAACACTAGAAATATCGCGTCGGCTGTTTCAGCATCGTGAAGCTCGGCCCTGCCATACGGATGGGCGTGCTTCAGATCGTGGTAGTATCTGACTTGGACGCCAACGAGTCTGTACAAAGTTTTCATGGTTTGCTGAATATTGATGAACTTCGGTCCGTCTTCGCAGGCTCTCGTGAAGAATTCAAACGCCTTCCAGTCAGAGTCGTCTTCCTCGCAAGCCTCCTCAACGGCCTCGCGTAGAGCCGACTTTGATCTCTTATGCGCATGAGTAGCTCTCAATTCGGTCCGTAAGGCTTTCCAAGCAATGTGAGTCGCCTTCGGTAGGCTGTCCAGGATGGAGATGACCGTGGAATAGCTTGTTGCTGGATCCATACTCTCCAATGGCGCAACATGAAAGAGGCTATCCAATAGAGACGAGTGGATAGCTTGCTGAGCACCAGCATCAGCACCAGCTTGAAACAGGCGTGGCTCCTTGCGGAGAGTCTCCTCTGGCACGATTTCATCTCCATCAGCGCACAAGAGGCCATGCTCGTTGAGACGGATGACGGAGGTTTTGTTGATGGTGATGTGACCCTTGGCAACAAGATAATCGAGGGCATGTCTCTGGTTGTGGACGTAGGCCTCCATCGTGTCTGGGTCGAGTTTGTTTTGCATGGAGAATCTCATTGAAGGATCCGCCATCTTGAGAGTTGAGCTGGGCGCAGTTTGAGTGGAATGAATACACAGAGATGTTGACCAAAGAGGCTACACTTGAGAAACTTATAGAGTGATCAAGAGAAAAGATGGGATGAGATGAGTGAAAGGAGTGGGATAGAAGAGAGAAGAGAGAAGATAAGGGCGAGGGAGAAAGTGCCTGGAATATATAGGCGTGCTGAACAGCTGTGTGGCCTGAGGAAACAAGAGATCGGGCATGAGAAGGCCAGCTGCGTGCACTGCAGGTGCACGCATCACATGAAGTGACCTTGCCGCCAGCTGCCGAATGAGGGTAACAACAAGTACCTAACGGAGTCGATGCCTCTATGCTTCTCACAGCCTTGCCAGCCGCAGGGTTTGCTCTGCTACGAGGACTACTGCGGAAGACATCTGCTCCAAACGAAATTGGGCAAAGATGAAGCTATTATTGCTTAAACAACGATTCTCGGAGTCCCTGAGTGTCATGTACAGATGTGAAGCATATAGCCCATCAATCGCTACGCTGCTATCCTGATTACCCAAGTTCTCCATGTCTCATCACAGCTTCAGGAGCTTTCTCTCCACTGCTTTCCAGTATCTGACCCAACTTCCGTCTTTGCCTGCTAAGCTCAAGGATTTTGTTCCTTTCGATTCCCGGTCGATAGATTTAGAAGAGATTAAGTCTAGTCGCTACGTTTCAAATAGATTGTATACAGTCTCAATGTTCAATAGATATACTTTCTTTGCGATTGAACTAGGCCTGCGTGCTTCCGAGACTGCCCCCAGCCAATAGTATATGGCATTTTTGTTCTTATTCCTCCCCGACAAAGCTTCACATGGTCTCTGCAACTCCTATCCGGCACTCCGTTTCTTCGCCGTGCTAGTTTGTGTGTGGCCTCAAGGCTCATTTGGTAAACATCTCTACTACTCTCTACCAGCCAATATGGCCTAGGACGCCAACTCGCCACTCGCACTCCCTCCTTATCCGCTGGCCAGACACTTGACAGGATAGTGTAAGATGCGGCGACTCAAAGAGACGGAATCTTCAAAAGAATCGTGGTCAGTACTTGAAGAACCAGCTGTATACTACGCAGACCTCCAGTCACGCCATGGGCCAACCGACTTACACAGAATTTTGTACAGACACATTCATCACACTCGAGACGGCACCCTGAGACACATTTGCTTCCATTAACAATAGTCAAAGCCTTTTTTATTCGTGGCATACCCAGCCATCGCACCCAACTGCCTAACTGGTCAAGGCATGTCAAATCATCCCGCTCCATCCGAGGCCATGTCGAAAGCCGTGGCCCAAGGCGCCTTATACCATGCATGTTCGTCTATGCTGCATAGCCACTCGCCGTAGATTTCAAGCCACTACATCATGCAACATTGAGAACATAGTCGAGAGTGTCCGCCTCTCCGCCGCAAAGAGCAAAACTGAAAGATATATCAAACCGCAAGATTCCCGTGTGTAAAAAAATCAAAACCCGATGAGCTGCCAGAAATGGAGAAAGAGTCCTCCGGAGCAATAAAAGATGCAGAGAGTGAGAGAGAGAGATAGAGAGGATGAAAGGAGAGGTCTTCTTCTTCAAGTCATACATTCGTGGAAGAAAGTCATATCAAGCTCGTAAGACATTTCGCAATAACGTCGTGTTGCATGGCGGCGGTCAACCGATGAAGAGAATAGGAACGCTAAGGTGAAGCAGATCGCGAGCTCAAAAGTCGTTCTCAAAGATTTATGAAGAGAATCTTATCACAACGCCGTCGCTGAATGACCGTGAATAACATGTTCATGTGAAAGGAAAGTCGTGAAGGAGTATGAAAATGATGGTGACGAGCGCGTCTACCGGGCCAGTCCCCAAGGAGACGGCGATGATGAGAGGTTGAAACAGACAAGAAAAAACGATTAGAAATTAGTTGGCCCGGATAACAAGCTTCGACAAGAACTTGTTCGAAAGCGAATCAAAATCGTAGCGGTCAAACTTGGCTTCTCTCCGGGTTCGCAGGTAAGCCTCTGTAAAACATAGTTTGTTAGCATACACTTTCGTCAACTTTTCGGGTCATGTCCGACGGGACACGAAAAGGTGCAAACTTACCATGCTTGAGAACATGCTGTCGCACCTCAGTCATGGCATCACAGACGGCAACATTGTTGTGAAGCAGGTGGCCGTGCTCACGCGTGTCCCAGTCGGTGAAGGCCGGGAGCTTCTGAGAGATGGCGTGGAAGAGGCCCACAATAACACCGACAGGGGTCGTTTCCATGTCGTTGCAGAACTTGTTCACCGCCACGGGGTCTGGCACGCGGTAGTGGCAGTCAAACTGCATCTCCTCCCACACGGCGAGCAGGATGGACGCCAGAAGGAAGATGGTCGGCCAGTTCTTCATCTTCTCGCCGCTGTAGACACCCGAGTAGAGGGCAGAGAGCTCCTCCAGGATGTCCTTCTGAAGCTCGCGCCACATGTCAGCCAGAGCACACTTAATCTGGAAGTTGATCATGACAGGCGCAACGGTGCGGCCGTAGTACTTGGAGTCCTCGTCGTCGATCTGGCCGTCAAGGGGCATCTCGGATCCCTGGCTCTCGACCATGGTGATGTGCATGGTCAGGTTGTAGGCAAGGACCAGCTTCAGGGCCTTTCGGATGACGGGCATCTTCTCCTTGACGTAGTAGCGGTGGGCAGTCTTGAGGATCTCGGTGATGAAGGGAGTGCCCTCGAAGTGGTCGTCGATGAAGTCCTCAAACGGACCCTCGATGTGCTTGTCGAGGTACTCGGAGAGAGCGTCGATGCGAATGCCCTCGGCACCGACATCGAGCTTCTCAGTCCGAGTCTCAAAGTCGATGGTGTCGTTGGAGGCAACGTACGACTCGACCCACTCGACGGAGAAGCAGCTGTCATCGGCAACAAAGACCTCGCGGACCATGACGGGCAGGGCAAAGCCGTAGCCGTGGGTGATCCACATGAGCGTCTCCTTCTGCGCGAAGCCCTTGACATTGTAGACGGACACTCCACGGTCCATGTGCCTCTCATAGTCGGCCTTCCAGTCCTTCATGAAGTAGCCAATGTCCTTGATGTCGATCCGCGTGCAGGGGACCTGCCAGAGGCGGGCGTGAGACGGCTGGCATCCAGCGCAGGGCTCTCCCTTATCGCAAGTCTTCTTAAGGAATTTGCATCGCAGGCAAGCACGCAGCTTTCTTATCTCGCTGGCTTGCTTTCGCTGCTCTGGCAAAAGAGGGCCCTTTCTACGGCCCACCTTCTTCTCGACAGATCCATCCTTCTTTCCATTGGAGACGCGCCTGACGACGGTTTTGGGTGCCTTGGCAATCGGGCTCTTGCGAATGCCAGCACTTCCGGCACTCCTCCTTGAGGTGGTGCTGGACGAAGAGGGGGATACCGAGCCCGCTCCGCTGCCAGGGCTGTGACGGGCAGACGACTCGCCCTTGAGGGAGACTGGGGCAGTCACCGCGATGGGACTGTGGACGTGGCTGTGACTGTGACTGTGACTATGGCTGTGGCCATGGGTATGACCATGGCTATGGCTGTGATCATGGTGGTGATGATGGCCATCGGCCGAGTAGCAGTTCCGGTGGCCGTTGTTGTGGTTCTCGGCTTGGCCATCAGAGTCTGGTGAGAAGGGCGAATAGGGAAAGGGGGCAACTTCCTCAAAGCTACCGATTTCGACCGAGTTGCGGCCGTCGGAGGAATCCGAGTTGGTCCTCAAGTGCAGTGTCTGGGAGGGGTTGAAGATGGCGGCACTGGGCGTAGGCTGGAAGAGCTCGTGGCCGGGATGCCCCCAGTCCACCATGGCCCAGCCATCGCCAGAGGACGAAGACGGTAATGAGAGCACCTCGAGGTAGGTTCCAGTGGGCGAGTTGCTGCCAACGGTCTGCAGCCCGTCCAGCTGCAGGGTGTTTTGAAAGTCCTGCCAATTTCCCATGCCCGCGCCTCCCCAGTGCATTGCGTGTGCGGTATCATCCAGAGCAGGCATCGAGCTGAAGGGCGACTCGAGCAAATGCGTCTGCATCGCAGCCTGCGTCGTGGCCGGTAGATAGTCGACATGATGGTATCCAGAAAAGGTGTTGTTGAAGTTCAACAGGGAGTCCTGGATGTACTGCGTCAGGTCGTGGGCGGGCAAAACCTGGTGCTGCTGCGCCGCGGAAGCAGCCTGTTGCTGGTGGTGGTGAAGAGCCCAGTCGGTCAACGGGTTTGTGGGTTGCTGGTAGGGCGAGTGCTGAGCCGGTGAGTGGTGGCTGTGAGGGCTGGACATGTGTGAGAGAGGCGAGTTTGGGTGGTATTCCTCCGGGGAGCTGCCTCGAGCTCCCTGAGACGAGCCGGCGTTGGCGTTCATGTCGATGGGCAGATTCCACGAGCCGGTGACGAGGTTAGACGCAGGGCCAGGACTCGAGTGAGCAGTGGTTGATGTCGAGTAGCTGTACGCAGCAGCCCGGTCCCGCTGGTGTTGTTCGTAGGTCAGATCGAGTAAGGCATCGCCCCCGCCGTTGACATTGTAGTCGAGGGTCATTCTGGGGGAGAAAGAGAGGGAAGAGAGGGAACAATTCAAGCGGAACGCTTGGATGCGGGCAAAGGGCGTCTGTATTGTATCAAGATCTGAGGCGTTGACACCGCTCTTTCGTGATGCTTGCTGGCACTGGGCGTTGAGAGGGATGATCGGGGATTACGGCGGGGAGAGAAAGGGAAAAAAAGGAAGAGGGAAGAGAAGCGTCCGGGGGTGCGAGAGAAACGAAACGGTTTGCTGCAGGCCAGCTGGACGGCGCTATGGAAGGCTTTTTCTGGGTGCCTAGAACGAGACACGGGCGCCCAGTCAGTGTGTCTGTGAGTGGGATAAGGTCGAGAGACTGATAGTGCTGTCGATGGATGGGACAGTCACACACAGTCAGTCCGGGCAAGCAAGCAAGCAAGCAAGCAGCATAGAGCAGACGAGCAGTGCCGTTTACTGTGTATGGCGACTGTATGGCGACTGTACAGCTGCGATGCGACTGTGCGTGCTAC